TTAAATACCAATTTTATTGTGATAATGAAGAAATTGTTTCCTTGAAAACCAACAAAGCAATAGGGCCAGACAATATACTAGCCAAAATCTTTAAATCCGCCATTGATGAAATTGAAGACGTTGAAATTGAAATTGAAAAATATATCCTCTACCATGTGGTTTCAGGGAAGGGTATAGTACCCAACATGCACTTCTGTGTCTTGTTGAGGATCTAAAAGAGCATACCTTGGTGAGAAACTGATTACTATTTTGATGGATTTATCAGAAGAATTTGATTGCTTATCACATGGCAAATTAATAACAAAATTACATGCATATGTCTTTAATAACGGTGCTTCAAAACTTTTATGCAGATACCTCGAAGTAGGGTTCAAGGAGCAAAGCTCAACTCTAACTGCAGTGAATCGAGAGATATAATCAATGGAGTCACGCAGGGATCCGTTTTAGGCCCTCTGTCGTTCTTTTCTAAATTATATCTTTCTATTTCTAAAGAGAAGTGAAATATGTAATTTTGCCTATGACAAGACAATTTGGATAAAAGGGCAAAGAACTAGTGCCATGTTTGTAAGTAAAAGAATGTTGTGAACTACTGTCAACAACGCTTTGGCCACGTATTCAATGCTACCATGTCATTGATCAAATGTTTATCTGTTGGCTTAGGTCATAGTACAACTCCCCAGGAAGCTCGTCACCAGTCCACATTTATGCCTACGTAGAAGTAACGACAGAGTTGGAATGGATAGGTGTGTGATCGGTCAGAATGATAAACTCAAAGAAATGTAATATTCTCGCTCTCTTTGTTCTTTCTCACCTTGCTTAAGCCCAAGACACAACAAAGAAAGGCCACGGTAGCAGGCTGCTCAACAGATTCAAATTTAATGCTGGCGGCGAAAAGTCGATGAAAATGTAGGAACACCGCAACGCGCCGAGAGAAAAAACAATTAACACAAGTAAATTAATAGAAGCTAATGGTTAATATTAGCTAATATGCTATAATTTGCTTATGTTTTTGGTATTTGCTCTCGGCGCGTTGCAGTGTTTATTATTTATTTTGATTTACTGCCTAATGACCCCAAGACTTGAATCTGAAGGTAGACAAAATAAAAAGCTGGTTCAGAGATAATTGCATGTTTTTGCCTAAGAGATCAGTGTTTGGAGAAAGTGAAATAAGAATTGGTGATTATTTAATCAGAAACACCGATAAAGAAAATAACTCAGTGTAATACTTGACAATCATCAAAAGTTTGATCACTACACTGGGTGTATTACACAAAGGTGTAATACTTGACAATCATCCAAAGTTTGATCATCACATTAAAACAAGATTTGTAATGAAGCAGGAAAGAAGATAAGTGTCCTTGCCAGAACATCACCTTATTTAAATGGAGAGAAAAAAAACTGGTAATGAAATCGTTTATCATTACCTTCTTTACTTACTGTCTTATTGCTTGGATGTTTTGTAGCCGAAAAATGAATAATTTAACCAACAATGTTAACAAAACAGCACTAAGGATTGCATATAATGAATATAATTCTACTTTTGAAGCTCTGCTTATCAAAGATAATGCTTCAACAATTCAGCAACAAGACCTGCAGTGAATAGCCATTGAAATGTATAAAACTAAATATAGTGATATTTCTAGACTTCATGAGTCTCTATATAGACTCAGAAACGAGGCATTTTTTACTACAAAAACTATGGAACAGTTTTCTACAAAACAGAAACAGTGTCTTACAGATGTAATCAGAATTAGAAAAACATACTTGCCAAAGTAAGAAATGCAAACAGTCTAGAAGAAATATTTAAAAGGCTAATAAAACAAATCACCATTCTGTGCTCCAGCAAATTATGCATCCCGTATATAGCCTAAGTAGGATATGCCGCATCATAGTTGGTATAGTGTGATCACATAGATAAGATAGAACTTGGATTCCAACTTTTGATAACGTAGAGAAAAAGATCAACCGTTGGGTAAGACATTCTTAAAGTGATATTGACATTTATTATCAACTGTATCAGCATGACGAGTCATTGTTACAAATAAATCGGTAAACTTCGCTTTCGTTTTTCGTGAATAGTGATTTCTTTAAGTGAATCGAGCCCGAGTGAATCTTGTTGTATATGTAATACCTCAAGAGTGATATCCTTTTCCCATTACTCTGCCCAATGCTTCATCTTCTTTGCTTTTTGAATGGGCTTTGACACAGTCGGCTTTTGCGTTCCAAGATGTCAAATGCGAACCATCACGCTCACAGATAAGAAACTCGATTAAGCGCACTAGAAAGAATTGTGGGTATGTTAATTTCAATTTAGGCCGCGTTTAAACAACATCTGTTGAAAGGATGAAGTTATTTTGCAGAAGAGTACCCGAAATGAATCAGCGAAGGAATTCCGACAGCAGTATCAGAAGAGTACCCGAAATGAAACATGCCCGTCTTTTAGTTTTCTTGAGGCTTTTTTGGTCTTTATTCTTTTTGTTTCCTGGTGTATTAGTTTGATCTAAAAAACATTTGTGTGACACTAATTTCGACTTTCAAGACCACTCTCTAGATTTTCAGACCACTGCTAGTTGATAAGTTCATATTTTAAACATAAGACCCAGGAAACGATATAAGTTTAAACAGAAGAGATCTTTTGAAACTCTTGATACATAATTTTCAAATGCTTCACTAGGCTTTGGGGCAAACTTCCAATTATACCGGTAGAATAATTTATATCGGTCTTTGTAATTTGTTTCACTTTACAATATAAAAAAACAAGTTCTGCGAGGAACCTAGGCTCTTGCTTGCAGAATTACATGACATCGGCTTTCCTCCAAATGTCGTTGTTATCCTACTTTGATTTCTAACCAACCAAAATCTAGCTTTCCATGAGGATTTTATGTAGATCAAATCGGATTTCTGAGATTGGAAGAAGCATTAAAGATCAAAATCAGTTTTTGAATCTTCTTACCAATTTAAACTTTTAATGCAACAGCAGGTGTTACCAGAATACAATCAAAACTGACAGGTATTTTTGTGCCTTTTGGATGGCACAGGCATGACGATGAGCAGTTTTGCAATACCATAAAACGTTGATAAATTTTTCCTAGTTTCAACAGCAGGGCTCGACTTTAAACTTTTTCCCTCATCATTAGCTGATAACTGCTCGTCCTCGTTTCAAACGTTGGAATAATTTTGTAGCAAAACATTTTGAAAACCCATTGGCAGCGATATTCCCATAGAAAAGTACCTTTAATAACTTAAATGAATATAACTTAGATATAAATGCAAAAACAAATAGATGTAATATGCAAATAATTGATATTGGTATCAAGAAACAGTTTTATGATATTAAGGGATCAAAGTTTAATGTAAATAATGCATGGTTTTCTTATTTAAAAAAAGCAGGCAAATCGAGCAGTCAATAATGGATGCTCAGCAATTGATCATAAATACAACTTGAACATTGACTTCTACTTTTCTACTTCAAATAAAAGAAAAGGATAAAGTTAACATGAACGGCAAAAGTATCCCGCTCATTCTAGACGATAAAAACATACTCCTGGTTCCGGAGCCTCAACAAAAGAGATAGTTAAACATATGCTTTTTTACCCACGTTTGATCCAATGTTCTCCTGAGGCTCTGGTACCCAAGGTGGTAAAAGCACTGAATTTTTATAACAGAGTTGTAGTTTTTATAACAGAGTTTTTATAACAGAATCGAATGCAGGCCTGCGACCCTTTGTTATCTTCTTATGCGCAGGGCTTCTTCCCGAGTAAGAAATTTGTGTCAGGGTTGCCATTTGACCATTTTAATGGCCACCTTTCTCTATTTTGACCGTTTTTCAAAAACCCTTAACCGTCAACAATTGATTTGGCCAAAGAAGCTATAGTTAGCCAAATATTTGCCGCCTATCAAAAACCACGAAAATACAATGGAAACAAAGATTTTTCCACAGATAATACACGATATTTTGCAAAATAATCAGAGATTGCTAATAGCGAAACATGAAGCAAAGCTAAAGATACAATGAAATGAAGTAAAAGCTCGCTGCAGTGGCCGTGTCGGCTACTGCAGAGTAGGAATAAAATGGCCGTGACCACGCCCATTTTGCCTCTTCTCAGTGCTTTGTACCATGAAAATCTCCCTTAGGAAAGTGATATCCCCCTACCTAGCGCTTTTAAATCAATTTCTAGAAGAAACATGTGGACTATGTTTTGGCAAATGTGGGGTGGGGGGAGGAGGAGGGGGTAATTAGTATCTCGCAACTGAACCTATATCGCTTAGTATCTCGCAACTGAACCATCTAATGACAATAATAATAATAATAGTAATAATGATAATGACAATAATTACTTTATTACAGTGTCAGATTGATTTAGTATTTCTGCTAATCGGCGACACCATTTACATACAGCTTATTGAAAACTGAATCTTTAAGAATTAATGTATCAAAGCTAAAAGTATACAAAAATATCAAATTCTGAATACATTGAATATGATAAATATATCAAAGTCTACATGAAGACTACCGGTATTCATGTACCGTGACAATTTCAAATCTGATTCTAATTTTTGACAAAGTTTTGTAGATAGTGAGGTGCAAATTTTATGACGTCAACTGGGAACCGCGAATTAGCCAAATTTTAGCTTTCTTTGTATATTTGATTGGCTGGCCGAGTTTGATCGTTCACGGTAAAGTATTTGGCCGCCAACCATTCCAAACATCTAGCAACCCCGATTTGTGTGATAGCAAAAATTGATCAAAAGGTCACATCCTATTTAAACAAGAAAACAATGCCAAGTTGAACGTTGAAAGTTGTTTCAAGATCTGAAAGAACGTGGACAATTGACAACATTCTTCTGAATCCCTCGCATGTCCACTTAGGCTCATTAGCCACCTCAATCTATGACTTAATCTGAGATCCGCTATTAGCAGCTGGGATTATAAGGAAATTCGACCGAAGGCAATTCCCTGTTGCATTAGATTTTGCCAGGTTGGCGTTGCCTACAAGCGGTTAAGCTCTCTATAAATAACAATGCTTTTGTATTGTTAACAAATAACATGGTTTTGAAAACAATGCCTTCTCCAATCATGGTTTCAGAACAGCAGAAAGGTCGTGAGTAGAACGGTGCTATACGGTAGACGGCGAGTGCTGAGCGGTGCATCGCAAGTGCAAAATGGGTTTCCAGCAAGGAATTTTGCGATATGTTTTAGCTTTGCAATTAGCAATGCTTTTTTCGTTTTGCAAAGCGTCTTTCGATGAATTTCTTTATGATGTCTCAGGAAGCAGAGGCTTTGGGAAAGCAATTGCCAAAGTTGATCTGCCGTCGCCGGTTCACTTTTACAATGAGAAGTTCACGGCCATATATGTAAGTTATCAATTCATTTATTGTTTGAAGATACGTTACATTTTATCGTCGCATCGTAATTTAAACCACAAAAATAACGAATTTGACGGTTGGAAAGTTGTTACATACAATATGTTAAAGTGAAAACTTTGTTGAACAAAATTGACCTAAAATACAATCTTAATACAGACGCCCAAGCAGTTAATAGATGGTTTTTTACACAACAGAATCACACTGGAATATTTTGCTGATTTTTATGCACTTGAATTTTTTTTAATATGACGAACACAACTCCTTTTTCAACTATGGCTATATCCTATTCAGGTGAAAACCTTTTCAGCAGCCTTTCAGGAAATTAGTATTGACCTGGTTGATCAGTTTCTGTCACTAGATTATTTTCAAGGAAGCTAACATTTGGACAAGATGACTCCCTCTTATAAACTTAAGAAGGCAGGAGAAAGCCTTTCGCAGTAGGACAATAATACTCCCCTCTCTTTCGAAGGATTGCAAAAAATCGTTTACATTTGAGAAAACTTTCTTGCCAACAAGCAGCTCCCCTCTCTTTCCAAAAACTTCGAAAACTCCACCCCCCCCCCCCGAGCTGACCTTATTCTCATAAATCAATATTTTAGACAGTTTTTAAGTAGCATTGTGGTGTGGGGCAAAGTCATTCTGTGAGAAACTCCAAATCACTCGCATTTAGAAATACTAAAGTTTTTTTGCTAACATATGCTTATCGTTTTGTGTAGATATAACAATTACTTTGTTTGTGAGTTTCTAAACGTTTATTTCTTGAAAAACGTTGCCTCGATTGGCTGGCGCGGAATCTTTGTAGCTGGCCTTCTTTGCTCTGTGTCTCAATGAATGGATTCACTAGCCATAGAAAATCAGAAGTGCCATCTGTTTTTTTGTCATATTTCATGATATTTGAGGCAGACAGTTTCAAAACATTCCTACTGTTTCTTCCAATGTTTTTTAAATATGACATATGTAGGCTAGCATACTTTTTCGCGTTGAGTCGGATCGAATGACTTCGAACACGGGACCCTGTCAGACTTGGACTTCTAATGTCAGAATTTGTTCATTCAGTACTCGTTTTCATAGCAAATAGTTGGGAAAATCAAGTATCCTTGCTATCCACAGCATTATTTTGCATCTACTGGATGAAGTCTTTAGACCGCAAGGACGGTCTTTTTAAATCCTTTAGAAAACTTAACTGGGTTCGAATTATTACATCAACGAAGTGGAGAGACTTTGGTTAGATAAAAGAGAACATCTCTGTTGGTTTTGATATTAACTTGCACGAACTTTTTGTGAATGATGACGCGTTGACTTTATGATCAATGGCCCTTTATTCCCTGCTTTGTACAGCAAAGAAACTCTCAACTGGGCTTAGGTCAATGTTCAAATGTTACATTGCGTGACAATTCAAAAGCGAGTTGATGTCAAGTGGATCTCGCAAGATCACAACTTGGACATAAAAGAAATCTTAAAAACTTCCTTTTGCATTGGGTATTAGAGCTCCGCAAGGATATTGGCAAACAAACCTGTGATGTGAAGCCAAGGCATTACGGATACATGTCCTTTGAACTGATGAATCTGTGATTATAAAGGGCTTTCATTTCAATGATGATGCACCTTGTTAGATTAATGCTAATCCTGCTATTGTGTGAAAATGAGCATTTCCACTTCAGCTTGATTGCCGAAGGATTAGCTTCTGTTGCAAAGAAGAAGCGGCAAAGAAAGTAAAAACGGCTCGGTGTATTCGGTTCTCATTCGGTTCGCCTTCAGAACCAGAGGAAATTTGCGAAATTGACTTTTGAGGCACAAATACAGGGCACTCGCCCTGATTTACTGTCTCCCCGTCTCGAATTAGTACAATATAAATTGATTAAATGGGCCTGGATTGAGTTAAAGTTCAATGTTTAAGAGAATTGAAGCAGACTTAACAACCCGTCAAAATGCGTTTTTTTAGCGAGGTTTTTGTTTTTTTGTACAATGAGGGTTGAACTCAATTGATATTTTGCTCTCCATTCTTTTCAATTGTGCTGTTTCTTGGGGATCATGTATAAATCAATTTTGGAATGAGTTTTAAAGTACATACACTTTAGTTTGGTATTTTCTCAACCTTTCACTTTATATACAATAAGAGAAAAAGCGAAATGCGAAAAGAGGCACACTTGAAAAAAACTTTACTCTACCCTTCCAATTCTTCAATTCTTTTAGGAAACAAATTCAACGTAAAAAATATACATTTAAAAGCTATCGAGCACATCAGCTGGTGTCATTTTCCATCCCTGTTTTATCAAAATATGTTTCGATTGGCTTTGTGATGACAATGGCTCTTTGTCACTAACTTTAATGTAGAAAAAGATAAAATTGGAGCGCAAACATGGCTTTTTCCTTAGCTTAAAGCGTTCCAATGTAGTAATAGTGGCAAAATAGATCGAACTTAATCGCTAGAAAGAAGTTACATGCAGAAACACTCATTTAGGACTTTGTCAATATAAAATAGAAACATAGGCTTCGAGAAAAATTGATGAATAACGGCAATGCATTTGCACAATTTGGCGATTCTTGAAGAAAACACATGTTGTTCATCCATAGCGACTTTTAAGTCATTGGTAGTTGGGAAAATCAGAAAGTAGCATTTTGCACAAAGTGGGTTCCCATTTGTGAATAGCTTTAAATCAAGTTTTTAAAAAGCCTCAAAGTTACAGCAGGCCAGTAGGTTAATTGTATAATAGAAAGATAAGGTTAATTTTCGTTGATTTCTAATGTTAATATGCTGTTTAAAACTCATGCAAAATGAATCATTTGACGTATTGAATTAAAATATCTAATGTTAAACCTGGCAAATATTTGCACATCTGTCTGATATTGTAGAATGTGATGTATTTACTCAATTAATGGAGGCGTTTAGACCATGTTTGCTTGCGATAGATGTCTGGATGGCACAAGGCCTTTGTCGTTATAGTATTATATTGAGATCATGTTTGTTCGAATCAACGCCGCAATACGTGGGTTTGAGCCAAGATATGAGTTAAAAGAGACGAGAAGCTCTTATGTGTAATATTTTGATTAGAAGAATGTTTCTGAAAATTGCGGAAAAATGGTACGTTAATTCGACTAAAATAGTGTTTGCCTAGCTGATGCGTGAATGGGAAATAGGCCTTAGAATAGGATATTGAAGGTTTCAAATGTTATTGTTTTTGAAAAAAAATTATAGATAATCTGAAATGTTCACTTTTTGAGATAAGTACAAAAGAGAAAGCATAAATTACAGTTGCATACATAATTTTTTAAACTGGTGGTAAAATGCTGGCATGGATTCAGCTATTTTCTGATTTGGCTTGTTTCGTCGAAGCAATTTGCATGTCAGTTCGTTTAGACAAAAAACTTGCATGTCAGTTCGTTTAGACGAGAAACTTGCAGGTCAGTTTCTTAAGACGAAGCAACGTGCATGTCAGTGCTTTTAGACGAAGCAACTTGCACGTCAGTGCGTTTAGACGAAGCAACTTGCACGTCAGTGCGTTTAGACGAATCAACATCCCTTTCAAAGTATGCGGACACACTGTTTTCAATGCAATTTTTGCTACTCTTTACAGGCGCATACAAACGGATATGTCACCTTTGCAGATGAGAAAATCTGGATACCAAGCTATTTCAGTCAAAACAAGGTCATGGCACCATGTATGGTTGAAATACAAGATAACAATGACCTTGGATCAATTAGAATTGCTGTGACGTCAAGGGAAGAGCAATTGAATCGAGCAAATTATGACGTTTACGCTCACTTTGCGCGCGAAAAAGAATTCAGAGCCAAAGCAGTTGTTGTTGTTACGTGGGATGGACTTCTTTCGCAGGTTTGTTCATCCAGTTCACTTTTAAAAACTAAAGTAGGTAGATGTTTGAAATTTAAATAGAGAAGAATAAGTTTGTTCACAAATACAAATTATAAACTAAACTCCAACATGGCTTGTGGCTCCTTCCTTATAATTTGTTTGTATTTGTTTCTACCTAGCATCCGAAGGTAGTTTTAGGGCACTGAGAAGCTATGCTTATCGAGCAGTGTCCTGATCCTTCCTCTCGATGTGACCACATCTCGTGATTCCTACGCCTGGAATAACAGAGAGCTGGCGACTCTCCCTACTCTGGGTGAAAGTTTGGTCATGCCAGGGACTCGAAACACGGACCCTTGGGTCTTTAGTCAGCGCCTCTAACAACTGTTTTAGATTTGCTTTTTAAGAAGCAGTGTAAAGCCATCATATTATCTAAAATAGATAGAGTAGGTGGTCTACATTTAGGAACCTTTTTTTATTGATGATTCAAGAGTACGCCAAACTTCATTATATAGGTTAATTGACGTAATATTCTTTCAAAGTTTTAAATAACTTAGAATGAAGAAAAAAAGCGAGGAGAAAGCAGGAGCTATGCCATCCACTGGCAACTGTCTTAATGCTAACTTCAACGTTATGACAACTTTGTAATATGCTGGAAATGTTCCCTGCATCCAAAGAAAAGTTATTTAGTGTGCGTTCGTTCTTTTTTACTTCGTTCTTATTTTTGCTACAATATGGCTTTATTTGTAGAAGAGTTTCCTTTCTTGCCTTTCTAGAAAACGACGGTTCAAAATGTAATCATCATAGGGGAAGAAAAGACATTTGCTTTGTTTCTTTTTAAAAACCGGAACGGTTTCACATTCGACAACTCTGTTCGATTTCTCGAAGCTCAGGCCGGGTTTAGCAGCGGAGACAGTGTTAGGTGAGAGTGACTTGAGCCCATAGGCATGATTTATGGTGATGACTTCTCTTATATTCAAAATGCTTTTTTCTTCACTACACACTTTTTTATAAGAATACCTAATTTTTGCTGAGCCTCAATAGTCGTGTAATAATAAGGTATTGATATGTATAAATTCATTTCAAATGAATTAGCCATGCATATAAGCCAGATTGTTTTTTGAACAGCATGTTGCAGAAAATAAAATCACAAGCTCGCATGCACTAATTCTGTTGTTAGATTCATCTCATTCGAAATTATTAATTCTGTTCTTACCTTTTTACTTCAATTTTCTGAAATTCAATTAAACTGATCGTAGGCTCACAGAACTACTTGATGCTCGGCGTGGTCGGCACATTGAGTACCTTTTCAAGTATTCTAATACATTGACTTCTGGAAAGTGGATGTTCTTGATTGGATCCTCTGGCCTCTTTCAGGTGCAGATGCCTGATTTGCACCCAGTTTACAACCCAACCAGTGGCAGAATGGTTCCTCAAGGTTTGTAACTGTAATATTATGACCTTTTATTCCTGTGAATTAAGGTCTCGAAGCAAACGCTATAAGATAAAACTTTTAAACTGATCGAAAAACCTTGTCAAAGAGTTTATCCTACAAGGTTGTTTTTACATCTTAATTGCGCGCGTGACCAGAAGATACTGCGCAGTTCAAAGTTCAAAAGTGACATCTTCAAACGCTGTTAAATCGCTCCGCCGATTCACTGTAACACAATCGTTTTGTTTCTTTAGATACTGACGAATGCAAGGAAGGCCTTTCAGTGTGCCATCGATTTTCGGATTGTTTTAATGTGAACATTGGTTACAAATGCAAATGCACTGCTGGATACTTTGGCAATGGAAGAGTCTGCATCAGAAAATGTAAACATTACTCACCTGCCTAATCCTATTTTAAAGATCTGTGAGAGATTTTAGAAAATTTCTATATTGCTCAACAGAAACTCTGCGATCTGGTTCTTGGTATCTTAAAATCCCCGAGTGTTCAAATAGCCTATAGTTTTAATGACAATTAAACGCATAGAAATTACGTTTACATTTTATAACCAAGTTACATTCTGAAGTGAACGTAACAAAAAAACCGAAAGATCTTAGCTACAGTCTTGGGCTCCAAGATGATAATGGAATTCGAATGTTTGGCAGTATGGTAAAAAGTTACTTACAACCTGTACTTTATTATTTTTTGATCCATGTTAAGAGGTACTAGTGAGAATTCTGCTGAAGATATGACCATCTACTTCATAGATTCAATTGTTAATCTAGAAGGAAAAGTCACTGGGAAAATAAATGATGTTGGAGTTGATCGTGCCTCTTTTGCTGCGCAAGTTTCAAGTAGAAATGGAGATCTCGTTCTTTCTATCGATCCTGTAACATCAAGAATCGGTCATTCTTTGAAGATGCTACCAGCTGTCGCTGGAATAATCGGCTGGCTGTTTGGGAAGAGTAGTGATGGTAGTCAAGGTATAAGTGTTGTTGGAAACCGATTCAAAGCTACAAGCATCATCACCTTCAAAACAGGTAGCACAAATTTAACATGATTTTGCAGAATTACTTTTTCCAATACCTATTTCTAAAACCCCGTTTACTTTCTTGAAGTCTTTCTAACAATGTATCAGCCAGTCTGATCGTTATGTATAAGAAGAATTTGATATCATATCATCAATCTAAGTTGATCTTGGTACATTTGGCTAATAATGCTAACAATTACTTGCTAAAAATTGCTTTATTGAGCTCCATTTAAAATCTTACCCAAAAGGGGATTTCTGGAGTAGTTTGGAACATTGCTAGGGACGATTACATGTAGAAAAAAAGCAACAATGGTTGATTTTATTTGGGGTTTTTGGCTTCGTTTGATTACGTTAAATTTTGTTTCATTTGATATACATGCTAGGCTGCGTTCAGACAGGACTTTGCCTTTTACAAATTTTGTTTGTCATTACAGGAGAAATACTTCACATAGAGCAGCATATGAAGGGATATGATTCATTCAACAGTCTAGTTTTTGACACAGATGTGCAAGGAGATGTCCCGATCCCATTGGCTCAGCCAGAGACTTTGAGTAGAATTGGCTCGTATGCTGAAACCTATGCTATGGGTGATAACATGAAGATGTACAGCGAAGGAACTGCCTCTTACATCATTGATGACGTAACAATCGAATACAAAATAAACAGGGAAATTAGCTTCGAGCCATTTAATGATGTGAGCGCGTATAGAGCCCTGGTTCGGATATCCAGTACAGAGACTTCGTTTTTTCAAGATTCAAGCAGTGGCTTTTTGAGATACAGGCAAAAATATACTATTTCAGGTACATCTTCTTTAATAGAATTTCATACCTTTAGCAGATAATAGCTAAGGCATCATTTATGAAAGGTTTCCTGATACTTTGTAGCAACACAAAAATTAACGTTGTTAAAAACTTTTTTCAATCTATTTGCATTGGCTAGGGACTTGAAATCAAGGATTTTGAAGGAAGTAAACTGAAATACATAGTTCCAAATACCTTCCTTTTAGAAGGGTTCGTTATTAATTCAAACTTGAAGATTATTGCTTTCTAGTCCCTTCAGTGAAGATCAATACAACTCCAAAGACTACAAAGGCTCCCAAGAAAACCACACAAGCCATGCCGAAACCTACCTCTACCAAGACGGAGCAGCTGGAAATAACAACAAAAGCTAAACCGACTGCGTCAACTTTTGCAAAGAAAGAAACGGAAACAAAGGCCGCAACTGAAACACCTTCAAGAGAAGAGGCAAAAGTTTTGGTAACTGGAAGCATAAGGCAAGCAAGCAGTTTCCCAGACAACGCTAGACAAATGACTTCTGTGGTAAGAGGGAGTCCAGAAATAACCATGCAGCCAACGAAACCTGCTTTGCCAAGTGAAGGACCGATGACCACGCCAATAACAACAAAGGCAGATGTAATGACGACAAAGCCACCTAACTGTGAACCTCAGAAGTGTGCTGAAAATGCCATCTGCAAAGCGGTGGGCGGAAGAGGAAAATGCGTCTGTAATATAGGATTCGTAGGAAATGGCACTTCCTGCATCGGTATAGATTGTTAAATATTTGACATTAGTTAATGCTTTCGATCTTGAGCTTTTAAACATATAGCCAAATTAAAACATCCTGTTTATAAAGGTACGGTTAAACTGGCAGAAGTTGGAGCTTTTCCGACCAGACAAAAATAACCAAACTTGTGATAAATCGACTTTCATGGTTGAAAACCGAAATGATGCATCACAGAAATTTTTAAAAACCAAACTTCGACAATTAAAAACCGAATCAAGCACTACGAGATAAAAAACTTAATGCAATCGATAGAAGAGAAAGAATACCAATCGATGCATTGATACCAAATGTGTCTGACATATCAAATGCATTGATATCAAATGGACTAAGACCTAGCATTTTTACTGAGTTATGGCAAAACCTTTGTATGCAAGTTGGCCTTTGTAAGCTTGACTATAAACAGATATACCGAATTTCCTCTATTGAACGCTGCTCTCTGATAAACGCCACCCTCTATTTAACGGCGCATCAAAAGTTGTATTTTGTAATAGACACCGAGGAAAAACATCCATTAGAGGAAATACGGTATTTCTACCAATGGATCCTACGAACACACTTGTACTTAATAAGTGTCTTTCTAAGCGGTATTTTTAACGCATAAATCCATATTTTACCCAGTACCTGAGAAATGTAAAGATCAGAAAACTTGAGTGTTTGTTTATTAAAAGCAAAATGGTTGAAAAGATAAATGTTTGGGATTCTCCATATGTCTTCATATATCACTGCATATTTGCCTGATGTCTTTTATGTTTAGTTGACAGGAGGATCAGCTGTGGCAGCCACATGTGCGATGAGCATTCAGAGTGCATCAGAGAACAATCACAGTATTTTTGTAAATGCAAAGAAGGCTACATTGGGGACGGACTCAGGTGTTTTGGTGAGTTCTTTACGTGTTTCGACTCGAGAAACAAGCATGAAATCGTGTCTAATAAATCCTTACAAATTCCATATTTGTTCCAAAACCTTTTCTGGATTGCGTGATATTTCAGGGGGTGTTTGTCCTAGGAAGAGGTTAAAAAGAGAGGGCAGTTACTTATAGCAGTTTTCCTCTTTTCGTCGTTCTCTCCTGATCATGTGTGGCAGCCAAGTTCTTGTTGACGAGCTTCGAAGATGAAAGCAGACGGGACTTAAAGGATTCCAATATCTAAGCAGATTTTCTTTTAAGGTTCAGAAAACTAAGCCTGCCAGTTATGTATCCCATTATCGAGGCAGCTGGAACTTTTTAAGCAAATTGTTGTACTCTCACTACTTTAAACTCATTGAATCCAAAAAAAACTAAAGCATCTAGATTGGTTTGTGAGTTCTCAAGAGGAAAAATTAATTTTAACAAAAACAGTTACCGAAGTACTTTAATTGGCAATTGAATGATTTACTGTTACAAATGAATAAGTTTCTAATTTACACCACAAAGGTAATCAAAGAAAGAGGCTTTTTTCTTTGCGTCACTATGCTGTCTTAAATTGTTAGTGCAATTGACCGTTGAGAAGCTTCAGCGACCAACTTTCGTTGTCTAACACTGGCAGAGTGTAAGAATTGAGCAGTCATAGCGCAGCTGTAGTTGGCAAAATGGTCTGCTGGCAAATGCTTAAATCGTGCTTACTGCTTCTTTATGCTAACTTGTGTGTCTCGTTTGCAGTCGATACTCCATGTGAATGCCACAAACAAGCAGAATGCTACAATGATGCGGAGGGAGCCAAGTATTGTGTCTGCAAGCTTGGTTTCAAAGGCGACGGATACAGCTGTGTTGGTTTGTTGGAATCTTTTGACATAACTTTTCTAATAAACAGGGGTGGTTAATAGACAGTATTTTTACCATGACTTCTTGAGTTTATGGTGATATTCGGACATACATCACTCTGGTTTTGATATCAGATCTCAGAAAATTCTCAAAAAAACCACGAGTAGGATGCAACTTGGTTATAAAACTTCTTGTAGATGACATTAGTAAAGTAAATGCACAATATTTATCAACTTCGACATAAATCTAGTAGCATTAGATGTATCAAGAGATTGGCGGGATGTACTTTAAATTAGCTTTTTCTCTTCTTTCGTTGAGGTAAAGTTAAGTTGGATATTGCATTGAAATCCATGCCTATGTGTATCGCCTTTAACCTATCGAATGGATTAGTTCATATTCGTGATTGCGTGATGACTGCTTTCATTTAAGAGCAAGCGCAGTTAACTCTGAATAAGAAACAAGAGCTGTGATTTAAGCTCAGGCTGAAAGGTCACACACACGTAATTGTGACGTCATCGCCGTTGTTGATGGACGTGATTACGATGAAAGGAGGTTGTGATAACGTTTCCCTTAATCGTGAAAAGGGATAATAGAACAATTTCTCAAGAAATTTTGTTGCAACTATTTTATGTGACCAGCGGCTCAAAAAAACCATTAGCGTAACATCAAATAAAAAATTGATCTAGTTTATTATCTGTTGCAAAAACTAAAATCAAAGTGATTTTAAAACAAGCAATAGCATTCTCTTAGAATCTTTTTCTTATCATCATTGCATATTTGCTCAACTTAAAAAAACAACTTTCTTGTGAACATAACATAGCGAGAAATACCATAACGATATTGTCCCTTTTCATTGGAGAGCTAAATTTCATTGGACATTTATAACATGTACTGTAACAACGATCTAATGTAAAAGCTTGAAGAATACGAGGAATAATGAAAATGTAAAAGGTTGAGTTACCTGATTGCAGCTAAAACGAAGACGTACATTTCTAAGAAGGAATTACACCCTGTTTGACGCGTATGATTTTAAATCAAATGAAATTATTGACGACATAGACAGTAATAAAGCCTTTGTGGGTGTCTTTAGTGAAATGATAATTACTTTGTAAGCTTTTATTTCCATAAGATAACTGTGACATTTAACGGCAAAAGTAAATATTTCAGACGGTAAAAATCGGACATTAAAAAATGAGGATCTTACACAATTACAGTTTAGCTTTTTACAAATTTCCGAGAACAAAATGTGTTTTGTTTCAATTGATATGGTAACATGGTAACATTATGTTTTGCTTGTTTTGCACAGATATCGATGAATGTCAGGAGATGAGAATAATCTGTCAATCACATTCGCGTTGCGTAAATTCGATTGGCTCTTACAAATGTGTTTGCAATCAAGGTTTCCGCAAGAATGGAACTCAGTGCTTAGGTGAGCAGTTGCTTGAAGGCGTTTGGGTTTATTTAAATCACGTTTTATTTGTCTTTTAGGGGCCGTTCAATAACTACGTCACGCTAGGGGGTTGGGGGGTTCTTCAGGTTTCTCGTGACGCAGCGTGACGGTAAACGAGGGGGGTGTGTAGTATTATTTCAAGTCCGTGGAGTCACGGTATAAAGAAAATTTGAAATAAAGTTTTATTTAGATTTGTCAATAAAGACATATCTTTTACACGGGATTTAAGGCTGCGTTTACACGGGACCTCTTTGAACTGTTCCAAATGGAACTGTTCCATGTGGCTATGGATAGGCGTCGCCTTGCAACGGGATCAGTTATCGGTTCCATTTGGAATTTTTTGGAACCGCGCTGCGTAGTAGAAAGTATCTGCGGAGCCGGCTTTACTTCGAAGTCTTTTCGTCTTTTTCGTAAAATGCAATGACTAGTTTACGTTTAGTTTGCTCAATCAGCTATTTGATAAGTTACCTGAAAACACAGTACGCACCCACGCATCAATCTGTATCCCATTTGGAACCGCTCCATGCGTTGCAACGGGACCTCAACGAAATCGGTTCCAAATGGGATCGGTTAGCCAGGCATACGCGTTTGGGCAGTTTAGCAGCTCCATTTGGAACGGTTCGATTAGGTCCCGTTAAACGAAAGCGACCCCTAATTGTTCATTTCCGCAATTATTTAAGCATCGTACCTATTTTGAAACTCGCCTTGTGTAAACACTAATCTACCACCACCTTTATATCATTTTACTATCGACAGTATTAAATCGAGAAGGGAAATACGATAGCAGCCGTAAAATCAACGACTGTTGGAATGAAAATAGCAGTATACCATAAATCCTTGAATCACTCCCATTTTATAAACCTCCTCTTGAATAATCTCCACCCTGTGAATTTAATTGATACTTTCCAAATTAGTCCCTCTCAAAACATTGCATGTTTACAATACATGATTTTAGTTCTTGATAAATCCAGTATTCATAGACAATTGAGAGCTGAAAATTTAACGAAGCATTTTCAAAACTTTGGCTCCTAACATCGTCTTGCAAATGTTGTGTGTTGTGTTTGACAAAGTGAAATTAAGAAATATCAAAGATTCAAAAACAAGCTATTTGTGTAGTGTCTTATGTAAAAAGTTTTTCAAACCCTCTCATTTGTGTCTCTTAGAATAAGCCTCTACCCAAACATTTCCCAAATCTTCCAGCTATTTATTATGATTAGCCTTGAAATCACTCGATTAAACGGTATTTGATAACCTTTTTGATACATCTTGTCGCTGAATACATATAATACAACTAACATTCTTTCTACAGACATCCCAGAATGCACAGAGAAAAAAGATGCCTGTGGCGATCGCGCTGTATGCACGGAAATACCCGGCTCCTTTCAATGCTCGTGTCCAAAAGGGTTTCATTTCGGATATAGAAAACGAAACTGCTTTCGTAAGTGTATAGCAATAATAATTTGTCTATTTCTTTCTTATACAAAAATTTATATTTTAATACAAAAATATGTCAGATCACTTTTAGAATTACTGCCAGGCTTTCAGAGAAAAAGGAAATTGTAAAAAATGTACCCATCATGTTTAGAACCCATTTAGGGTTAAATGTTGCTTGAAGTTAGAGCTATGGTCAATTCTGCCAGTTATTATTACTGGCGGTATAGGCAGTAGCTATATAAGGAGTGAGGACCCAATAAAAAGACAATTTTGGAATTTCGATACTGATCATTTGAAACATTGTGCCTTTTCGAAATGAAGAGTAAACAATGTCATCTCTACAACAGAAGAACCAAGCCATTTGAAATAAAGAGATAGAAACCTACCTTATCCTTCTAGCCCTTTAGCTAGTACATAATGAATTTTTTCATTCTTTTAGCCGATTGTCCCAGGTGTCTCAATGGTGGAACATGTGTTGGTAAATTTGGATGTAGATGCGCACCAGGATATTCTGGAGAAATTTGCCAATGGGGTAATTACTTCGCTTTAGCTCGCTTTTGTCTGGAAAAGGCACTTAGTTTGACGCAAAGAGGCATGCATTTTAGTAATGAAGCATTTAGTTGCGTTGAAGCATTGAAAAATTTCGTCAATCTCAGGCCACATTGTTTAGATCACTATCGTTCTAAACTGTGTATGCTCTCACATTGGCTCTGCTCCAACATCCCTTGCAACGTTAGGCAATTTCTAATTTTTCCTTGGGATATCTTATGATACATGTGTGAGGTTAATGCGTCAAGGCTGAAAAGTATGCTGAAAGACAATAGATGCAATCATTTTTCAAGGTACTATCCTTCTTTTATTTTTCAAGTCCTGTGTGTTTGTATTTCTTTAATAACTCGAAATATTTTTAGGCAGTCTGATGAATAAAAAATTTCTTCTAAAATGAACACCGACTTGCAAGGGGAGAGGTCCGATAAATTATTGTTCATTAAAACTCTCATAGATTTTGCTGGATTTTTCATACACATTCTTGCCTCCCAAACAGTTGGAGATGAATTTCTGCTGTATTCACAAGGAGGCAACATCAAGAGGTTTTCCTATCCTTATGGCTCAATGTCATACGGGTACATTTATCGCAAGACAAGCAATCTCATGGTTGGGGTCGACTATGACTGCAGAGATAAAAAGGTTTACTGGACTGACATCACATTAGGCAGCATTCAGAGATCAAACTATGATGGTACTGCGATGGAAAAGGTCATAGAAAAACTTGGTGACCCGCAAGGTTGGTAACTGACTCTTCTCTTGATTAGTTCTTTATTGCCAATATTTTAATAACTTACAATAGTTTAACGTCGGCTACTAGACAGTACAATGATGAGTACATTGATTGCTACTAGACAAATATGAAAACAACATGCAGATTGCAACCTTTTTCTTTATCTATGAAAGTTGAGAGGTAAATCTGGAAGAAAGGTTCACTCTAAATAGATGACCTATGGTAACGTCGCTCATGAGAAGGGGATGGAAATCTGAATCGCACAAAACTGGGATTACCTCATTGCATACATGTTCACATTTTATTGTATGCATGCATGACGCATTACATTACATTGCTATGAATATCAAATCTTTACCAGGACATTTGTTCCGATTCGTCAAGACGCAAAGTGTCATCTGTCTCTAGTAGAACTGTTGATAGTTGTAAAGGTTAATTTCTTGGCAGAAGGACAAATTTGATCATAGCTGTTGTTTTCCCTTTTAAGGTCTTACCATCGACTGGCTTGGCCGGAATATGTTTTGGACAGACAACGGTTTCAACGAGATTCAGGTTTCTCGATTGGACGGTAAATACAGAAAAGTTCTTATCAAAGAAGGCATAACCCATCCACGACCCATTGTTTGCAATCCATATACCGGGTGAGTAGCCATGTACTGCATTTTATTGATGACTGTGGACCGGTTTTATCTTCACAAAGGTCAGATAGAAGGAAGCATATATTAATTTTGAGCGAAAGCATAGCGGTCAATAACCTGAAACTGTGTTGCAGAGTATCCTTCCTTCTCCAGCGCTTGATGATCTTTAAATGGCAGCATGTTCTATACATTCGCAAATAAGCCAATTAAGTATCTTGTAAATTATATAAACGTTTATAGTTTCAATATTCTCTAAAGTTCAATCATAAGCATGATCTATAAATCCTATGAACTGCTTATTGTAGCCAGCTCTTTTGGGCGGACTGGGACAGACGACAACCTCGAATTGAAGTAGCATCGATGGATGGTACTGGCCGTCGTCTTCTTGTTTCACGTGATATTGGGCTGCCAAATGGGCTCACAATTGACTACAAAGCACGTGACTTATGTTGGACTGATGCAGCACTGCAATTCTTGTCTTGTATCAATCTGGACGGGAGAAACCAAAGACATTTTGGTAAAAAGGTATGCTTTGCGTGCGTTTTTGACAAGTATACATAGCAATCATGGCATAGATTGGCAAATTAATGTCGAAAAGGGGATAGATTTTAAAATTGCTGCTATTAGACTTTTTTTGCTAACAATTGATTTGTAAAGAACTTGTTAGAAATGTGATCGAAAAACATTTAGGTAACCGAGTGATGGATGAATTCTGAGAAAAAGACTCAATTTGGAAAATTTCAGACCAATTAGTAACATAGGTCTTTTCTAAAGTACCAAACTTACCAGATTTGGAGTTGGATCTTAAAAATAGTCGTGTAGAAAATTTCATGTTGTTTGGAGAGATGGGCGACAAATTACGCCGTTTAGAAAATTTAGCATTTCCTTAACATTTCACCAGTGTTTTCACTGCAGCAGCAAAGTCCGGCCAAATCTTTGAAAATATCTTCATATGCAAAACGAAGTATTCCGTTACGGAACTATCCAAAGGCCGTGAATTCTTCAGCATCAGCTAATTATAAGATGAAAAATTCAAATTTGAGGTGCATTTTTGACGACTTTCTGTAAATAGCGAGATGCGAAATCGATGAGGTCAACTCGGCGAGAGAATAATGGTGATCGTTTAGAAACTGAAGACATGAGTACGCTCGCAGAGGTCTTTTAAGTTGATAGGCAATAGCTTTATATTCATTTAATTTAATATGCTGTCAATACTAGATTGGATATCCATTTGGAATCACGATGCACAATTCCATGATGTTTTGGACAAACTGGGTCACTGACAATATTGGCAGGTATGACAAACAAAACAATGAGAAGATGCCTGAAGTCAACAGCGGCTTTGGAAGAGATGGAAGAATCCTAGACATCAAATCGGTCACGGCTTGCCCTTCACGTAAGCACAACAAGAACTTTTTTTAAAATCATAGACAAAATGTGTATATTGTAGATCAAATCTTGACAGCAGTTTTTCATATGTTAGAGAATTTTCATTCGAAGTCTTTTCGTCTTTTTCGTAAAATGCAATGACTAGTTCCAAATGGGATCGGTTAGCCAGGCATACGCGTTTGGGCAGTTTAACAGCTTCAGCTTCTCTAACAGCTTCAATATGATAGAGAGAGAAATTTGGTGCAAATCGGCTGAGATATGGCCACATGAGCACATATACTTTCTCTTTGAAATCAGTGTAACTTTGCAACTATGTATCTATGAGAGTTTAGGTTTTATGGGCCAAGCCTTTCAACCTTTTACTTCAAATCTTTCATTTGCCACATCTCAACCAAATCTTTATCACATTGGGCAAATTTTGCATATCAAGAGGTATTTGTAGGTATCTTTAAGGTATTCTTTTAAGTTATGTGATCAAAAGTCTAAAAGTCTAAAGATAGATATTTCCAAGTTACATTTAAACTCTATTTGAGATTATTATGTTGTCATAAGATGTTGAAAATAGGATCATTTTCATATGATGTCAAAGAACATCTAAATTATTCGATCTGGATTGTTCTTGATCCACTTTGCTTGCATTACCCGATGATAATAAAATTTCTCGATTCTTCACAAACTTTGTTATTTTTCTAAAGAAAAATAATCACACCAGCACCAGATTTGCAACGTGAATTGTTTGAAAATAACTAGCATTGATATTTGGGGTCGATCGGCTAGATTTGAAAATTTTATTTTTCTTTAGGTAAAAATATATGCAGCTTGCAAAATGGCGGTTGTAGAAAATTGTGCTTACCAAGAATTGATGGTGGAAGGACATGTTATTGATTACAGCGGAGACTGGATTGTTCAAATGATTTGAATGAAGGATTGTTGCTGTTGACTGAAAGAATGGAGGAGACCAGCTACTGCTTTTGGCTGAAATATGAAACTTTGTTGCTCGTACACGCATCACTTTCTCTTTTGTTCGCAAAGCCCTTTCTTAAACGTAAATACAATAACTTTGGAAATCTTTCCTTCATTTAAATGACAGCATGACTATCCTAAACATATATTTGGCTTCTGGACGAAAGAGGAATGAAAAAGAAATGCATTGCACGTGAATTATGAACCTGCTATGTTGTCGCCTTCAAAAAGAGTTTAGTAGAAATAAAGCATTTGCAACAGGCATTCAAGGAGGTGACGTACAGTTTAGAGGTTTTAGTAAATAAAAAACTGTTATTATCCGTCGAATATACCATTTTAGACAAAAACAATTAAGCGAAAAGAACACTGGACATTCTTGCTTATTTTAAATTAGCTTTTATTAGATTTTAATAATTTTTGCTTTGAGATTTGTGTGGCCCAATGCCTACCTCTTCCTGTCGAAAGCAAATAGTTTTGATAGAACTATCTTTGTAAATAGCCATCAATGTTACCCGTTATAAACTTTTTTACAACTAGTAAACTTTTACATTCTACGATATTTCAATTCCATATCGTTGCATATACCAATTTGTTATTATTCGAAGAAATTTTTATATAATATAACAAATACTTTGTGTCCATCTTTTTGTGTTCTTTTAAGTGCAAGTGAAGCCAATGTCCTTCAACTCCCTTAAATCATTCCCAACGCAATTTCGTCCAAAGATAGGTATATTCCAGATGAATTAAAACAACCTCCTGGTCTTTTTGACTTCACCTCTCGTCTAGTGCATAGAGGGGTGCCATAACAGTAGCCTTGTTGGTCTCCACAATACAGCCACTTGTGACCATTTCATCGATAAGCATATGAGCCTTACCGAGATTAAACATTATCTGTTCAAGATGTTAAGGCAAAGTTGATTATCACCACACAAGAGTAGGCTAAACTCGATTTCAGTCTCGAATGATTCATGTGATTTCATGTTTGAAAGCAGCTTGGTAAAGAGAAAGACTAACAATTTGTTGGTGGCACCAAAGTTTGAAATGGCTTTGAAAAAACCAAAAATTCTAAAACATACTACAGCATTTCATCTGACACTCTTCACAGTGTAAATGCTTCGACATTTTACTCTCTAAAGAGTTCCAAGCAAAAAACTTTAGAAATTATATTCTAAATAGGGGTATCACATCCCCCGCAACCTACCGTTGCGACAGCCCTGTTTATCACAGCCTATCTGCTAAATGAAACTGTTTCAAAAATAAATCATTGAAAAGATACATCTAATTCACACTAGAATAAAGAGGAAACGGACTGTTAGAATCTGGACCAGGTAGATAATCAAACATGTGACAGTTTTTACAAATATACGACTTTACAAATACTAATGCAAAAACTCACACAGCTAAATACAAACCATTAACAAAATTTAGTATTAAACTCGGGAGTACAGGCAGAAAGGGCCTTTACCAAAACCAGAATTTGAACTTATTGGTTACCCATTTCTCTTGACCAGTGTGAACATGTTTCATGGACCTTGATTCACATTTTCATCAACTTGCATAACATAAGGATTTCCTACATTTATTTGAGAAGTCTACCAGCTTTTGAAGAAAAGATTCTTACAAGGAAAAAACGAGTGTGATATTGCCATTTCTAATTTTGATAAATAGCTAAAGAAAAGCAATAAAATGGCGTTGCAACAGTTATATATGAAACAAAGAATACGTACTAGAAAGCACCCAGAAAATACTTTATTGCAAGATACAAATGGTTTTAAGTCTATTCAAATCTACTGCCAAACAAAAGCTGCTAATTAGCAGACAGCTGATCTGCTAACAAAGGTCATTCATTGTTTACTTTAAAAAAGTAAAAAAGCATTTCAGAACTATTTATCAAACTTTTTTCACTTTTATTATAAACATTAAAAAAGATTTCTAAACATCCAGTTTGAATAAATTATTACTAGAATTTCTTTTTCCATATCACAATCAATGAACCCGGTGATTGTGCAAAATCTGAATTACAAAAGCATGAGATAATATCAACAAATAAAATACTCACCACACTATCAAAATATTTATCCATTGTCTCTACCATATTATGCATAAATTCTAAAATTCCCAATTCATTCTGTAAATAGAAAAAAGAGTTAAATTATGATTCACAAATAGACACCAGTTGAATTAATACAGCCAACTGCAAGAATGCTCAGCTAATAAAGTTAAAAAGGGCCACCAGCCTCATTTGTGTGTTTGCAATGCGATTTCGTTTTTGCCTATATGACGGTATCCAATGATAAAACAGCTTATATGGAAATAAGTAAAGTCTGAAAATGTTTTGAGCATTTTTGTTGTGTATAAATGCATAAGATGCAATTTTTCACTGTTAAGGGGAAGGGAAGGCTCTTTTTTATGAGAAAATAGCGTCTTACAATTTTCATCCTTAAATAGACATCTAAAAAGTTAAACACATTTTTTGATGGGATTGAAGGCTCTTTTTTATGAGAAAATAGCGTCTTACAATTTTCATCCTTAAATAGACATCTAAAAAGTTAAACACATTTTTTGATGGGATTGATTTTTGAATTGTCATCCATATGAACTATGCAGCACTATTCATCAATAAATGATAAATGACACTAAAGAAAAAACTACTGGGTCATCTCAACATTGTTAAATCATTTCAAAGTTGCTCAAAATCTTCTTCTGTGTTATTGTACACATCACTCTTACTTTAAAGCTCTTTTTTGCTTCAACTTGATTCAGTTAAATCTGCCAGAAATGTTCTTTGTAACAGGTGTCATTCAGAAGAGCTGGTCCTCATTCATCCCAACCATGATCTACTGGAAAGCCCAATTGAAACATCCAAGCACCAGCTTGTCTGAAAATCATAGCGAATATCAATTGCAAGCAGAATATGGCCTTGGATTTTCTTGAATGGTGACAGGAGACTGAGATCTAGGATCTATGTTTGTATTTCAAGCTTCTGCAAAATCAACTTGTGTCAGCTCAAGATTTACTCTACTAAAGATGTTCTTTGATTCCTATCTGATACGTGATATACTTCTCTAAACCATTTAAGACATTGTCTGAAGCCTGGCAGGAGTTTCTTGAATGGAAACATAGTTATAGCCAGCAAAAACATACAGGCCAAGTAATGCATTGTATTTCTGGATCTCATGATGCCATGTCTATTATCTTCCTATTATCTATTGCCTGAACTTTATCTATGAGAATCCTCGTTCCACCGAATCATGACAAGAACATTGTTAGAATGTGAGAGTCATCAGTTCCACCGAATCATGAACAAGAAGTCCTTGTTAGAATGTCAAAGTCATCAGAGGGAGATTGAACAAAAGTCCTTAGCTTCGACCATGCCACCAACTTCGAGTCTGCTTCATTATGGTTACTGAGCGGGTTTTTGAGAACTTCAGCATGATCCTCTGTAACTTTTGTACACTGAAATTTATTTGAAATGATCACTGTCCCGCTAAAGAGATGACTACGATCCTTAAAAATTGCAAGCTCAAAAGGATAAAACAACATTTCTCTGCTTTCTACACTGTTGTGAAAGCTTTTGAGGTCAGAATGTCAAGACTCGTCAAGAATCTCTAACTTCACCTCTCTTAACTCTTTCACCATCCTTTATATGCTGTTGTCCTTGTATGTGTCACAGATGATCACAACTCTTGTGTACCGGTCTGGAATGGTAGAAGGTATTTTGGTCGCCATTGCTCTTACTGTGGATGTAGGGCAAACCAAACAAATGGCTGCAGCAAGGTCCAAGTAGTTCGTGTTCAATTTCTCTACATGTGGTGGTTCATCTGAGCTCATGGTTGTCACTCTTGGCAGTTTCATAAAATTTGGTCCTTACAGTCCTTCTGATGGAGGCATCTACTGTGATAAGAGGCATTGATACAGGTGCAAGGGGAAATTATAGCACTGTCTCAAGATCAACACCTGCATCATGCTTTTTCGAGTGCACAACTGAAGGCCAAGAATGTCTTTCTGAATGCTCTTTTACCATTTCTTTAATCTTCAGCTTAATTTTCACTGAAGAGTCTTTAGATGTAGCAACCACTTTGTTTCCAGTTTTTAAGAAAATAGAAAGCAAGTATATTGGCATGTATTTAAGTTTGTCAGTTGGCATGTATTTAAGTTTTTAGGTGTCTATTCAAGGGTGACAATTGTAAGATTATGCTTTTTAGTCCTCAACAGCCCAAAATTCAATTTTATGCATTAATGCATAACAAATATGCTTCAATTTTCAGATTTTACTTAATATTTCCATTTAAACTGTTTTCTCATAGGTTACTTTTCCATATGCAAAACCAAAATTTTAAATATGAAAAAGAGACTGATGGCCCTCTAAATTTCCCCATATAATATTGATTTTCGAAATCAGCATCCTCGATTTACCAAAAGCATTTGGTCCCATAAATTTTGCTCTGGGTGACGCCTCCAAAGGAAGTCTATAGAAGTTGAGACATACAGATAGAGACATCATTCAAGATTTGTAGCAATATCAGTTAACCTGCACCCTGTGAACATACATCATTGTTTGAGCAATGGACCCTTGAAAACTTTGAAGTATGTGTCGTAGAATGAGCAATTGCCATACAATTGATGAAAGTCTTACCTCTCCATTGTCAATTCCCATGATAAAAAACAGAGATGCATACCGTCTATAAACGATCTTTATAGTTTTATATTCAAAGAATGAGCACTGAAAAAGAATCAAAGATACAGGTATGAAAACAGAAATTTCATAAGTACCAACAAGAAGCATTTTATAATACCACTAGCAAGCTAAAAGACATCAAACTGAAAATGGTAATAAGTCTTAGCAGAGTCTTAGCTAAATGTCATCAGAACGTATTGGTATCATTTGTTAAATTTTTTTCTTATTTCTGATTTGTTTAGTTTTGCTCAATTATCAACAAAAAGGTAGAATATTTTACATTTTTACAGTGAAAGCTCTGGTGTAAATTCTATCTTCTATTCTTTTGTAATATTTCAACCAACCAGTTTTTCTGGATGGAAAACGAATGTTTCCGGCAAAATCCTACGTGGAATTTGAAGCAAAGGATTTCGAAGAAGCCTTGTTTTTTCTTGTTATCAGAATTCAGGAGTTTAAATTGTGGAATATTCGCGGGGAATATGACCATATAAACAAATATTGTGCATGGAATCTACAGCAAAATCTTAACAATGCATGGACTGAATGAAGGATAAAAAAATTCCCTGTGCAAACCAAATTTTTTCAATCTGGCAACTGACCAACCAAGTTCTTGGACATTTCAAAATGATCATAATATGACCTGACATGGCAGTTCATGTCATCTTAGCGTTCATATCTAGTGTTAGTGCAAAATGATAAGAGTGCAAAAATCCTGGCTGCAACATATTTACATCCAGCTAAAGCATAGCCCAGGGTGGAATCCATGTAAAGCTCTCACCAGACATACGCCGACAAACAGTAGAAATACCATGGAGAGTATTTAGTGCAAGCAAAAACCTGTGTAAGCTACATGGATTCCACACTGGAGCATATCTAGTTTTCTGCTTGGTATGCCATTTTCAAATATTTGACTACATAAATCATAGATTTTTATATATAGGGAATGCTCTTTCGTCTGTTAGTTTATCTACTGAGTGAGCTTTCCTACTTTAAATAATTTTCTCACTATACAATTTATTCCTCCTTTTATATTCTGTGAATTTTATCAATCGGACATTAATATATTAATTTTTTCTAAGTTTATGTTAAGGAACTGTTTTACCTTGTTGCAACAAAATGATAGTTTTGATAGTTGCAACAAATGTAATGCATTAAAAACTGAAACTGTGAACTTCCAAATGACGTTACCTGATTGTCTGCTCTTGCAAGACATTTTCTGACGATTTCTGCTTCCATTGCAACTCTTATCTGTTGTTCTTTATATCCATAATACTTCGCTAGTCTTGTCTGGCCTTGTTTATTTACGAGTAAAATAAACTCAATCATACTTTCAATCTATATTCACAATGTTTATTTCCTCTTTTCTGTTAGTCTCGTAGCGAAAGTGAGGCTCAGCATAAAGGAGCCTGAGCTCTAATTTTCTGTGCGCGAAATTTAAATCTTGGCGGTTAGTATTGTAACGGAAGTTGTGAATCAAAATGGAAAGTAAAGGAGGTAAATAGCCATTTTATGTTTATAAATTTGTTCTACGTTTTATATTAAATCATAGTACAGTTTGTCTGTTAAAACTCCTAGTACACAACGAAAGTTTGTACTGTCTTTATGATACGCGATAGGTAAGGTAGGTAAATTTTAATTTTACAACTGACCCATTTGCAAAATCCATCGGCTGCTATAAAATAAGATTCAAGAGGAAGGCTTAAATAACAAAGCAAAACATTCTTCACTAAGCTACAGAGGAGAGTTCTAAATTGTCAATCATTTCTTTCTAAAATCTTTAAGTACCAAGTTTGTTCGTATTTTTTGTTTCGCGCACCGAGACCATCTTTCGCACGGAGAGCACTTTCTTTTCACTTTGAAGCCATAACATTTTAATCAAAATACGAAATTGTCTGTTCAATGAAATTGTTGAGCAAGCTCTGATTTAGACAAAAATTCACTTCATAAAAGTTTGTGATCTTACTCTACCATCTAAATGTTTCAATTAACTTTAATCCAACCGACGTGAAATATACATTGCTGGATATTATTATGTTGATGTTTTTCTTTTCATATTCGGTTTGTAAAAGCTTATTAAATTATTAAATACATATAAAACTGACTAAGGTTCGCATGGTTCTTGGCTGAATGACTTAAGCTGATCTTAAACATCTATTATATATATATATGTGTACAGTTGAAGACCATGGATTCCATGGCAGCTGCACTCCTGAGAAATTTTTGTAAAATTACGAGTGTACTCTTGCACACCCGAATATCGGCGCTGTTTGAGCGTGGTTTTGGGTGTGGCTCAAAATAAAAAGTATTTTCAAATATGACAAAATGACTTTTAATTCTATAAAAAGTGTTCAATCCTCTTGAGATCATGGCTGCCAAAAAGTTTCAGACCTGTTTTTACTGTCCTGTTTAAAAGATGAAAACATGACAGTAGAAAATTTAAAAGATGAAAACCTAAAAATAACTTTCAAAGTAAAACTTATACAAAGCAAAATATATATATATCTTGTAAAATAGCTATGACTCTATAAGTTTGATAGCGACATATAAATATTATATGGTTATTATAAGATCTCATCGTAAACTGCCATGAAATCCAGACTTAGTTGAAGAAACATGATTATACACTAGCAAAAATACAAATTTTACCTAATACAGTATTATATATATATATATCTTGTAAAATAGCTATGTCTATAAGTTTGATAGCGACATATAAATATTATATGGTTATTATAATCATATTCTACAATTTATTTTTAAAAAAAACTATTTTCCAGCTTCTACAATGGAGAAAAAATTACATCAATATAAGCAGAAAAGACAGCTAACAATGCAGACCAAAAAAGGCACCATGTCACAAAATACAAACAAGAAGCCTCTTGTGGAAACTAAACAGAGAGCTGCCACAAGAAAAACAAATCTTGCAAAGCCTAAAAGCAATAAGAAGGAAACAGAGAATAATTCAGCACCTGGTCAACTTGGGAAGATCTCAGAAAGGTAATAGCTTTGTTTTTTCTTTTCATTTTGAATATCTTTTCTTTATTCCTACTGAATTTAGCTTGTAGTGTCTAGCAGAATAAACATTTTTTAAAATAATTATATATTTCTAGGTTTTTTATTCCACTGCTCATTTCTTATTGTTTTGAAGGTTTTGAAAATTAAACAAAATTAATTTAAAGAGAAGAAAAGCTAAAATATAAGAAATGTCATAAGTGCTACCAAATTATTTATCTTGGGGAGGTATTGACCATTTCATCAAATTGCTAGTTGGGCAAGGCTTCTAGCAATATGACTAGTCTTATTTTACTTTGCTGTTTGATGGAATTTGGGTAAACACACTGCTTTGCATAACCTTTCTATTTCAAACATTATGCTTGCATAAATCTATTGTGCTAGTTGACTTCAGGACAGTTTTTGAAGGCACGCCTCTCAAGTTTATTGGTCTAAAAGCAGCTTTATTGGTTATTCAAAACATTAGTTTTGGTCTTCTTAGCAAAAATTGTATCATTTGATCATGTTTGCTTCATTTACTTCAACTCTTAATAGAGTGTAAAGATGACAATAGTGTGCTTACAAGCAGGAGTATATTCTGGAGGGAGCTTTTTCATTTTTTGGTTTACCTGATTAAATCACACTTTTGTGTAGAAACATGCCCTGTGTGGAATTTTTTTTCAAACTCATAAATTATTGAATGATTCTTGAGCAGTGCATATGTTTTTAATCTTCAGTGAGAATTCAAATCCAAAGCAACTGAGCATGAGGTATGTGGTTTCAGGTTGTTACACATTATGAAATAAGTTTGAAAAAATAGTTCTTTAGCTTGAGCAAATACCCTTTATGGGTTTATTTATAACTTCAAGATATGTAGAAATAAAATTAAGAATATATCAAAGCTATTAATAACCAGCTAAGTTGTTGCATCATTTGACAATACATCATAAGATATTTATGATTGAAAGTGGGAACACTTAGCATCAAATTTTTGCAATTAAATAAAGGATCCTTTGATAAAGCAATCTCATCAATAAGTAAATTCAAAACTTGCACACTTCAGGTTTTTCCCTCTAACACTGTTTGGTGTGCAGGAAAACTAGGAAGTAAATCTCAAATTAAATCAAATTTTCAAATTTTGTTCTAAAAAATTTGCAGGTGATAGCATTGTTCTTTTTTCAGAGAGAAGTTAGAAAGGTGGAAAGAAGAAAAGGGGTATGTAGTTCAAACCAATCCTGCATTGACAGTGTTCTGGTGCATGTTTTTCTGCTATCTTTTCAAACAACCTTTTGATGGTACCAAATTTAAAAATGAATTTGAAAAAGCAAATAAATTAAGATAAACTTAAGCTTTTTGTCTGACACTCTTCAGTGTAAGAAGGGTCAAATAATGATAAAAAATGTTAACCTAATGGCTTTTAAGGCTGCTAACTTAGTTCAAATTGCCTAAAGAAAATGTTATAAATGGAATTCAAACCCTGTCCATTATCTGAAACATGTCACCATTATGCTTTTTGACACAATCTATTTTTCTAGTAAATGTTGCCCAATGTCAGAATCACATGTTGCCGGAGGAATTTTGCTTCTGATTTTGGAAGCGCGATAAGTGAGCTCTTTTGGGTGGTGTGAGCATTATCCTATTGCATCTATAGAAAAGGCACTCCTTGTACTGAAAACAATGCTAAGGATTTACAGCAAAGGAACATTTTTTTAATGGCCTTTTTAATCTGCCTTTCAAATCGCACGGAAATGTTACTGAACCTGACCGAGCCATGGTAGTCATGGTAAAACTTTAATGGAACAAACATTATTTAGCCCAGAAACTTGCGACTTTTGCTGTTTTCATGTTGAAATAACACCTTTTGGGCAGCAGTTATTAAAAACTATCTTTTTTACTTGATCCAGTTCTGATTAGTTGCTTTGTGTCCTCATTTGGACTTCCCGTCAAAAAGCTTGAGAACCGTGACCCTTTTGAAAGGCTTCTCATACGCTTGCTTTTTGGCATAATTTTTGTTTGACCTCGCTACTGGTTTTAGCGATGAAAATATTGGTTTTTTGTCTTGCTTGTTACAATAAAAATGTTTCATTTCCAGAAAAAACAGATGCGATAACGTCAATCCGCTATTGTCACGAAAACGACCATTGGTTACCGCCGAAAAGAAAAAAGTTGCACCAAAGAAGAAAAAAACAGAGGGGCAGAATAAATCTAATGAGAAGCTTCAGAGGATGGCGAACAAGCCGGTTGATGGGAATGAAATAGAAAAGCCCGAGGACGTGGTTGCAGTGCAGGATGAAGGTCATTGTAAGAAACAGCATGAGGAAATGCAGGTTGAAGGCAAACAAGAGATTCAAAGTGAAGACGCTACATTGATTATAAATACCACAGATTCTGTCTTGACTCCCAAAGCAACTAATAAAGAAGAAGATACTTGTGATCAAGAAACTGACAAAAGCTACTTGGATCAAAATTTGCAGTCAACCGCTAACGTTGTAAAGGAAGATGGCGGAAGGGAACCGTTGTCGATATCTGATAACGGACTGGAATCCCCATTGAAATCCACAAACAACCAGACCTTGAGTGGAACATTGGCAAATTTGAATGTGAATTTGGATGCATCGATTGAAGGAAAAGATGACGTTGTTCCTGAAGGCCACGAGCATTGTCAAAAAGCACTTTTGCATAGGGAGAAAGAATTGCCAGGGCAGATCAGCCTGGGAATCACCATGGAAGCAATTGAGGAAGAAGTAGAGGATTCTGAAGGATGCGAAGAGGATAAAATCAACGACAAGTTTACAGAGCTTAGAAGTCCTTGTGAGGAATTAGCAAAACAACATTCCATCCAGGATGAAGAAAGTGGCTTGAAGCCTTTAGCCACTAAAGAACGTTTTGCTAATTTTCCAAGTTTTTCACTTGGTACGCCGTCCAAGCATCACATTGTAAAAAAAGTTGTGTCAAAAACGCCCGAAGCAACAGATCGTCGCAGGACCATGTGTATTACCCCGTCGACCAGACTGTCATCTCTACGCCCTGTCATCAGCAAAACGACACCCGTAGACGTATCAAGCAAAAAGGTGTCCTTCAACAAGCCCAATGACGATCGCACAAAAACACCACAAATAAAAGTAACACCATTCCGGAATGGGGTCAAACGGTTCTCGTCGAACAGTGTTTTCAACAGCGCTCCATTGCGTCGCACTACTCCTTTGGTAAGAAGATCACAATCGTCAGGGAAATTTGATGTTCCTGGGACTGTCATAGAGTCACATCACAATGAGAACAAATTGGACAAGGAAAAGGTCACAACTCCATTTCAACGTCGAATGTCACGTCTACCTGCTTCAAGTGTTTTGAAAAGTGCTCCTGTCCGCCCTGTTGTACCATTCAAAAAGACTGAAATAAGTGACAGCATTAATAAGCCCCAGCTGTTCTCTACGCCATCAGCGAACCGAACAAACATCTTGGAATCGCGCGGCATTCTTAAAAGTGCGCCATCGCGACGAAGCACTTCAGTTCTAGTTACCCAACGGTCTTCTGCGAAGAAGATGCAAGGTGCAATGGAAAACAAAGCCAGAAGAAAACGAAGAAACACTATTCATTATAGCAACAGGGAAGAAGGGACAGAGAAAGAAATGAGTACACCAGTTGTTATGGCACCATTTACCCCTCGGGGAGAATGGCAGAATAAGAACTTGAGCATTAGGTAGGGGCTGCCACAAAATTTTATTAACACATTTGAAATTGCCGAGCTTCTCAATTACGGTCAAAACCTGCTATGGCCTTTCTGATGATTAAACCCAAGTAAAACTGATAGGTTTGAATTTGCCTATAGTTTTTATTGAATGATTTTGTTTAACGTTGTCATTTTTTGTCATAGGGAAAGACTTGATCTTTGGCTGACTGCAAAAGGGTGAGAAATGTTAAATGATTAATTTTCTGAATGAATAAAGACAAGATGGGTTCCTTGATTTTCTTCGATACCAAGTTATACGGTGGAACATTACAGAATCCTTGCGCTGTTATCATAGGTTCCAAATCTTTGATCCGCGAAGATCTTAAAACTCCAATACCTCAATGACCAATCAGAAGTTGGACAACAAACGGGTCTCACCACTAGATCTTGGCTTATTTTGCACGTTTTACCAACACCCAGAAAAACAATATTGTTAGTAGAAGACCTAGTTTTTGAAAAATTTGATTAATTTTCAAAATGCTGCTGTTGACAGGAGTGATAATCCCATAGCCAATTAAAGAGTTGGGACCTCTGCTCCCGGACAAACATTGACAACTAGACAAACATTGGTAACTGCAATTTTTTAGTGTTGAAGATTTTATCCTGTTAAGAAATTCGTTATTACCATAGTTACCCCCCCCCCTTGCTAAGAATTGTCGTGTCTTAATAAATAGTTACTGTTTAACATGATTTTATATTCCTTTTTATGTCACAATTTATTTTTTTCTGCTATAGAAACACTGTAAAAAAGCCCTTCGTTGTTCAAAAAACTCCAAAAAGAAGAAAGACGTTCTCGCCATCCGATGACGTAGGCCTAAATACGACGTTCACTATGGACACGTCTGGGGAAGGAGAAGTTGATGATGACGTTGTCAATGTTGAGAAAAGAATCCCAAAGATGAACGCGATTGAAGAATCAATTGTAGCAGAATCGTTGCAACAAATGATTGCACGCCTAGACAAGGTTCGTCTATTTCTTGCTTGCTTGTCCATAGGTCGACACATCTATTTTATGTGGTGTTCTGCTCTTCTTAATCATTCAAATTAGTTTCTTGGCTATACTCTGCCGCTGCGCAACCTGGTCTCCTCATCTGACATTATTTTAAAAGCAATCTTCATTTCATGAGATGGAAAATAGCGCCCAAATTTACGAAGCATGTAGCGATGCTGATAATTCAGATTTTCCTTAGAAGCAGAAGAAGAAGAAACGTTACAGCAGGGCAAGAAAACCCATCCGACCATGTGACCGCGTGGTCGCAGGAAATCTTTCATGGGTAAAGATCTCCAGAAATTTTGTTAAAAATAAACCCTTTCGCAAAAAGGAACCTTTGTTTTTTTTCATTTTCATCAAAAGTAAAAACATGAAGAAAAAGCAGTTTATTTTATGTATGTGTCTTGTAAAGGTTAGAATTGTCGTTCTATCAAGAACCCTTGAAAATATTTTAAAAATTCTTGTTTGACAAAAGTTAACAGCTTTTCATCTGGCTTAAGAATCCTGTTATAATTTACAGAAATCTTGAAAATACTTACAAATTCCTGCTATGCTGATCCCCCAAGGCCCCTATTGTACATTGCATGTCACGGTGAATTTAACTGTTAAAACAAATTTTCTCTTATGCTTTTGGGAAAAAAATGTATTCTCGGTGCTCTTCCTATACCTTCGTCAAACAGTTTGTTAAAAACTTCAATGGATACAAGGATATCACATGTTTAATCTTTTTAGGTTTATTTTGAATGTTTTCAATTTTAACGCCTGTTCCAATCACCCAAATATAACTACCCTTGACCTGATCTGCATTTGTACTTTTTTACCTGCATTCTAGCAACCATTAATATTCTGATTGTAAATTGTTATTTCTAAGGCCCTATTCCAAATTAATTTTGGGAGTCTCGTGAATAAAGAACAATTTTCAATCACCAGAACAGAAAATGATCTTGAAGTGGTAGTAAAATTGCTGAAACTTTTATAAATGTAGCTTATACCTTCATTTACATAAAACTGGTGACATATCATGACAGTTTTGAAACCTGGCCCTTGCTTCGTTTATCTTCAAATTCTTGTAGGAAATTTATGCTTGATTTGATTTTTATGTCAAAGTGAGCATATTCATCAGTTTTCTACGCCCTTTTCCAGCCCTTTGAGGAAGATTCGATCAAAGAGGAACTCGATCTTATCCTATCCACATCCCCTGGCGTTGTTAGACTTGCCTCTTTCTGGATAATCCGTGCGAGGCTTGCTGCTGTCAACGGCAATGTTGAAAGGGTTATTTGTTTGCTGGAGCAGGCGAATGCATTTGGTGCTCAAGTAAGTGTTCATGATCATTTTGTTTGTTTCATATGAGATGGCGCATGCGCTCTTTCATCTTGTTATTTGCCAATCAGTCAGCGAAAGGTGTTTTTCCTTCCGTGAAAGAAGACTCGTTGAGAATTGTTTCTTTCTGTTAACTTTTTTCGATAACTGACACTTTAAATTGAAATTCACCCCATGCTTTCACAAACCGTGTTTTCAAGTTGATGCGCCCTCTGCCTGGATGTCTTTTGAGCATCCAATCAATGCCATCAAATATTCACGTCTCACTTTATCCTTTCTTGTTATAAATGCGTGATATTTTCTTTCAACTTTTGTTGATTTTCATCTTGCACTTTTAGCCACAATCTGTTATTCGTGATGAGATTTGTAAGTATTTGGAACAATTGAAGGAAAATGAGCTCGAAAGCGCTGACAACGACCAAGGAGTCCCGTCTTATTATCGTAAGTCGGTTTATTCTTAACGAATATTCTTTTTGCCAAAGCATTAAATGACGAAATGAAATCTTAAATTTTCTGCAAGTACCCTCAAAGCAACTATTTACTTCTTGAAATGATGAGAAAACGTTTTTACCTACATAGAAACCTCTGTAATTTCGTCTCTGTTCACAACTTTATGAATAGAGCAAAAATAACAGCGATTCTTTAGCAAACTTCAAATCTTCTATTGGCCATATCTCACCTGATTTTATAGACATGGAAATAACCGTAACTAACTAACCGCAGGTGTTGTCAAGGTTCTCTAAACTGTTTCATGATTCCAGTATGCCAGAAAATTCAAATCCGCCAGGACCATTTCAAATTTTACTTCCGGTCACGTGACAAGGCAAAATTTCATTTTATGGTCTTAAAAAGTCATTTTTTATAAATCTAAGGCAACCATTGGAAAAAGCGTCAAAAGAGATAAAAAAATCTAAAAAACATCAACCCTGTGACGTTTATATTTTAAGAGATATGGACCATTAAACTTTTGATGATGACGTCACAAAATATCTATAAAATCAATTTTTTTGTTAAAAATTGATACATGTACTTCAAACCCAAATTCACTAAAAGAATCATCTGTTGTATCATCAAAGGAATCAAGCCAGGCCCAAGCACTATGTTGGTCAGACATGGATGTACTAGACCAGACGGAAAGGAGGGGAGTACCACTAAGGGGCGGAAAAAATTTTGATTACCGGTTTCGAGTTCTTTATCAACTGGAGATATTGACTTGTGATGGTAAATGGAGATTTGCCGCTGTTTTGGGGTAAAATGGGGGTTATATCCGGAGAAGTTTCTTCTTATTCTCTGCGAAGGAGAAACTTGGCTGGAATGACGTTTTTAACAAAAAACCTGGTCTAAGCAGTGAAACTCATCTGCGACATAGTTACCAAAATATATTTTACAGAACGTTTAGCCAGATTCGTGTCAAAACTTATGAAAAACCTGAAAGTCATGTTTAGAATGTGATTAAAGTTAAAAAAATTCTAAAAGTAGCTTTTTTGTGACGTCACACTTAAGAACTCTATAGATCTTTCTTAGCTCCTGGTATTTTACATTATTTCCCCTCTTATTTAATAATTTAATCAATGGATAGAATTCTTGCGCAGGAAATTTATCATCGTGTTTCCCATTGAAAGCCTTTTGACCTATTCAGTGACCTGGGTTTCCATCATTAACGGCGTAGTGGGTTCAAGTTTCAATGTGAAAGCACGAGAGCCCTTTAATTCGAAACACTGTGACCATCAATAGAGTCCAAAAGTGATGACTTCACAAAAATATTTTGTTTAAGAATATTTTTTTTATTTGGAGTCAATAACCGAAAAGAGCATCATGAAATATCTCTTAATGTGCAATATCAGTCAAATGAGTTCGAATTAGCTGAAATATGACCAGGGTTGGAAACATATATTTTGCTTCTTATCATCTTGCGTATCAAACGTATCACCTTATATATGCTCAGGAACTATATGATTAAGAGAATTAAAATTTCAGGAAGCCATTATGGATTTAACATTATCATTTGAACAGCATTCATAAACGGCTGCGGGCTTTCTGCCAACGGCTTTCAAATCTATCAGGCTTTAAATATTGTAGATTTTTTTGACTACCTATTCAGACAAGCATAAAAATTTTTTATTGGAGAGGTCCCACCTGAATGGAGCCAGACAACATCAACTGCATGATTCATCGATGTCCGGCTAAGTCAGTAGTTGATATATATATATATATATAAATATATACCCAAAACTTAATGTTAAGGTCAAAGGGCCGGATCCATTTACAATCATGAGAGAGTAAACAAGCTTTTTTGTATTTATTGTCAGGTCAGAACAGAAATGCGAAATCTTATTTTCATGTATAATTTTCGGGAAAAAACATGTTTTTCTAAGTTGATGAGATATTTTATTGCTGATAGTCACTTCGACGTTTGATGCAAACTTAGACAGACTAAGGCGCTCAGACATATGTTATTGATGTTTGATTTATCATTACTATAGAAACAATCCGCTTTCTGGCTCATTTCTAGCCGTGTGACAAAAACATGCCGCATTTTTCATGCCAGACCCTTCTCTCGTATCAATATGTTTAACAATTCACCATCTCTCCTTATCGATTCCTAACAAGTCTATTACCAGAGTCTTGTCCATAAACTTGTACTTTAGAAAGCATGTAAATAAGAGCAATCGTGCTAAAAACCGATTATATCAAGCATAAAACAGCTAAATCTACTATCGTAATTAAACAAGCTACCGTAAATTTGTTCATATTAATATACGTGGCAATTGCTAAGGTAAGGTGGGGACTAAATTTTTTGCCGTAAATGGTTTATTTGACCTCTTTTTCTTTACTTTTTATACAGGTAGCGACGAATTAAACTATAGCAGGAAAGCAACAACAACACCTGCAAAAAGAGTTACGTTTGTTGAAAGTCAACAGCACGTTGTGTTTAAGTCATCGCTCATCAAGTTTTGTCTTCTTGAATCCACTCCGTTTAGAAAAAAGTAAGTTTATATTGGTTTGTTTCTTTGCTCCAACGCCCATTTTTCAAGTGGATGTAATGAAGCTTATAATATTTCTTTTATTAATTAGCTTATAATATTTCCTTTATTGTTTGCTTTGTTTTTGTATCTTTTGTCCTAAATCTAAGTTTCATGAAAGAAATTGTTTTGAACAGATTTTCTTTTAGATTTAACACCCAGGAAACGCAGCTTTTCTGTAATGTTCAGAAATTTACTTGCAAAATGATTTTGGTGTCTCTTAGGCCTAAGGTTGAAGTGCACGATGCACCCGGCTGTGATGGATTTTACCAAAATCACTTTGCAAAATCACAATCACAAGTTAAAAGCCACTTTGCTAGCCTGAAAATTGCGTGTATTAAGTTTCTTCCAATTATAAGCATTCAGCATAGATAGCTATTTTATTCGTCAACTTTGAAGAAGTATGTTCTCATTTTTTTTTGTTTTTTATTTAAGGCTGAAATCGACCCTTGCAAGGCAGGTTCTTACCCCCGTTCGCCGATCAGGTCGCATTGAGAAGGTCGAGTCGCGACTTTCTTCAGTGGTTCGGAGCCATAATCGAACGGTCTCATCACCGCGTGACCTCGAATCAAATATCCGTGATGGAGATGTCTACTTTATGCCCAACCCAAACGTCGAGACTAAATGGAATGAGCTTTGGGGTGTCGATAGCACAGCCGTGTCTGACGAGCAAGAACTATCTTTTTGCTGAATAAACTCTTTTATAATTTTATGATTGTAGATAGTATTAGAAAGTTGACTAGCCTTGTAATCTTTTGGCTTGTATCCATTTAAGATGAATTTCAAGATGATTAAAAATAATACCCTTGAAAATACATCAAATAGTCTCAAATCAGGTTGCAAGACAAGCTTAGATATGACTAGACAAAGACATCTCAGGAATCATCCCTTTCATTAACTTTTTCCTGAAGACACTTAAGGAACACTCTTCAATTCCTTACGAATGCTGGTTTATTTATGTTTTACTTGTGTATATAGCAGTTAGTTTTTAGATCGTTTTTAGATTTTTCCTTTTTTTACATCGTACACTGACTACTCTGGCAATCTTGTCACTTGTTGTTTCTAGCTATCGACAATTCAGGCTGACAAAGCTCTTGAATGTGAACAGTTTTTTTACTTCCAATATGCGTGAAATAGTGTCCAAAAATGACGTTTCGATTGACCACTCTGTTCGTGTAATCAGAAAAACCTGGTCATCTAATTTACGTTGATCGAGTTTCAACCATACGCAAAATCCTCAGTTATCTAAAGCTGTTCTTGATCTCTATCACTGCCAGACAAACCCTTGGAGTATATTCTAATTGATTTTTAAAAGCTCTCTAATTTTCTTGCTAGTAGAATCTTAAAGACAAGATCAGAGCCTCCAAAAGATGTTCTTATTTGCAGCTTCTACATCAAACGAAAGAAAACGGATTTTTTTGGTGCAGAAAGATGGAATTGAAAAATTTTAACATTCAAAATAGTATATTTTTCTGCAAGCACAACAAACAGAAGCATACCAGACAAATGGTGGCTTTTGGTTCTGATTTCTTAATTTTCTTTAATATAAGTGTTTAGAAAGGTTTCCTATTTTGACACTTATTATTTCCATGCTTTGTGCGTGCATGGCTCAGAAACGAAAAACGACAGAGAAGTTTCGTAAACATTATACTTCATTACAATTGAATGTTTTTCTATACCTGAAATTTTCCCGGAAAGTGCTAATTTAATTTGAGGTCTATTAAGCCCCCTTTTTTAAGTTCCTCGTATGAAGAAAAAGTTTGAAAAAGCCCCCCTCTTTAGCCTCTGATGTCGAGCAAAAAAAACGCTAAATGCGAGAGTTAAGTGATAGCTTATAATGTTTTTTGTTTTAATGCTTCCAATTTTCTATTTCGTATGACTGAGAGTCCAGGCTTTCTTTCTCATTTGTGCTTCTAATGTCTCTAGCCTTCTTCGCAATGGACACAATGTTCTTGGAACAACCAGTCCATCTTCTACCCTTCTTGGTCCAGTTGGTGAGAATGCGAGGAAATTTGCTCGACAAATTTACAGAGCAATTTTAAATATGCGCATTACGTGGGTCTCTTGATGGTTCTGATAGTGATAAGATCAAGTCTGGAGGATGCTGATCCTTTCTAAGGAATCCCAGAACGAAGGAATCCCAGAAGTTTGTCTGAATCTGATGAAGTCTTTATAATTGACTAATATTTTTCCAAATCTGCTAGCAAAGTTTTTCGACAGCAATAATGCAGAGAAGATACATAAAAACAATTTTATATAATTTTATACTTTGAATAATTAATAAGCCCCCTCTCTAATAACACTTCTAGGGTAGAAAGAAAGATGTCTTTTCCAACCTTTTTTCTTGACTTATTTCTTCGTTAAAAGAAACATTTTTGAACTGCACAAAATGTTTTTAGAACTGCATATTTTGGATGGAACTGCATGTTACGAAGCCCTGATCTGTATGTTCCAGTTGCATGTATTGTTGCATATGCTCCAGTTGTAGAGGCAGGTAAGCATTAAATCATTCAAAGCCTGGTTGAATACCTTTGACAATGGTTTAGTTTCATGTCAATAGTGAAGATTTATGTACATTGAGGTAATTCTTAGCATCAAAAGAAACAACAGATATGGAGAAGGTTTATGGATTGCTTTGCCCAGATAAGGACCTGAGCTTGTTGCTATTAAAACTGGGAATCTCTTTGGTTGCTCCAGCTGCAGATAATTAAGAACACTACCATTGTAATGGGAAGAATCCTTCCAGCAACGCCTTTCTTGTGATGTTGGAGGTTAGCTAGTGCTTTTAATTAATTAAGACGCCACCCAGAAATTCATTTCATATAAAAATGCCAAATTTGCATTTGTACATAAATTACAACATGCCAAGTTAAGATCAGTTTGACCTAAGGCCAGATATCACTGACTGGCTCAAGGGAAAAGAATGGCGAGCCAAAGAAACACGGAAAGTAAGATAACAGAATGCATGGAATTTTTTTAAGAAATCAATAAAGATGAAGAAGGCGAGGGAGATTGTAACAAGTCACAAATGAAAACATGTAGATTCTGTGGTGAAAAATGTTATCTTCAACAAAAGCTGGTTGGAGCTATGTTTTCCATGTATAATGTTGCTATTTTTCCTAAATTTTTGAAGAAAGTAAGCATTGCTAGTTAGCAGTCAAACTTTGCATAGAATGGTTAGCTTAAAAAACGACTTTTGTATCAATGAACAGACGAAATTTGGTATTTAAGTTTGAAAAAATCTACATTCTCGGACATCGCTGTATTAAATCATCGTGAATGAATCTAAACTACGATTTGTTTGTTTCTTGTTCGTTGCTTCCCTAGATAAAGATTTCACAGACCCAACAACTGCCAGAATCGGCTGAAAAACGAGCGATTGTATTTGACAGACAGGACACAGTCGATAGGGTAAATGATGCCGTTTGAAGCTACCAATTCTTTCGCAACCGCCTTTCCTCCGTTTACCTGGATGATATCATTGTTCTTGCTTACCAAAACACTTCCTCCATTCATAGCTGTCATTGGGCAATCGTTTGAAAAGGCGCAGCGGAAATACGTGCCGTGTATCAAGTGATATTTAAGCAAATCTTTTAAGCGTTTCTCATCTCCGAGGATCTTTTCCAAAGATGCTGGCTTTAATTTGGTGAAAGCAGCATTGGTAGGTGCGAAAATCGTCACAGGGCCTTTTCCTTTCAATGTGTTCTCCAACTTGGCTTTTTGGATAGCCGCTGCGAAGGCATTGAATCGTTTGTCTGTACTGATGATATCAAACAAGGTTTGACTTGCAGGCCGAAGTACCTCAGATACCACGTGCACTGCTCCGTTGCAGGCTTCGATGTTGCATTTGGAAGACTTCAAACAAACCCCTTGAACTGCATTGTTCTGAGAAATAGAAAATACAAATTTCTGTTTTACAATATGCGTGCAAATATTGCTAATAGATGCTTGCCTGTTTATAATGCCTCTTGAAGGTTGTATCTAGATTATACAATCACCCGATATTCAGCTGAAAATGTCATTTATTTTGTTTGTCATTCCTTGACTCTTGTTGCTCTGGATCTGAATATAAAGCAACTTCAATAGTATCTATATTTTAAACATTTTCCCGAAAAATATGCTTGAATACCAGGAAGATTTCTTTAAATTTTAAAAGTAGCCATGTTTGATTACATGAACATCCCCGAAACCATAAAAGATTATTTGCTCACAATAAGCCAGTATGAAGTAAAGCAAATTCAGTTGTCTTTCTGTTTAAATGACTGCCCTCTAGAGCTCTCGATATCAAGAAAGAAAGAATTCACTTTGTTCATGGTGCATGTAGAAATAAGCTCTGGATGATATTCAAGAGTTTTCTCGATGCTATTTGCTACTTGGATTTCAATGGTTGCCAACTTTAATTTTTGTCAATGTAGAGAGAGTCATCAGACCCGCCAGTCCATTTGGAATGAAGATAATGTTGAAACCGCATAAGAAAAAGCTATCAAACATAACTGTCAATTTATTCATACAGCACTTAACCTGCTGAAATAAATGTAACTAAACCAACTGAGGCAAAAACCGCTAAATATTTAATATTCAAAAGGTGTTTGTAAATTGTTCTTTCATCACTATATTGGTTTTCAAAGCCAGCGAGTATGGTAAATTGCCTTTCAATGGAATAGATAGAACTGAAGGCAAAAAGTGAGACGAGTACTGGTTCTTCACTGCTTGAAAGAGATTGTATAACGCCATTTATCATAAAGTGACGCTTACCGTTCCGTAATCATATACATTTATTCGTATCTTATTCTTGCCATCTAAGGTGTCCAGCAACATGTCATTCTCAAAATCACACGTCTGTAAAGAGCGAGGCACAATGTGAAATTTGATTATATCGGTTATGTTCTGGAGGGTGTCTGTTGTGCTGTTGCCTATAAACTTTTGCATGGCTGCATCAGACGGTGCAAATATTGTATATTTTCCGTTTTCAGTCATCAGCGGCTTCAGTCCGGCTTCTTTGATAAGATTTGTGAAAATATGGGCGCCACCTTTCCTAGCAATTTCCAAAACAGTCAAAGCTGTAAGGGAAATTTCAAAGAAGTGTATCAGGTCGAAGATCATCTGAGTAGAGTCAAATCGTGTTAGCTTTTATTTACTCAAAGAATAAACACAAGAAACATTTTCCAGGACATTTAAATGTTGAATTTTAATCAGCTAATCTCAGTCTAGAAGAGTGTAAAATAGACCTTGTGGAAAGTCATTAACAAGGAAATAAACCGGGAGGGTAACTGGTTGTGACACCCTTCTACCAGATCAGTTACCTAAAAGCAAATGTTTTTAATTTCCTGTCTATCATGATAATGTTTTTTTGCTTACTTTACCAAATAAAGTTACACTTTTTCTCACGATACCTTCATTCAACTAAGAATTGACTATAGATAAAAATGTCCCATCTTTTGTGTGTCAAAAGCTTTTGTAAGGTGCTTTTTCTTCTATCTCGTTGATATTGTATAGTTTCTCAAAATTTTTAGCTGAATTTTTAGTCAGAAGTCATTGCCAATTCCAATTTTTGAAAAATGTTTCATGTAGGCACTATTCTGGAACAAAATGTAAAAATGTAACAACAATGTACGGAAACTTAGGCACCAATTCTCTTAGGCACAAGGCACAAGGCACAAGGCACAAGGCACAAGGCACAAGGCACAAGGCACAAGGCACTACAATTTTTATGCAAAATTGTACAAATGAAAAAACGTCCTTTCTTTGACAAAAATTTACATTTTCATTGGGCCAATCTTTCCTACGGCAAAATAAGTTTCATTTACTGTCTTGCATATTAATTTTCAATGCGAGAATTAATTTAAGTAGCACCATCAGAGAGTGTTTTTTGTTCTTTCTTCATGACAACTTTACTGACTTGAAACAAAGCTTTAAAACAAATTTTGAAATCGTTGCGTGTGTTTACCTGAAGTAGGAACGAGAACACTGTCAATAATGTGAATGACTGCATCTTTTGCCAATATGTCGTTTTGCAGAAACAAGGCCTTGCCTACCATCACTGTTTCATTTGTTTTTCTCATCATGTATGCCGTACCTTCCTTAGTTCGAAGTCCAAAGGATCCTTTGTCAATAATTGTTGTGAAAACCGGCTCGGGAAGAATGTGGTTGAGAAGAAGGTTCTGTCGATACCAAACAAAATGACAAGTACAAAGTTATTCAAAGTTTGACTTGATATAATACAAAAATAATGCAAAATTTTGATAACCCAGCTATAGCGATCGTTAGAAATCCGCTCAGCATTTCACGTTTGATAGAAAAAACACTTCCATCAGCATTGCTCCATTTTTTGTTCGACTAAAAATAGTCATTTCTGATCTTAGTTTTATGATAAACAATAGCGTATTTAGAACAATAAAAAATGGTTCCAAAACATCGTTTATGTTCACTGTGAAAATATGTTTTTATCTCACACTTTTTTCAGCTTTGAAATTTTGATCAGCGCTGGAAAGTCACGTCATCTGTTGTATATGAGATCAGAAACAACTTTTTAAAAAGTGGAAATTGCTTTTAAATTACTTTACCTTCATGCAGTTGGGCGATCTCAGAAGTCGGCTGAAGACAGATGCGTCGATGTTGTTAAACGCTTTATTAGTGGGCGCAAACACAGTTGATCCTGCCGGAATTGTGACATTATTCATTACTAATGCTTTGCGAAACAATGAAACCTTTCTAATGCCTGCGAGCAGCTTTTCCCCTGTCGTCTTTGGCACTTGCAGAATAGAATCGATTACGTGGATAATGCCGTTGCTTGCACCTTTATTTCCAATCACAACACGTGCTCCGTTGAATGTCACAACCTTTTAATAAAAAAAAATTGGAAGATAGATATTTGGAGAAAGAAAACCTTTAGTTTAACTGAGGACCTGCATTGCAAAACGAACAATATGAAAATCATATTTTCTTTTTAGTAATAAATTCTGAATTTTCTATAAAAGGTAATTCAATCGAAAGACTATATGTAAAATCAAATGTTGTAATATGTAATCTGGTCAGCTTACCCGCCTATGCATAAATAGATTTACTCTCAATTTGCTCGACTCCATTGAAGAAACAAAATGGTTGTCTTTGAGAGCTGAAGAAGGAACTTTCCCTTTGATTACATGCAAAAGCAAAAACTTAGAAAGTTCTTTTTTGTCAGCCATCAACGCTTTGAGCTTGCCTTTGTCAATTTTTTTAAAAGCTGCATCGTTTGGAGCAAGCAGGGTGTACTTGGTTTTTCCAGACAGCGTTTCCTTCAGGCCTGCTGTTCTAACCAGTGTTGCCAATGTTGACAGTCCCATTCTTTCAATTTCCTCGAAAATTGTTTTGTTGGACACATAAAGTTCTAAAAAAAGTATTGCAAAGTTTGTCAAATTACTGAAGGTTTGATGATCAGAATATGGAAATGAAAACGATAGTTGTGAATACTTAAATGTATGTGGAGGACAGACTTAACTCCTAATATGCCATATGCCAACAGCGGTAATGTAAGAACGCAACGGAAGAGCATTATCACTTTAAAGCATGCTATTTATACAAATTAATTTTAAAATGTCAAAACTAAGCTCTGAGCATCCCGCTAACTAAATATTCTTGGATTTTCTGTCCCTTTAGATTGGTCGAAAATGGTTTAAAATAGGTGTTTGTCAATTATTGCTAAAATTAAGTCTAGGCCCGTAAATGTCAATAGATAAAGGACAAACTTCAAGAGTTCAAGCTAGAATGTTTACAAAAGTGTACAAATTGAAACAATTATACCGTGAGGGCAACCAGACTTGTGTAGCATTGCAGCAAATCCTGGACAACAGTGAAAAACCGTACGATACTGAGATGTCCTGAAAATTTTGCAAAAATGCATTTTGAAATGAACATTGCAAAGATTAAGAATGTTAAAAAGGCAAAATATGAGCAAATCAGTTTGTATAGTTTTTTAATGCAATCAAGGCCTGTGTAGATATTGCAGTTAAAACAGGCAAATTAAAATGTCTGCAAAGGGATAATTGAAACGAAATCATGTCTGGCGCAGCTAAAAACATTGAAATAGATTCAGTCAATCTTTTGGGTGTCCTTTTGTCGTAGTTATTTGATTGAAAAATGTTAAACACATCAAAGTTGATGGTTAAGAATCCAATTATGGTGAGACAGGGTGGGTCGCATAAACATTAACGTTATCCACCAAGAATGAGATAAGTGTCCAATCAGTTTGCTGTGGGAGAGCTTAGCAATAAATATGAAGTTTTTGCAGGCAAGGCAATTTAATCGTCAAGCCGATTTGTTCAGCAGTTGAAAAGATTTAGTTACGAAAGAAATTTGTACAAGCTTACGAAATGGAGGCGAGATTCTGTGGCGGTCATTGTGAAGCTTCAATTTGTTGCGGTCATATAATTGGTGTTGGCGTTTGAAGAGAAGAGATGAAAGGTCTAAGCAAGCCTAATTATGACAGGCTTAGATCAAAGCTTTCAACGTTAGCATTTCCAGATTGTTTGTCTGTTGTTTCAAAGCTTTTCAAAAGTGTCTCTTAGAGTTGCATTTTTATTCATCAATATGTAAAACTATTGATGTAAAGCACAAATAAGAACCACAAGAGGAAAGATGCTTCTAGAAGAGACTTTCTACTCACATTGTACAGTTGTATTTGTAGTTTAAAATAACGCATTTTGTCTGAAAACCAATCGGGATTCTCTGCACACAGACGTTTGGTCTAAAATTCAATATAAGCTGAAATGGATTATTTAAGTTGAACAATCAAAGCATATTTGTATGTACTGAAATGGGCTTTTGGGCTCAAAAGATAAAACATGTTTGGAATAAATTGCACTCTTCATATCAACAAGGGTTCAAAAATCACAACGAAGGAATTTTAACAACTTGCTTGCAGCCTTTTGACGAGAAACTAAAACGGAACAATACTAAACCGCTGAAGAATAAGTTGGTGAAGACATCGAATCATTTTTGAAGTATAGATATCTTGAAGTATAGTGAAGGGGCGTGTCATTCAAATATCGGACAATGTTCACGTGGAGGGGGGTGGGGGGGGGGAGGGGGTAGAGTCATTCAACGTTATCACAAAGAATTTAGATCCCGTTGAGAACTGGGGCTCAAAGATACAAAGATTTTGTGTTTCTTTTGAGAAATATCTATATTTCTAAACCAGTCTTCAAATCTCCGCCATGGCATGTGCTATTAATTGTTTATGCAATGGCCAAATTATCCTGTTATGATGAAGTGTGGCTTAGCCAAGAGGGCAGAGTGTCATCCTATCTTTATGACATTTTCAGTGAAGTCTCAATTTAAGACTAAATTTGGACTGACCTTTCTTTTACCTATTCTATACAAATGATGACATGTCAGTTGGTTGATAAAACTTTTCGTTTCCGTTTATACCACAAGATGACGCAAAGTGTCAGTAAATTCCATTGAGAAAGGTGGACAGTGAAAATTGACTATCGCAATGAATTAGCTTTTACCGGGCGTGACATTCTTTGATTAAAGAAATTTCCCATACTTATCTTCATTGAAAGTGTACTGACTGAGTTTACTTTACCAAGATATTGAATTAAATGTTAATTCCATTCAATTTACTGTCTTTTTAATATGATTCTGTATATAAGATTAAAGATTTCCAAGCTCTATTCTGCCTGCCAAATACAAGAAAATAATCGATTTCTGTTTCAAAGAAGATAATCAGTCAAATTGTTCATTTGGCCAAGATCTTTCCCATAAATGAGTATAATTGATCGACTTTCATATGCTTTTACTAAAATACAAAGTCAATGGAAAAAATGAATTCATTCTATCCTGAAAGGACCACCCTATAATAAAAGTTAGCTTAATGTTAAGAATCTTTGTCTTTCAAAGTGACAGCTCCATTGAAAAAATGCAGGTCCCAATAAATCATTATGGATAAAGTCGTTATAATCAGCAACTCTGAAAAAAGTTCGAAAAATTTTATTATTTCTTACTCAGCGGGTTTTTAGTTAGCCTTGGTTGCTTTTAAAAGCCAATGTTGTGATCTGATCAAAAAGCTGGCCAGCGAACAGCGCGTCTCGGTTTTATCAGAAAGGCCAACCAGCGTACAGCATTATGTAATGGTATCTGGTCAAAGTGGTTTACAGCTTGCAATCGTTAGAAGCAGTATCATAATTTGGGTAGACCAATTGAATTTGCGGGAGCACAAACCGGTCGAGACATAGGACTTTAAAAACACCCAATTAAGATGATTTCTTCAATAACAGACAGCTGAAACTGTCATAGCTTCGATGTTATCACACGCATTTAGTGCTCCTCGCTGAGACCCTCCGCGACTGATCTTTCTTTATACTATTGTGACACATTTTCCTACGTTTGATGTACAATTTCTCTTTCTTCCTTTGTAATTGCATAAATTGATCTATTCAAGCTTTTGGATGCTTTTCAAATAGCTCCCTCGATCATTTCCTTCATCAAAGGCCAGTGTAGAAAATTTTGATTCCTACCTCTTCTTTTCATTTGATTCTTTTCATAGAAAACAATTATCATGCTGCTGTTTATTATATAAAATTTGAATTTAAATCTTTACCGTTTGCTCTAGTGATTAAAACACCGAAGCCTCGTACAGATAACAACCTTTGCGTATGTCACTTGAATAATAATTACCAATGACTAGCGTCTCTACCAGGAGGACTAGAATTCAATGTAAAACCATTCACTCCCGGTATAACGAAATCGTTATCTTTGTCCAACAAAACATATATCTATCTTCGCCGTGGGGTAACATCCTCTAGCGGTCCAAATAGCTCGTCTGTTGCGCTACCTCTGAATTTCATCAAGAGTAAAAAAAGGCAGAAGTTTAGTTATAGGCAGGGGTGATTTCTAAAAAATTCAAGAAAAGAATGCTCAAGGGGAAATTTTATAAGAGAGGGTGTGTTTTCTTATACCCAAACTCATACTTTTACAGATGCAAAACCATACAATACAGGAAATAGCCACGAGAAGTCTTAGTTACCATGGAAACCTGCAAGATATCATCATATCAAAACTAGAAAGCAGCACACGATAACAAACGGAACGGTGCATTGCTATTATGAACGCAAGAGAACTTAGGTATTTCTTTGTCTTAAAAACTCTTTTTTCGGGTGCCAGTGCTGATCTGTGACTCAAAAGCTTGCTGGAAATCAGTTCTTTCGCATTTCATAAGTTTGATGGAGATCCATTTAAATAATTCTGAAAATATTTGATGACAGCGCTGTCACTGCAAAAGCTGATCCGGCAGGTGTGCAAAGGATATACCCCCATAGGAAGGACACTGTTTGAAATGAAAATTGCTAGAGATAAGAAAAAACAATTTGTGTGCTTGCTACATCAAAATCTTTGCAAATGAAGCATATCTAGACTATAAAGGGGAAAGTAAAAACTTTGAATATAATCACAAGAAAAGCTAGTCTGGAAAATGACAGAAAGCTATTGTTATAAGTTTTTGTCCTTCATTCTGCAAGGTCCCATACCTCCGTAAGTGCAATAGAACTTTTTGCGATGATTTTCTGAACTGTAAGCACTATGCCCTGAAAAGCAAGATCAATACAGAATGGTCTGTGGGGGGGGGGGGGGGGGTTAAGACCCACTAAGGTAAGAAAGGTTTCAACAAGGGGGGCTTGGCTCTCTGTGCCCCTGAAGGTATACGAAAGGGACAAGGCTGATTTTAGAAGTTGATAGCAATTGGGCTTCTGAAGAGGAAGTGAAAAAGTGTGGAAGCTTGATCGCATTAGATAGATAATTACGAAAGTTTTTCAAATTATACTAGAAAATTGCTGTCCACCTCTATTATAAAGCAGTAATTCATATGCATAGCGATGATTTATTTAGAAAGGGTAAAAATATTGTAGAATCTTTTGCATCCCACTATGGTAACTGTAAAGAAAAATATAACATAGAAGCTTTGTTGCATCAAGAATGAGAGACGGGGACTGGTCGTAATAAAGATTGTATCCGAGAAATGTATCCGAGAAAGGCGGGAGTCTCCTGTTAATGCAATGCTAATGTCATAGCTAATTTCAAATAAGTTCTAAAAAGGAGCCTTTTGCACGTCTGAACGCAAATTGTTTAGATAATTAGTGTGGTGGTGCAAGTGACATCCTTTATATTGCTACGTCAAATGCTTTGGGTGTATAGATAAAGAAGGGCAATGGATAAAAACTAGCAACAAGACACTAAGTATGCAGGGATACAAGTAAATGTAATCCAAAATCTACATGTCAAAAACAATATTTTCTAAAGACAATAATTCTTTAGATAATTGTTCACGATTTAACAAAACTCACACCTGTTGATGTGTCGAAGTGAAAAACATGAATAATTGCTTACTTAGAATATACAGAATCTGAGTTGTTTATACACAAACGTGATCGTAACATAAAATTACAATGAACTCTACTTACCCCAAAGCCTTTGCACGCATCTTGTCAGACACTGTCACTTCTTTTCCTGGTCCGATTCTTTCCAGCCTAGAAAAGTATCCAGGCAACTGCCATTTCACGCCTGATACACAAGCCACAAGGCAGCAGAGCAGAATAATTTCACTTTTTCCCATTACCCTGAAACTTGTTTGCCTCCTTCAAACTTGCTTGCCTGCTGTTGGGTACTTGTTTGCCTGCTGTTGGTGAAAGCGACCTTCTTCAAACCAACCTTACCCGAAGTGATGAGCAAACAACGAACAGACAGTTGCTCTTGGTCAGGGGGTCTGCTGCGAATATAAATTCTCTCACAAAATAACAGTATCATAGCAACTGCACAATAGTAAGCTACCGCTTTAACAAGGTTATGATATCATAGTACATGTTATCGTATCCATTGATACATGATATCCAATTTTTTATGAAATTATGTAACATCTTATTTTCTTGTTAAATCGCATGATGTTCTGTTTATCATATTTTATTTTATGATTTTATGTCACAATGTTTCATTTCATTTCATGATTATCGTCTTTGATTATTTTTATCAACCGATTACTTTTCTGAGCTTTGATTCGTCATTTACTTTTCCAACCATCACAATGGCGAATTCAAGTCGCACTGTTTTGCCCACCTTTTGAGACACATCCATGATTAGCCATTGGTAAATGTGGTTTAGTAGAATGATTCTTTAATATTTCGCAAGTATGTCTTTGAAATAAATAGATTCTTATCTAATAACCAAAGATATACCTCTTAATTTCGACTCCACAGCTCACAAAAGGTAAAACGTGAACATATTGAAGTGGCATCCAAGACCCTCACTATATGAAATCACACAAGTGAAATGTCTTCACACATAATCCCAATGCTTAACGAATATTTGTTTGCTGCTGAGTAACACTAAAATAATTGACCATAACGAGATTAAGAAGATCCAGAAAAAAGCAGATTTTAAACTCAGGAATTCGAGTCATCTCACCTTGCAATCCCCTGTTTAACTTTCGACGATCGAGCTCTTCAATAGGCCCAGCTACTCCTGCATAACGCCTTTCTTGACAGGGACGCCGGAACGACCAAGGGGCAAGAGGGGTAGGTTCGAATAAAAGGGCATTTGAAAGATAACCCTCAGATTCTGGTAATTTCTACTAACTGTCATTTAATTTCGATCTTTTGTAGGTATCTTGAAAATGAGCTAACTTTGGCATAAGGATTCATTCTACAAGTTTTGAGAAATGTCATCATGAATTAAGCACTACAATCAGAATTTCATATGAATCTCTCTGATTATTACGATTGGTTGGCTTCAAGGGCACTTTAACAAAGAGCACAGTGGCTCTTTTTACCCTTTCTATCAGAAGGCAACAGGGGCGGTTGACCCCCCGCGCCTCCCTTCTCCAGCGTACCTGTTTTTTGATATCTTTGTTTTACATAATATGTGTTTTTTCAACAAAATATGTAGAAGATTTTTGTTTTTTACAAAGCCATTTTTAAATTTCTAATTTATTAGATAAAATTTCTTTAAAAGAAACGAGTGACTCACATCGATTGATATACATAGACTAAAGATTGGCATTTCATTACTCTGAACGAAAATGCTTTCTGTTCTTTTAATGGCAACCACAACTTATCTTCAATATTTTGTTGGTTTCATAAAGTGCAACTAGTGTTTTGAATAAAAAAATGATCGGGAGAAATGTTGTTCCAGCATTTATAAAGCATCAGATTGGACTGGCCGTCAATCAACGGCTTGATTGTATGTCAGCCTAAATCATGTACTCTGTGTCAGCCAAAGGTTTAATTTGAGCATCAAAGTCACTGTTTGTGACGAAACGGGCTTTCTGGCTGGCATATCTTCGCAGAATCCCCGGAAAAATAGACTATCAAAAGTGCAACTGAGCTATGCTAGCTAGTATAACGAGCCTCAACATTAAATAATTGAAAATTTTGGTCTCCCAGCCCAGAAAACATGGGTGCCACTTGATCGACAACCTTAATGTAAGCCCACCCTTAGCTCAGCCTGATTTTCAGAACAAGCTTTTCAGGCTGAAGGGTATTGTTTGAAGAAAGGCCATAATCTCATTGAGTCTTTGCTTGAAAGTTTAATTCAACGTCTCAGGAAACTTTAACTCACGCTTTTTAGCCATCAAGCTTGTTTTTGGGCATTCAGTGATAAATCATTTCATTTTAGCTAACCATCTATCGAGTTCCCCCAACTCTTTATAGATAACCTTGTTCAACTGTACGATATCTTTTGGAATGTGCTAATATGTATAGACATCAGCATGAATAGACATATTGAGCTTTCACAATGCAGCGGAGATCATTTATGGGCATAAAAGTTGATCAGACCTTGCTGGTTGATCAGAACAAGTCAAGAGCCTTGTGGAACACGTATCTTGCTGCACTCAAAAATGAACTACTTCTATTAGACCAACAAGATTGCTTCCTGTTTGTTTTAGACAAAAATTACTGTTTTTGGCATGAAAATTTATTCAGCAAGAATAGATAATAATCGGCGATAATCTTGACTCGACCTACAGATATATTTGCTTGGAGGGTGCAAATCACGCAATCTGCAATCAGCAATCTAGAAAACGTTATTTGACGTCATCAGGGGGGCGGTTAGACATTGGTCAATGTGATAATAATTGGGAGTAGGAGATTGGAAAAATTGAAATTAGTCGTTTTCTGTTTTCATATTTATGCACCAATCTTTTTATATTATTTTTGGTACCCATGAACTCTGTGTCTGTTGAATGCACCTCTTGAGACTAAGTTTACAAAATTAAAGTGAATAATTTTATGTAAGTACATTGCTTAGGAAGAATAATTCAAAATTTCGTTAATCCCTCATCTATTTCTGTCCTCACTTTTATGTTGCTCTGCTACCCTGGATACCTAGGAATATGCTTTGAAAAAACAATATGCTTTGAAAAATTACTCGCATGTTGCCAAAAAGAGCTAACATTAAAAACTGATATCTAGTGATCGTGGAGACAATTTACGGTAGAAAAATAAATTTTGAAAGTAAGAACACTTGAGCTTGAAAGCATTAAAAATTTCGATTATGAGCCTCAGCTAAAATGATCTGCTTCTTGTAAAAAGATTATACGCGTACAAGAGTAGGCAGGGCGACAATGTCTCAACCTAAATTCTTATATGTGAAAAGGTGTTGATCATTGATTGAAAATCTTCTTCTTCCATCCAATCATCGTATTTCCATTTACAGCTGCAAATTTTCTATCTAGACTTATTTTGAAAAGACAAATGCAATTTTGTAGTGTTTTCGTTGATATAGCAAATAGTGTAAAAGCAACAGGATTTTAAAGACAACTAATAGAGAGTGCGGGAAATAACCGACCTGAGCGAGGCTCGAACTCACGATCCTTTCAAGCCATCACCCAAGGTCGAGTCATTCACCCGCACTGCCCATATAGCAAATACTAGATCAAAAAGTCATTTTACCTTTAATTTGTAGCTTAGACTATTCATGGTTTTGTTACGTAACTGACGAAAGAAAGTTCTAAATAGATATTTACAGACTTCTAGAATAATAAGCAGTGGACCCCTAAATTATCTACTAAAAAATTGGCTACCACAAGACTGCCATTCAGTACGTCCCTTGTCATCGACTGTCTTCAGAAAAGAACCTGGTTAACCAAATGAATACGCTTAAGCGGATGAAAATTTTCTATCATCTATTACAATAAACTGGGCTGGCTTTGCATAGCTCAGACTGAATATTAAACGCCTATTTTTGCTAAACTTGGACAAGTGGACAGTCTGGTGTCTCTTCCTCGTACAAACAACGTGCTTACACCATAAGTTATAAGCAGAGACCAAATTACAGGGGCTTGACGAGGCAAGAGCCTGTGCTCATTCGTACAAAACATCTACTTAAATTTGCACATTAAACTAAGCTGCACATTTAGAGATATTTTGTGAAGCTCCTTCAGGTTATGAGATCAAAATTGAAGAATTATAAAATTACATTTTCCTGACACCGTCATTATAGAAATCTAATAGAGCCTTACCTTGTAATCTTTAAAATAGGTTTTTTTATTAATTGACTTTGTCATCTATTTGCCTCATCTATTACATTTGAATTCTCTGTCAGCGTATAAGGCAGCAAAAGAGGGCGGAATAAAACAACGCCAAAAATTTGAAATAGCTTTGTAATATCATGATTAAATATTTTATTTCAACAGGCAGCTTTATTAAAATCAAACAAAACACCAGGTTTTTCAGAGAATATTTTCTAGGAACATTTAAAAACATAATAACGATTCAGCGGAAAATTCAAATTTAAAAATCTTTGCGTTTTCTGTGTATCAAATAATAAATCAGCGTTTTTATTCACTGCAGCTATAATTCAAAACATGACACTACCAAATATATCTAACAAAAAAACACATTAAGGCTTTATGAAAAGAGTAATATTTTGCCGGAAATTATTGCATGAATAATTTGCTAGAACTATGAAGTTTATTTAATGCTTTCTACAGAGCATGCAAGATTGAAAATGAATTGAAATACCAATAAAGTCAAATGGGCTTCTTCTGGATATACCAAAGGGTCCGTTTTAGAAATAGCTATAATTATGTGTACAAAAATTTATAACTTTTGAAAGTTTGTTAAGATACGATTTTATGTTCCTCCGTCCTATACGGACTCTGCGTGGCCTACTGCGAGCCCTTAAGAAGTGTTTCTGTAACTTGCAATTTTCAGTATGGTCCTCAATTCGGACGCTTCTTATTTTCCCATTGCCTTTTTTAACTACTACCAACATGTAATGACAAACTGCTAACGTATGCCCCGAGAGTCTTTTAATTGGCATTCATTTGCAACGGAGCGTCCGCATAGGATCGAGTGTGCGAATATGTGAAAAAGATGGCGGAGAGGTATAGTCGGTCAACTCAAATCGCTTGACCTTCAACACAATTTGTATTATATTGACAAGTTTACTGACCTCCGGAGATGGAACTGTTTATAAATGGAAAACAAGAATCGCTCAAAAAATAGTGCACCTTTTTGAAATTCCTTCTTACTTAAAAATTTCTGAAAAGAATCAAGTTCTAACAGGTATCATGGAAGGTCTAAATCTTTATGTTTTTGGCGCTACTTCTAAGAATTAATCGAGGTTTAGAATTTTTGTGGTATTAAAATATTGGCGAAAACATTGCTAGCAACTCTGAGATTTTTAAGCATTTTGCTGGGGTACCTCCTAGCTAATGAAGACATAGCATTTAATTGCATTCTAGTAGTGCATCATAGCGCAATCAATTTCTCTAGAAATTATTGTAATAATAAAAACATAATAGATATCATAAAAGTTAGGTAGAATTACTGTTTCATCTGCTTATATTTATCAAATGTAGCAGGCGCTCCAGTCTTTCTTGGAGTTGCCACTTCTTGCTGTAAAACTCCCTGTCCTTTAAACGTCTATGAAATGTTCCTTCATAACGTAATCTGCATCTAGCACCGAAGCGTACACCAAAAGATATACCGACCAATGCAATCACAATTCACAATCTCGTACTTTCCTGGCCATCAGTTTCTGGTGCAATTTTCAGCGTATAGTCCTCTGATGCATTGTCACCCTGGTTGATTGGTGATGGCTCTACGCTAACTGTTACGGAGATATCTACCGGTTGCGCAAATCCATCTTCTCCGCATTTGTCATCATTGCTTTCCTTCTTTTTAAGTGATTCTCTCTTTTTCTCAAAGTGGGACTTTCGTGCCGCTTCAAAAAGCTTTTGTGCTTCCACCCCTCCGGTTTGGGCAACAAGTTTGTACAACAAATTGTTCTTTGATTTCAGCAGATTGTAAGGTTTATCAAATTCCTTTATTCGACCAGCATCTAACACCTGTGTATCGAAGAAAAAGTAAAATCCATGGATTAACAACAGCGTGAAATTCGTGAATCAAGAATGACGTCTTGAGAACCTTTAAGCAGAAGGCACGTAGTGCTATTTGTAGAGTAACAGGGAAGCCTTAAAAGTCAAGTGGCGAAAAGGGAGCCTATTTGACGCTGGAGCAGGGGCAGTGGTTATTCGGAGTAACTGGTTAATATGTCATTTTCCCTTCCAATACCTACCTAAAAATATACAATGACGCGGCAGACCAACCAACAGCTTTCAAGGAGACAACACATGCACAAATGAGGAAAAGTCCCAGATTACAAAAATTATTGCAATCTTAACATTTTGCCAAAGTAAATCCAGTTTTATTTCGCATGTTTTGTAAAAAATTTCTTTCCCATATAAATATAAAATGCTAGCTTAATTTTTTTATTGTCAAAGTTGTCAAATTTTACTTCAAATGTTGTTTGGTCATCTTGTATCAAATCTGTCGAAGTTTCAGGCATTTCACGCTAATAGGCAACCAAGGTTAAGGTTAGATGTGGATTAATTGTGGTTTAAATGTCAGTAAGATATGGGTTATGTGTGGGATAAGTGTGGGATAAGTGCAGGTTAAATGCGGGATGAGTATAGGTTCAGTGTGGGTTAAATGTGGATTTAGTGCGGGCAAAGTGTGCGATCAGTGGCCAAAAATATTTGACGTTCATAATCAAGGCATATTAGATCAAATAGTTGCTTACCATAATCCGATCGGAATCCATTATCGTGTTCAGTCGATGCGCAATAGTGAGGACGGTGCAATCCTTGAATTTCTCCCTTATCTTCGTCTGAATTAAGGCATCCGTCCTGTATGCAAGACAGGTATTTTAAAGAAGTTTGGGACAGATGAAATTGATACAGCAAAGGAGCACAAAATGAAAGCGATGATGATCAGTACCAGATAGAAAGCAGGCTTTATCGACGATTGCCTTTAGCATTAGGGTATTGCTAATGAAACACTTGCCTCTGTCAGATTTCGAATATATGTTTGCAAAGAAGCAATTGAGATTAACAAGTTGCCATAAACGTTAAAATAGGTTGACGTATGGAATGATTTTTTTCATATTTATGCAAAAGTGAAATTTTTACAGAAACATTGTTGCAAAGACGATGCCATTGGGGGCATGATAGACGGAGTTACCCATCGACCATAACGAAAAGCAATACCCTAATACTAATGACAATTTGACGCAATTTTAGAAGGAAGTATTCGAAGAAGCTTCTCTTGTTCACGTACCATTAAATTTTATTCTTTGACATGCCTTTGATTTGCAATGGATGTATTCAAAATGCACTCATCTGATCATGGGCGAAATACTCCAGTGATATAATTGTGATTGACAATCTACTACATATTTTTAATTTTCTGATTAGCTTTACTTGGACAAAGAATGTCGTCAGCACCTTCCATAGTGACTATTGGACGAAATAAAATGAAAAGTTTCTGCCTTCTGTTTTAGGCACAGTTAACAGTTTTTGAGCTGATTCTTAGCTTTTCATTCCTTTAATACACAGCTGCTCTCTTTATACGTCTGGATCTGCTTCCTAAAATGCTACCCTTAGGCGCCTTTTCCAGTCAAACCTATGCTTTGAGAACGTTGCTCTAGCGAAGCTCAAAAAATAAGTTAGAAAACTATTCGGGTCGGTAGAAACAAGAAATTAGTAATTAGAACAATGCTTGGCAGGGTTCTTGCAACATGCCTCCATCAACTGCTGGTTTGAAAATATTTCTACTTTTAATCAGATGTTGCTTTATTGGCAGCAAAATTAGAATAAAAAATAAGCAAAATAAAATTCACAATAAGGCAAAAATGTGTAACTTAAGTAGAAATGAATCATATTGTCTAGAAAAATTGCTTTCACTCACACTGGGTCGACATTAGCAGTCGCCTCATCAATCACAAGAATCTTGTTCCTTCTTATAACAGCTCGGGCAAGGCAGACCAATTGACGCTGGCCAACACTCAAATTACTTCCGGATTCGGCCATCTGGCTCTCAAGCATTCCTGGCAATGCTTCAACAGCATCCTTCAGTTGGACCTATTGCAAAGCAGACTTACAGTCACATTCTATGTAAAACATGTTTTTTTTATTCCACCGAAGGTTTACTATAATTTTCTAGCAATCGATGTCATAACAGTCATAAAGGTCTTGACACGAGTAACCTCTCAATCTATAAAAGAAACAATTTACGAACTAGTGGAAGGTTGATATTACGGAAACAGTTGCTTAGTTTCGCTGTACATCGAACTTTAATTCATTAAAGACTAATGAGGAGGGCGAAAATGCACCTTTAACAAAAACTTAGTTAAGAGTTTCCGTAAAATTACAATTTCCACAAACCTCTTCAAGTGCATTCCACAAATCTGCGTCTGAATGTTCAGAGAACGGGTCGAGATTCTTCCGCATCGATCCACCAAACAGAACCGGGTCCTGAATAATAAAATGTGACAGATTAGATAAAAATGTATTGTTAACCGAAAAAATATACTAAAAGAAGAAAGGAAATTCTTACATCTTTCCCAGCCCACCCTATCACAAAATTTTTACAGTGTCTCTTGCTGTGAAAATGCTTGAAAAATGATGAAGCAGTAGTTTGAAAATTTGAAAACAAAAATCCATTGAAGTGAAAATAGGCAATCTGCAATCTAGCCTCAAAATAAACGCCAACGTTTCAAAGTTTTGCTCTTCAAAATGGTGCATGTTTTTAAGACTTTTCAAAATAATCAGATATTTGACTGCATAAACTAGGCGAAATAGGCTTAGCGCGTAACATATTTTGGCGGGAAATTGTTGAGAACCTCCCGAGTGCCTATGAAAATAAAGTTGCTGATCATTTAATTATGCAAAAAAATCCTGTTTGTAAAAGAATAGACCGTGCAAGGAAACGTAAAGCAATTTGTAACCACACAACAGCTGTAAGAATGTACAAAAGCTTTTCGAAAGTTAACCGATAGGAAAGAAATAAGCAAACAGACAAAATTGAATATGACTGGCTTCATAAAAAACTTAAAGATCACGATCCAAATGAACTCCACGGATAAGAGTATCTCCGGGCCTGGCCGATCTTCCGCAAGAATGCAATGACTAATTTAATGAATTTCTCTCAAAGAGGCCAACAGCATTTTCAAAAGTTTGCAGTTACCAAAAATAATATAGGAACGCAGGGCCGGCGAAATCGGGGGGCGAGGGGGGCCATGGCCCCCCAACTTTTCAGCAGAGCTAAAGAAAAATTTTAGGCAAAAGTGGAAATAACTGTAGTATATGATTCTGTAAGTAACTTTGTCTAGTTTTCTCTTAAATGTGTCCTCAGCTTAACCTTGGTTGCTATGTCTTTACCTTAGAAGACATACATAAAATTGAATATGGGAATTAGATCGAAGAAATCGGTCATTGTCTAAGTTTTACAACGAGTAACAGCATGGCTTAGCAAATAGATTGAGAAACCTAGTCCAGAATAACTTGGTGCCAGCACAAATTGACGGAGTTTTGTTTTTTCCGTTGCCTAAACTTGGCACACAGGGTCTATTTGTTAATGAAATTTTTTTCAGAAATATTACAAAAAAGAGAGAAATCAGCTGTTGAAGGAAAAGAAACAGCTAGAAAGAACTTTTTGAGGATATGAGAAAAAGGTATGGGCAGATTTGTTTTTAAAAAGTATCATCAAGAAAACTTCAGAGTTTGATCGTTTGGATAATCCATTCCTACTAAGAAAGAGAAAATATCGACGCAATTATAAATTGTATTCAAACTCATTTTGACAAGCCCAGTTTGAAGGTTTTTCAAATTTTTGTTAAAGCATTTAATTTCTGAAAAAGTTAAGATCAGATGTTACAAGGCTATATCTTAACTGTACAAAATTGCTTAACTTTTTGTTTTCAGTCTCCTGTTGATATTTCAGCGCTAATGTTTTTTATTAATCCGTGTTTCATTTATTTTTCTCCCCCATCTTATTTCGGGTACTTTTAAAATCTAAAAAAAGGTTCCTTACGAGCTATATGATAGTGATTATTCTAAAACTTTGCAAAACTTTTCTATTTCAAGTCGACATCACAATAGACGCGACTATGCGACACCTTCAGTCAAAATTCATTTAAATACAGTTTCTTGCCATCCCTAAGACACCATAATTATAAAATTTTTCTTGCCGCCAACTATGGTGGCGGCCTTTCCTATGGTCTTTCAAGACTTTGATATTTTGGCCCCTCTACTTTCAAATACGTTTCGCCGGCCCTGGCAGACTGGGAAAAACATTAATTGTTTAGTTCTTAAAAAACCTTGTAATGAACTGAAGTTCCAATATTTGTGTGCTATTCACTCCTTTTTTCGAGATGATTGAATATTTCAAAAACGCATGTTTATGGTAAATCATGATTGTGTTTTAACTTTGTTAAGCTCTGTTCTCTGTTGGCAAACTTGGCAATCCCAAGACGAGTCGAAGCATCAAATCATTTTTGAGGTATCACACTTTAACCTTCAAAACCCATGATATGTAAAAAAGTTTTGAATCACTTAATCTTTTCTTATTTTAGATGCTCGGGCATACCTGTGGAATGATAGAAATTTTACTTCGGAGATCTTTCAAACCCATTTGCGTAATATCCATGCCATCAATAATGATTTTTCCACTTGGCTCACTAGACGAAACAAAGTCGTAAGAAGAGACGATTTTCCTGCTCCAGTTCTTCCACACACTCCGATCTACAAGAGAACAAATCCAATTTCATGGCTTGCAGGGCATTGTCACAGAGTAAAAGTCAACAAACAGGCTCTATTTAAGTTAGAAGGTTGTTGGGACAATAACCTGTTCAGCCTCAAAAGAACATTTGCTAATTAAAGATGAAATTTGAACATTAAAGATTAAATCATAAATTTCTAATTTTCTTCTGGCAAAGGATTACATGTACCAATACAGAATCAAGAGGAAATTGTACCAGACCTTTTCAGAGGATTTGATATGGCAATTGACGTCTTTTAGCACGTAAGGGAGGCCATCAGCATAACAGAAGCTCAAATCTTGAAATCGAATAGAGCCTCGGTCTGGCCATTTAGCAGGAGGCTTCGTGTCAGTTTCAGGGGGTGCTTCTGGTGGTAGATCACAATACTCAAGGATTCTTTCGACAGAGGTCATGTGATTCTCAAACTCCGTACTTTGTCGCACACATTGCTGGAAAACTCCTGTGATATTGATAGTGTAGGCCAGTATAAGACCAACCTGACCAGCAGTCAAACCAAACTCATCACGTAGAGCCACAGAGATAAACAAAACGAATGAAATAAAGAGTAAAGACAAAATCTCGAGTCTACAGGCAAGCCATGCGGCTGAACCAATGAAAGCAAACCAAGATTTTGTGTGCTCATCCTGGTATTTGAAGTGGAAGTCAAAAAATCGTTCCTGTACTCTGAAGGCACGTATAGTTGGTAGCCCAAGAAGAGTTGTAGAGACGTTACCAAATAAAGGACTGCGATCTGAAAAAATATCAAAACATTAAAGTCATTTCTTGTACGCAACTGCGCACATTTATATGATTCTTTATTTTCAAATGACATTTGAATTGACAATAATGTCAGGCATCTAACTGATGCTCACTAGATAAATTGAAAGCCATAGTGACAAAACGTTCTATTTGAAACAAAGCGAAAATGAGCAAGGATCTTCGACCACTCGCGGACAAAAGGTCCTCCATTAGATCGTTCAGCAATTAAAGAAGAAACCATGGTGTCTTGCTTGAAATTTTAGATTTATCAAGGCAGATGTTATGTCCTTTCACGAAAAACTTTAAAACACTTACTAAGGCCTTCGATTCTCTTCACTTCGCGGGCTGTTTTGATGTAGTAGTACCGCAGAAGTAGGAAAAGGATGATAACAGGAGTTGCCCAAGCAAAGACCACAGGATTGTTGGCACAAACGAGAAGTACTATTCCAAGAACAATCAAAACAGTCTGAAAAAAGTTTTATACAGAAAATTAGCAAGAAAAAATTTGTCCGAGCAAAAGCATGCCACACTCAAGAAACTATCGTGTTAAGTAAAATTTTTTTAAGTACATTTGTAAAATAAATTACTACTTTTACGAGATCATATAGTCAAGTTTGGATCGAGTCTATTTGATTTGATTTAAAGAAAATCAGCCAGATGCCAATTCTTTCCAACTGAGTCATTTCAACTACATAAAAAAGTAACCATATTTAGGCAATCATTCAATTAGGCCGTTTTTAGGTCATCATATTCATGTCACTTATCAATAGCTGCTGGCAACAAGTACCTAATAGAAATAGAGAATACCTTAAGCACAAAAGCAAAAAAATTGAAAATTCTACAAAGTAATAGCAATTGATACCTGGATGAAGTCGAAAAAAACAAACGAAAACATGTCATCAACAATACCAGTGTCTTTTGAGAATCGATTCAGGATACGGCCTAGGAAATAAATTAATTTATGTGATTGGTATTAAAAAAGGTTCTATAAATAAAAAAAATTGATATTTTGATAAAAAAAACAAAGATCAATTAACATATGGTCTCACCTATGGAATTGGTGTCAAAAAAGCGAAGTGGGGCCCGAAGTGTAGCTCTAAACATTTGATCGTGCAGAGATCTTGATGAACGTAACATCACGTGGAAGAACAGAAAGGCCCGGCTTATGCCGAGAACAACGAGACAAATTACAAGTGCAGCGTAGATTCCCAAATCTCGATTTCTGTGTTTGTAACTTGGGTTTTTCTCTTCCTCGTTTGTCCTGAAAGACAATATAGCTTCAAATCTACCAATTTAGTTTGAAACATGAATAAATGAATAAAAAAAGGTTCATATGAGGTTTTCAAATCGTTCTTTAACGAACATTAGAATAATTGCCCAACAAATAACGTAGACGGATCCGATCTGGACCAGATCCACCCGTTTACACGGGATCCGCTCCAGATCGGATCCACACGGAATCCCAAAAATGTTCGGATAGCGGATCCAAAAGTATACGGATCCACCAGTTCCCGTGTAAACGCAAGGTCTATTCGTACTCTTTTGGATCCGATCCGGTTCGGATCCACTCTCGCGTAAACGGCGTCTTAATTAGTTGGCTTTTATTGGAGCTAATCCTTCTATTAACTTATTCCCAAAATAATTATAAGCATTAATCAAATTGATTCTTCATCCTAAGAATAAACTTTTCCTTTACCACCTCCTTTACCACATATAGCTCCGTATATGATCTATGCTTTGTGGCTACTATTTGTTACCACCTAGACAACCTCGTTTCTTAATTTGTCCATCAATGACTAGAAATGCTACTTAAAACAGCACAATTTGTATTTGATGGTTAACTTCCTTCAATAAAGTTATGCAATATCAAACAGCCTTCCACAACACTATGAAGTCTTCTTGTAACAAAAAATCCATGCTTTGTAGAAAAACACCAGCGATAATACAAATCTGCAATGCGACCTTCATCCTAGAACCAAAGAGGCACTAAATTCCATGATATCTTATAACAAAGAGAGTTTAATTCCCAACGTTCCTTGTGAAGCTGCCACTCTCTTGTTAAATAGGTAGGGTGTTGTTGGTCGAGATTACAAAAGTCTTCCTTCTAATGTCCACAAATTTACGACAGAATGTCTTGAAAACTAAGTCTCTATTTCTGTAAGTGGAATATGAGTCAAAAATCTGAATGCCGATTTCTGTTTCCTTCCAGAAACTTTACATTATGTCGTTTCTTACTTTAATGTAGATGTAGACTTACGGCATTAAACGTGAAAACAATAAAAAGATTTACTTTATATGCTTAGAAATACGGCTTTTCTTTTTCGTATATTTTAATTGGTGATTCACTAAAAACGATACGTGACAAGGTGCCCATACCGATTCGGGCAAAAGCTGACACAAACAGTTCGAATTCAATTCACAGAACTATCACATTTGAATTCATATACTTTGTGAAAATAATTTCATATTCCATTCTATTCTTGTAATAAGCTGTTTTAAGCGATTGTTATTAGGTATTAGGCTGTGTAGCGGGACTGTGTAACTGTACCATCCATTAACACATAACCAATTGTATCTGTCAAAAAGATAGCTTTTAAGAAAGACAAATGAGCAATATGTTTACGAACCATCGGGACAGCCACCAGTCAGCGACGATGTATACTCCTTGACATGTTATAAACATCAATAACACAAGTATCCAGATTTTCAAACCAAAGCCTGCTCGAAAAAGCTTCAGGTAAGAGCGATATGTGACGGCTCCTTCGAATTTGAATTCTTTTGGCATGTTTCTCTCCTCCTGTAGTTATAGAATAGCGCGAGAATTATAGTTTTAGTCACTTTAAATCAGTTTTTTTCTAGATTTTGGCTTTACAATTCATAGCATGCACAAAAACTACATTTTGGTTTATACATATGGAATATTTCAAATATTTTGAAACCATTGCAACATATTTACCTCCCTTGTATAAGTTAAAATATTTATCCCAAGTATCTAATTGATTTTACAAATTTCCATTTAGATGGATACCTAGCATTCGATAATTTAGAATAGACAAATTATTAGCAACGTATTATGAAGCTAGATGTCCGTGGCTAAGGTAAACCATTCTTTATAATAAAAAACTTACAAAAACTTTAACGCTTGCAGCTTTGCTTGCTACGCTGAGATCAGAGCCTAAGTTGTCTGGGTCATTGTGTGACAAAATGCTCTCCTTTCTTCTCCTGACTATTGAAGGGCTTGATCTTCTTTCACTGACAGCACTAGGGGTCCTTTTTCTGTGAGCATTTGAAACCTTCCTCAAGATATTTGGTGACCCTCTAGTTTCGTCGACACCGCTTTCTTGTCGACTAAAACTGCGAGCCCGCCCGTCGTCATCGATGTCGGTATCTACTGCAGAATCTTGATCATCGCTTGCTTGCAGCAGGCTCATGAAGTCGATGCCACTCGCTAACAAGCTGTCAAATGACCCCTTTCCGAGACATTTTCCCTGGAAATAATGAAATGTTTGTACAGTTTTTCTATCATTAAGATCAAAGTGAATCAGATGAAGTTCAATTGGATCAACTATAACAATAACTGTGTCATGATCATTAGAATTGACTAACAATGCATCTATTTCAAGAAGAAGGAAAGAATAATAAGAAAAATTTGCAGACAGCTCTTTTTCCTCACCATTAATTAATGATCAAAAATGGTTTCGTGAAAATGTATGAAAATTACTTCTGTGGATGTCACAAAGATCATCAAATCCTTAATTTAATACTCACTTATTGGATGCAAGACATAGAGTAGCTTGTCTGTTATGCAAAAACGTTTAGAGGCAACAGAAATGTAGTTTAAAAGCAGAATGTGGCAAAAAAGGTAAGAGAGCAAGAGGCAAACAGAGAAAGACGAAATAAGCAACATCCAAGAATGGAACAGTATGAAAAATGGAGATGAACTCATTCAAACTTGTAAAAAAATGGATTCTTGAAAGGGCATGATCGTCATAAAATAATGGACCAAGATCAAATTACAGAGATTTCATAGGGAAAGAGCCTGTTTATGTGGCCATATCTCAGCCAATTTGTAACATATTAAACTGATTTTGCACAATTAGAGATATTTTATAATGCTTTTGAGGGTGACATGGTCAAAATTGGAAAATTCCAGAAAATAGATTTTTATGACGTCATCAGATTGGAACTCTATTAGAGTTTTTGATAAATTGCTCGATAAATGTGACAATAAATGCTTGATAAATGTGACAATAAAACAAAGCAATAGTTTGTAATCTGATGTGAAATAACATGGTCTAAAAATAACATAAAAACACAATGAAAAACATTCAAAAGAAATAATAAAAAATTAATATAATTACGGAACACAGGAGATCAAATAAAAAGAATGAGCAAAAGAATGATTACAATGCTGATTATTCTTTAATCGGAAAACCTTACAGGAGAGGTGAATTGTGCAACATGTAACAAAGTGATTCTATCGATTCATTATCAAATATTAAACATCACAGCATAATTACTTCTGACAGGACCAAGACTTGATCAGCGTCGGAGATGTACTGCAGTTGGTGTGTAACCAAGATTCTTACTTTGTTTGATAGGTAGCCATTGATGCACCTGCGAAGGAACATTTACAAAGAGAATTCTATCAATGATACACGGAAACATTTACGCTAAAGACCTCAACACTATTTGTTGACGAATGGTTTCGATCTCTACTGCCTACTGCAATTTGTAGCATGTTATTCAATTTGCGAAAACCGCTGAGTTGCCTTAGAAAGACTCACATAAGACATGATACTTCACGTTTAATGAACCGAATTGTTTTTATTCAAACATTTTTGTTGTTATGCATGGGCCTCGAAGTCTGCCTTGCTCTCAAAAGTAAACAGTTGCCTTGGTAGCATAAATTTATAGATTCATTGGTTTTCTTGCATTCAGCTATCAATATTTTAGATAGGATTGTTAGTAGTAAAAAAATAATTTAGAAGATTTCTTCTTTAGAAAGATTGTAAAAACATTTTCAGGGTAGCAAGAAAACTCACTTTATTCGTGCGTCAATGGATGATACCTAAATGCATTTATCTTTCCATCAGTGTACATATTAGATATCTATGAAAATCCTGAATATCATAAGTCAGTTCAAGACATTATTTTCCTTACTGGTCAAAAAGATGTCGTCCCACGTGGGCATCTACAGCACTCAAAGGATCGTCAAGAATGTAAATATCGGCGTCAAAATACACAGCTCTAGAAAATAAACGTAGAAAACAACAAAATAAAAAGCAAAATAAAAGAAAACAACAAAATAAAAAGCAAAATAAAAGAAAACAACAATTCTATGTGGCATATCTACTTCTGACAGGTAATAAACAGCGTAACATTCTAACTTCATTCGTGACATAAAAAGGCAAAAAGTATACCAGCATCAGCGTTCACAAAGATAAGAAAATTGGCAAAAAGCTGTTTCTTGAAAAAATAACGAGGTAATAAAAACGTAGCAAGGTTGGATCAAATGATAAACATTGCTCTTCATTTGAACAATTCTGGGTGTCACTTTTGACGGGGTCCGTGACTTTGCAATGATAGAAACAGATATCCGTTTGAATATGATTAATTAATAACAGAGGAAACATTTAGGTTTTTTATGGAAATTTTAAATTATCTTCAATAGCTTCTCCTTCGACGATTATGCTCTAGTAACAGCACAAATACTACCTCTACTTTGCAAGGGATGATTTAAAAAAATTTGATAAAAAATGAAAGAGCAGTTTATGAAATTCAATCCTCATTTCAACAAAAGATACAAACCTTGCTAGGTTGACTCTTGCTTTTTGGCCACCGCTTAAAGAGACCCCTCTCTCTCCTACTAAAGACATATCACCTTGGGGAAGCATTTCGATGTCCTTTGAAAAGAGATGAAACGAACCTTTAAAAAGTTTTAGAAGCTTTAGAAAGGCTTTGATGCACGAAGAAAATAAAATGGTAGAGACGGTTTGGATTGATGCCTGGAGTGATTAATGTCTTGTTATTACCATTGCTCGGGCAACATGAAAAAACTGAGGCACAGACCTCGATAGAAACAGATTCTTATTTTTTGCCATATATCATAACATAATGATTTGCAAGGGTAACATGTGTGCAGATATAACATTCCATTGCGAAGGAGAGTAAGGGTGGAAGCTAAGGTAAGGGCTCCAAAGATGAAAATCTTTCGCAACAAAATATGAATTTACCTTTTCCAAAGCGCAGATTTCAATAACGCGTCGGTACTTCTTCTCATTCAGCTCTTGACCAAAAGTTATATTGTTTTTCAGCGTTCCATTGAATATCCACGCCTCTTGAGAGACAAACGCAATTTTTCCTGAGGTATTCACAGTTCCGCTTGTAGCAGCCAACTCACCCAGCATTGCCATCAACAGAGATGACTAGAAAAAGAATTCCTTAGCAAAATCGCCAATTTGGTCTTTTGGGTTGACAGTGAAGGACACTTTTCTCTCTGTTACAATACCAAAATGACTCTAGATCACATATTCCGTCTTGATACAAAATATTTATTTAAGAATTTTGCAGTACAAAAAAAGTTCTGATGCAAATCCTGATGCAAGAAATGACGATTTCTGTTAAGAAGTTATAACAATCAAATATGGAATTATTTATTCCTTAATTGCTATTAGCAAAATAATTAATAAAATTTCTTTTAGCATAAGCATGCAAATAAAAGGTTTAAAATGAATTTATAGAATACCAAATACCTTGCCTGATCCAACTGGACCAACAATAGCTGCCAATTCGCCCTAAATGTGTTTTGAATTCAACAATTTAGTAAAAATGCTTCTTAATTACGTTTTGATTATAGCATATTGCATAATTTGATTAATTTGTGATGTCGTGTAGTATAGTATCAGCAATATTCCATAATATTGTGTAGATTTTTACTTCGGATTATGGGAAAGATACCAATAAGTTAGAAACAAGGCTTGGTAATTGTTAAAGTTCACAAGACTAACCAAGTCATGGCGATTTTCGCTTACTTTTAGTTTCACTATAGAATGAATAATAGTTTTCTTGTCAGGGTTGCACTGCTATTTTCTAAAGTGTGTATTTCGTTTACGGAATTAATTCACAGAGAGTTGTGTTTAATTCCAGAATAAGTGACAAAATATTAGAAAAATAGAACAAGAGCGAAAAGCAGCAAAAGCTAAGAGAAATGAGAGTACCTGTCCCACCGTCAAGCTGATGTCTTTCAATGTCTCTGCCTCCTTGAAGTAAAGAAAAATTTCAAATGACTTAATTTAGCGCATGATATAAGGAAGTGGATTTCTGGACAAAAAAACAGGACTTCAGAACCCGGAGCCGGATATATAGCTTGAGACTTGAGACTACACCAGAAACTTTCAAAGTAAAACATAATGCCCGTTTGGCCCAAATTTCAGTTCTTCAAAAGTATCAACAAAAAGTCGCAACTTGATGAGAAAAATAAAATGTAAAAAACATGATTTTTCGTAAAGGTAGAGCAACATTTTTTCCAGCAAACGCAGCCTCATCGGAGTAACTATATTTATGATATCACTGGTACTTATAAACTAGAATGAAAGTAGAATAAAAAAAACATCCAGACTCTAAAACAGACATAAGCATTACATCGATATTTAAAAAGCTTTGATACAATATAAAGGTATAAGATTTGATTCTAAAAATCAAAACATTTAAAACAACCTCCTGAGAGTCAGTCACTTTCAGAAAATAAGAATGTGATCGAATTATCGGATACGATTAAAGTAAATTCAAATTTTAATGTAGATTGAATAAATTGAATCTAAATTATTCAATTCCGAGGCATAAAACAGTTTGCAAAGTCCCAAAGATCTATTTGAGGATAAGGGTAATTGTTCCCTGGACTTGTGTACTATTACGCAAAGAAACCCCCATTTAGCCATTTGAAAACTGGATCCTTTTACGTTTTTGATGAGTTCTAAGGTTTTCCCTAACATCAGTAAATTCTTCACCAAACAGAAATCATGCTTTTCTTTACAAACCTTTGTCCATGATGCATGTAGACGATCGATAGTAACTTGACAGTTGAAAGATCTAGGGCGCAAGTTTGTTTTCTCCATACCGGGAGCTCGTAGCTCATCCATCAAAAGCAATTTCTGAAAAATTTAGAAAAGGGTTGAGTATTTGATAAAACAAAAGCACATAATTGTTTGTAACAAGTGCAAGCAAAGGAATATGTTGCGATGACAAATCAGTGAAGACGACCGTTTACCGGTCAATTATATAGAGTCTGATAACGCATTGGCTCAGGAGTGCAAGCTTTGGTGTAAAAAAAACAAAGGTTCTTAACTGCAACTCCGAGTTTTACCCTGAATGCGATCATCAGATAACTGTTGCCGATGATCACATTAAACCTTAAATTTGGATTTGCATTTTAGAACTGTTCTCTTTTATTTTAACAAACCTGCATCCTTTCTAGAGAAACCCGGCCTTCATTCATCAATGTCACAGCGATCGGGAAAACAATGTCATGACCAGTCTCGAGCCATTGAACAAGGCAACACAAGTGAAAACCTTTCTTGCTGTTAATGAATTTCCAGCTAGGACATAGGTCATCATAGTTATAAAACTGACAAGTGATGCTGAACTGAAGAAAAAAGACATGAATGTTGCACGGAGGAATGACAGCTTTCTCACTTCGCGAATTTCTTGCCTGAAATGAAGTAGACTCTCCTTAGCTGCCATAAGAATTGAGATGCATCAAAATACACAGGATATAAGTACGAAGGCTTAAACTTTGGCATTGCGTATGAAGTATGATGAACCAGAACAACAGCAGATAACTTTAACAAGTTTAACAAGTTTTCCATTCTTGTCTGATGTTCCAAAAAATCCCAATTTTTACTTTAAATCCTAGATAACAATTTCTGATCCCAACAGCTTTTTCACAGTCCCAGTTTCGTGAAATCTGGGATTGAATAATCCCAAATAGCAACTCTGCAGCCATTCACGCTATACACTGCACAACGGCACAATTGAACTTCATTGATAAGCCCCTTAAAAAGTACTAAAAGTGGAGTTGGCTTTTTAAATTCTTTCTGAGCTCATTCTCACTATTAGCAATGGCTCATATGAACTAGTGCTATCGAAACTTTGAATTAAAAGCTAATTTAGAAATGGACTTTGACTTACTTTCTCAAGGATTCAACGAGCTGCGTGAAAGGATCTTCCCAGGTGTATAGCTTTAGCACTCGCATCCCAGAAATGACTTCATTCATCACCTTTACCCTCCGATCAGTGTATTTTACTATTTGCCGCCTGTCAGTAACAAAAACAGACAATCACGGCCACCCATACTAATATTTGGCAACAATATTACGGTATAGAATTATGCTTTTCCATTAACATTTACTATTGTATTACCCCATTTTATCCATGCAAGAAACAGTGTGTCCAAAAGTGAATAGCAATTTATGCCAAATACTTTACAGGGCTATAAAAATGGTAAGAGAAATGCATTTACAAGTTTTCCTCATATTTTCTTATTTAACATGAATGGAGAGGAAACACGTACTTTTGGTCAAGAAAATTTTTCTTTATTAGTTAGGACAGATGAATCCCCGATAGAAGTTGACAATTTTATCCAAAGATAAATAATTATTGAGCGGAGCTTATTGTATGCCATAAAATCTGTTCATTCGATCACTTCTGGTATGGTATATCATGGTATATTAATTTTACACTTTTAATGAATTTAATATCAACCACGGCCTCCAACAAAGCATCTTGACAAAGAATTCAGCTGAGTTTTAAGGTCAATAGCTACAAAAGAAATTGTTCAAAGAACCCCGATGGAAATGCAGTTACCTGAAATTCATGAGCAATTTTCCCATTCCCATTTGCAGTGGCGCTAGCAACAACAACAGCCCGAGCCCAGAGAGGCTAGAAACGCCTATTTCTTGCCATAGTAAATAGCCTGACACAGCCATAATGATTGGACTGATCCACAGATAATGCAAAAACAGGGCAGCCTGGAAAACGATCTCTTGTTTCATTAACCAATTTCATTGTTATCTTTTTAAATGAGAGTAGCCTTTAAAAGATTTTGCTTACGTTTAACAAATATTGAATAATAAAACAAAAGCAAAAACATGTAGAAATAAAAAAAAGCATTTATCCATGAAATTTTCATACGACCAAGCTACGTTGTTTAAGTAGCAGGACTAGTTGATTCTTTCAAACAATTCTCGATATTTTGATCTTTTTTTACTTTCAATTAAATTGAAGAGAACTCACAAAGTCAAGCTTCTGAGCATCAACTGAAACGAGATTAACAATATGTCCTGTTGTAGTTTGAGAAAGAGCTTTGTTGCTTAACCGTAGAATCTGCAATGGAAACAACATTTGATTACCCTAATGGAGAAATTTCTAACAAAGACAAGAGAACAGTTTACTGTGATAGAAGTTTGATTAGAAACAATTATATCAACTACAAAGATAAATAGCACGTTTAGTTTCATCTGCAAGTCAATTCTGAAATATATCAATTATCACACGTCTAGCTGACTGAATAAGGGTCAGATAAAAATGGAGCATAATAAAGAAATATGTTTGAAATACCTTTTTATAGACCAATGCACACATTGCAATTCTTACTCTCATTCCAATTCTTTGTCTTGTGAAATTCAATGGTATCATGTTCAAACTTGTTGCAAGTGCACACAGGCATAGGCCAAGGGAGTACAGGTAAGCATTTTTTCTGCTGTCGCTTGTGTTTGGTTTTGAGAAGTATTCAGTAACCATGCCAAGAAAGACGGGCTGAGCAAGCCTGAAGCCTTCCTAAGGCAACCAAAGAGAATTTGTTGCTCAAGAGAAGAACAGTCAAATCAACACTCTAATTTCAAGGAAAGTACCAAGTATCCAACCAAATGATTTTCATGCAAATCCATTGTAAAAATTATGAAAAAAGACACGTTCTTCATACAAAAGCAGTCTAAAATGTAATGTTTCAATGTTCTATAACGAAGCAAAAGTTTTAATGATTCGGAGAAGCTTCAGCAACTTCTTGATTATTGTTAAACTCAAAATTCATTGAAAGATGCAAATTTTCTCAAATTGAATTTCAAGAAACTCGGGGAAAACTCATATCGCAAAAACCAACGTAGGAAAACCAAAAACCTTCGTAGCAAAAAAATGCTAAAGATACGTATCATTGTATACTTTACGAATAGCTAATTATCAGCTTACTCGTTCTGTTTCCCAAACCTTAATGCTTGTGAATGAAATAATCTTGAATTATCTGCTGTTGCTATCACGAAAACTTTGCTTCAGCCTTTTCTGGTTTTTGTAGAGGTATAGAGTGTTTATATACGCTTTGTTTTGTAATATTTTATAAAGCTTATTCTAGACTTAAACGCATTTTGACTCTCCATAAAGCTTGAACAATTCTTAAGGTTATTATTACACAAAAGCTCTAGCTGTCATTTCTAAGATTATAGGAATTTTAACATATATAGTGAAATCATTTTATGTATAATATGTGCAATAAAATACACGCGCCTTAGTTCACCAAGAAATAGGCTCTTTTTTCAATGGCATGATAGCTTAAAGGCAGGAAATATATGGAACCATATCATCAGAACAGTGTCATTAAAACTAAAAAAGTGATGTGAAAGAAAATACTCACTGCAAGCAAAGATGGAATTGCCAGCAACATATACTTCCAACCGAAAACGCGAAAAATGACTTTTATAATCGATGCATTCTCCTTTATATTACCATTTTCATCGTAAGCTTCTCTGTACCATTCTCTATTTAAAGAGATTCGAGAGTCAAAAGAAACTTTAATTTTTAGGTCTTCAAATGTTTTTAAAAAAACAATTCTTTGAAGATGAATCAACTGAAAGGCGATAGAAAAATTCCAGGATACTTTTATACGGTTACAAATTACTGATGAGAAAATAAAAAAAACGATAAAAGAATTTTTAGTTTTGTATGCTACATTTTTCTTTACTAGCTCCAAAATCAGGCTAATAGATTATTTTTGTTAAAAGCTGGCTGTCCATCGCAGACGAAGTGAGGAATGTATGCTAAAGTTTCAAGTTTTTTAATTCCTAAATGCACAGAAATATGTCTAGAGATTTACCAACTCTTAGTATTTCCCTTGGTTTAGTTTTCTACAGTACATTGAAAGGCCAAATTGAAATTATCAAGAATTGCAAAAGAGAAACTAACAACTTGCACAAGACTTCATTTCGTGGTAGTAGTTTGCAAAAATTGAAGATGCTACAGAAAGGTGTACCTTTCAAGTTTTTCGCAAAGCACGCTGGAACTATCATTTGGTGTGATGTCATATAAATCCTCTGCGTCTAGCACCTTTTTGTAGCCAATGGAAAACAAACTCTGCATCCACCTGGACAGAAGTAACACATCAATAAACTTGCCAGAAGTAAAATTTGTTAAAGATGACACATGATCTTAGGAGAGACAAAAATTTGCAGGCTTCTACAGCAAATTAAATCTAAATGGCAAAATGCATCCTTGGCTTTTCATCAAGTTACTGCTTTTGTAGCAGAAATGGGTAATTGCTAAGAATATTTTTTATTTAGAAACGATTAAGACTTTAAAATGTGCAGGAAAATTCCAGAAGAGATGGAAGATTAACTTTTCTAGAGTTGTGTCTTTAAAGAAGCATTTTAAAGAAGGCCTGAATGGCGAGGAACAAATTTCACTCTTATTTATATGAGCGTATTAATCTACAGCATTTGCATTTCGCAAAGAAACAATTGACTTTGCATACTTACCAAAAAGTAACATACTTTGAAATAAAAAATGCATTTTTAAACGGAGACTGTTTGGATTTTTTCTTATCCTGCTTTTGCGATTCATGACTTTTTTCAGCTTCTGGTTTTTCGTTTTCTTGCATATCTGAAATATCAAGGCTGTTCTGCCATTTCTTCATTGCTCCATTGGAATTTTTATCCTCGTTATTGACTGAATTGCCCTCTGGAGTTAAGTAATCCATTGCAAAACCCTTATTCAAATGGCCTTTCTTTTCTGGAGACATGTCTTTTTCGTCATCGTCCCTTTTGTCAGAATTTAAACTGATCTTCTCATATTCAGTCGATAACGCAGGATTTATATTTCCAGAAGACCCTTCATTTCTTTTTTCATTATTTTCTGCTGCCTCTTCATCACAGTGATTTTCATTTTTTTGTTCTTCCTCAACTTTTATATCTTTTACTTCTCCATCTCGATCCCTTGCTTCTTCATTCTTTCCATTTTCTTCTTCACCATAATTGTTTTTTGGTTCTGCCATCGTTTACAATTATATTGCTGCTTCCTTAACCCTTATTTCACTGCAAGAAAACAATTTTAAAAGTGTTTGTAACAAAACCGGCTTACTTGCTACTCAATGGCAAGTTTTCTTGTTTAAATACCTGATGGAGCCCTATTTCAAACAGAATTAACATCGTTAATTCACAAGCATTTCATAGTTAGCGGTTACAAAAGAAAGACCCTACAAACAATCTTCAAAAAACAGAAGCAAGAAATAGAAAAGCGCTACAGGCGACTCTCGATGACTTGATCCCGCACGGAAATAAAGAATTGTTCAACACTGCGGAAATTCAAGGCATCCGGAGTTTCTTCAATATTAAAGAGGCTTCATATGTAAATATAGAAAATGATCCCAAGTAAAAGAGCATCTTTGTTGTGAGGATGGTTTAAATTCAATGGCATGAATTGACGTCTATAGCATTTCTAAGGTCCCTAACTGATGGCCTAAATCGGATTTCGTCAACAATTTCTACAGATGCATGGTTCTTCATGCAAAGATTTTGCAAGGATGCAACAATTGCATTCAACATTTGCATACAGATATTTTGCTATGTTACTTCTGGAACCGGTTCAGGACATATTCTTTTCATAGCTATCATTGAAGTTTGCAGATGCTTAAGTTCCATTGTTCTCCCTAATTAATTATATTGTTTCTATTTTACTTTCTGTCTCGTTGTTTAAATGCATGAAACCCATGTAAAACGAACGTGACATGGTAGGTCTTTCTTTCAAGAACGAAAAGATCAGATGCCAGATGTATTTGTTGTTTATCTTTGCTTTCAAAAGCCTGTTGTTGGGATGTAGACGATATGGCTGGTTTTATAAAACATGCCTATTAAAGACAAGGGCTTATGGAAAAATGAGGAGAGTCTTACGTTTATAATGATATTGGCACGGTTGAAGGCAATGAGTTATAAGCAATGAGTTATAAGCAATGGGATGTAGCAATGGAGCAATGGAATTACGAACAATCAACTCCCCAAGAAATCAGCACTTTTTCAGAAAACCGAAGTTACGCATGGTTGTATATTTAAACAACTTTTTATTGTGTAAATGAGGCAGACCATTTGTTAATTCAATCCGTCAGATTTAAAGCCGCGATTAGACTGAACCCTTCAGTAATGAGCAAAACAAAATTTCGTGTATTCTCCCATTTGTGTTTTTAAATGAGCCTCTACCTGATCTTTATTGATTTGAATTTCAAATGCATAGCTCTAAGATTATTACGATGACACAACAAAAATCGTAACAAGCTTAACCTAAGAGTGGTTTTTATAACAAGAAGGATTAATAAGATATCAAACCCTTACTTGCAGCTTCGTGTCATGTACCTCACGTCCTATACTACAAAACTGATGGACATTACTACAATAGCCAGACCAGCTTATTTAAAGACCTTTTCTTGGTAGCAAACATTTTGGCTTTTAAGACTATCAATTTTTGAATCTATTAAGGCTTTTAAGACTTTATATTATTTATTTGATTGAGTAGAAATATGCAAGATTCTTCGATACCAACCTGTGGAGATTACAAGATTAAGCACTCTGCATTTCTTATCAGTTATGTACGAGCAGCAGAATGTTTTTCATCGTAATAACGGCATTGCGAGCAATGTTTTTTACGTAAGTTCATAGCAGCAGAACAATGCATTAATCTTATTTAGGCGATGTGGTATGCGCTGTTTCTCTATATCGAGAGCGACCTCGTTCCTCTTCCTCGTTCCTCTTCCTTGTTCCTGTTCCAACCCAATAACATTCAACGAAGCATAAGAAACTTTCAAATTGATGCAAAAATACAATTGTAAGCAAGACATTTAGCTTTAAAAGAAAAGCGATACACTATGTACAAATTTTTCTTGAAAGCCCCTAGTTTTATTTCTGATTGTATCAAATAGCAAAAATACGAAATTTGATAAAAGGATCTCTCCTTGTCAGAGAAGTCACGGTGTGTGATTAGAAAGTCATTCGTCAATATACAGCTAATTGATAGATAAATTCGCGCAGGTGCAAGTGCCTAATGTGGAAATCCCTATATGCCCATAGAAACACTTGAGTCCAAACATTTTCCCCTTTCTTATGTTTCACCGATTTAACACCCTCCCCTAGGGGCCCTTTCTTGCTCATGTGTTTATGTTTCTAAGTAATTCGATTTGATGTGATACAGTAGTCCTAATTCAAAATTGGAAAAACCTCTTTAACCCTTTTGCAAAAGACAAAATTTGACAAAATGCCAAAATGCCAATATTTGGCTTCCTGCTTTCAAAAGTTTGTGTGAGCTAGAATGTACTCAATTTTATTGAATTTAGAAACCTAAGTAAATTTACTTTAAAATAATAGATTCTTTTGTGCGAAAAAGACAATTTAAATTTACTCAATAGGATATTCAAAATAAAATAAACATCGAGGCAAAATGATTCAATTTTACGCATATTTCTGAAGGTCTCATTGACTTTAAAAAAAAGCGTGTTCTGAGACACAAAATAGGGATAAATATAAGGCCCCCAATGAAGCCCGCTATAGGAGCACCCTGAATCTTTTGTTAACACGGGGACTCAACGGACCAGTTCGCCTTATCACATTGGAACAGGCCGGAATGACTGCGTACCGTTCCACATTTAGAAACCCCCTTCGGAACGGAACGGAACGGTACCATTAAAAGCGCTTCCGCGTGAGCTCAACACTTAAGCGTTCTACTTTTGGGAAAGGAATGATATCGAACAGTAGGCAAAATGTTCCCATGTGAATGGAGTCTAAGAAACTCGAAGCCTCCGTGTATTTCCCAAAAAGAACAAAAAATAGTCTCGATTTGATTCCAACTACAGGCACATTATCCGTATAACGAAAGTAAACTTTAGCTGTAATTGCTGTCATTACAAGTTGAAGTAGGACCGACTTTGTTCTAGTTGGTTACTCAGATAGAACAGTTGGCAATATCTAGCATTACTTACTTGCGAGTTTCACAGCAGTTCATGAATAGTGCAGATAGATATGCTCACACCAGCTGTCTGAGGCAAACGGCCTCAACCCGTCAGCTATACACAATTACTGTTCAGTTCAGTGCTTCTATGTTATGCAATAGGCCCTGACAAATGAAAGCTTTTATATTGTCTTTGTTTAGACGTCTTTTGATGTTGTTCAAGGATGACTAAACTGTAATCAAATGCAGAGTGTGTACATCTGATGCATAAAGCAACCATTCAAAAGGAAAAAGATCTACCAAAGCCATGTCATGAATGATTAGGCCAGAAGTGTCCTCTTTCCAAAAATATGTTCGCACAGTGGTAGAGGTTCTTGTCAGCTGTATTTCGTCATAAAAGATTACAAAAACTTGAATCGACATGGCTTTGAGTCGAGTGACCAAAGAGCATGCAGGTCACGTCTTACGTGAAAAGAAATATGATGCCATCTTAATCAATCAATTTTGATGACATAACGTAAATCCTCAAATTGGACCACTCCATTTGATAATTTTTGCCATCGAATTGGACCCCTCCATTTGATGAGGTTGCCTAAGGCGTTTTATTGAATTACCACAGCAAATTCATACTTTTGGTAGTAATTAATTAAATGCTCATAAAGAAATTCCTACTAAAATAAACGAGGTCTTTTGATAATGTCTTCTTAATGTCTACAATAATTTTATAAGCCTCCCCTCGCCCTCGAAAAAGCCCCCTCGAATAAGCCCCCATCCAAAAATATAAAAAATAAATAAGCCCCCAGGGCTAATTTGAGGATTTGCGGTAAGTTATTGGTCCAAGGGGTAGTGAGAAAGGCTCTTCAGGGCAAAGGAAAAGTTAGACTTAAAAGGGCTTTTTGGGGAAAATGAAAGTTTATCGAAGAATAATTCTGCAGTTTTTTGATAAAAAGTATGGATATCTTCATTCTGAGGAAAAATAAGGACTTCATTTGTAGTATGGAATTGTTAAAAGAAAAAATTAGATATTTGGTATTGGATATTTGGTATTTAGAAAAAAAATAATAGGACATCAGATTACAAGACCACAAATGATTGAATAACATTAAATTGTATTGAAAACCGTAGAAATACATATCTTATTTCATATAATGAACCATAGACCTTGGTTTGACCACAGAATAGAAATAAAACCGTTCTTGGGGAGCAACTAAGTCTATAGGTATGTACAAAACTATTAGGAAAATTTCTCGTTTTAAGCTACTTACTATAGAAATTCAACGATAAATTGGATCTTTCAAACCAAAATTATATTGGAAATACTTTGTCTAGTATGAAAGAAATTTTACAATGCAAGTCATGTTTCAAGAGGAGATATGTACAATCCTTGCCTTTGATTAATCTATCAAGAATTATAAAAGCGCTTCTGTGATGTTAAAATCGGAGCTGCTGAACCTTAATGTCAAGTACACCATGGATACAAATGAGCTTTCAACTTCAAAAAAAGAGAGTAACGAGTAACTAACAGACTTACTGCTTTCACTCTAATACTTCACTTTAACAGTTGTAGTAGGACGTTAGAAGGAGAAACTGTCACTGATATTTGTCTACTATTATTTCAACTAAATGCCAAATTTATCACCGAATCTGACAATAGGTGGTGCAATAATCTAAATTATCCATCTAAAACTACACACCAACTTGGAAAAGGCTTTTGTTATTAATCGTTCAATAATTTGCTTTTTCAAATTGCAATTCGTGGTGCAACTTCCAGTGGCCAAAATAAACCATGACGTACTGTGTTTTTCACCCTCTTGTCTTAGTGCAGTGTAACGGTTTGGATTCTATATTTAAAGACTGGTTTTTATATAACGTATTTTGACGTAATGTTCTCGTTGCGTGTTTAGGTCACATGTTCTGTAAAGTCCGGTTGTGTTAGTGAACAATGTATGGCAATGTGTTTGTCTTTGACATGTAGTGTGACGCTTGTATTGTCCTGTTAATTAGCTTTTGTTTATGTTATTAGGTTATTAGAGTCCCTTCCGTCCATTCAAAAGGACTGCGTTCCTGCCACACGAAAAAGTTCTGTTGTTTATGAATTTACGTGCCAGTGTGATTCTGGCTACGTAGGACGCACTACCCAAAGATTGGAGGATAGAATAAAACAACATGTTCCGCCTAGTATTAGAAACAAAACCCATCCCCAAAGAGAACAGCCACCTCGGTCTTGCAAATTTAAAATTACAACTAAAACCTGCGATTCTGCTATCGGGCAGCATTTACTGGAAAACCTAGATTGTGCAAGAAACTACAATGGCGACATGTTTTGTACTATTGGTAAAGCCCGATCGTCGTTCCACCTAGCAGTTTCGGAATCTATCTACATAAGCACGTAAAAACCGCTACTGTGTAGACAAAAGGAGTTCGTTTTCACCTTAGGACTCCATTAGTAACATGCTCAATAGGCAAGCGGCACTGATTGGTCAACCTATACAGTCATGTGCTCGTGTTTCTGATTGGCCTATTTAGATCCACAACTGGGTATATATATATATTCCTTGCGTAGAGTTTTGTTAAGGCGGGTTTACACGATCGTTTTTCCTTAAATTTTTTTTCGATATTGGACCGCGATGAACGACAACGATCGTGTAAAAGGCTAAATTGCTGAAAAAAGTTTGATGCTATCTGTCGTTTTTAATCCGCTTAATTGGCGATAATGATCCATCGTTGAAGATTTTATTTTGACTCCGGGTCAAAATAAAATCTCTACCATCATTTTTTTTCAAAGGGGCCGACAAATTCTGACGTCATGTCAGCCTCGGGGAGAGAATTTCGAGACTTTTTACTAAGTATTGGGGTGAAGAAAAGATTGGATTCATGCTATGAGAACTAAAATAGTCGGGGAAGGTAGTTGAAACGGGCAGGGGACTATTTTTAGATAAAAAGAGGTTCGGGTTTTACAATTCAGTCAGAATTTGTCGGCCCCTTTGAAAAAAATGATGGTAGAGATTTTATTTTGACCCGGAGTCAAAATAAAATCTTCAACGATGGATCATTATCGCCAATTAAGCGGATTAAAAACGACAGATAGCATCAAACTTTTTTCAGCAATTTAGCCTTTTACACGATCGTTGTCGTTCATCGCGGTCCAATATCGAAAAAAAATTTAAGGAAAAACGATCGTGTAAACCCGCCTTTAGAACACAGGGTTCCCATTCATTGCAGGACATCACATGACAATTGCATCATTGCGCTGCAATTGCATCAGCTTCTGTAAATTGAATTATTCTTAGGGTATATAAGGGGTGGCTTTATAGTTAGGTTGAGTCTTGCCGTAAGCTTTGTCGAACTCAGTGTACCTTGTCGCTAGCTTGCAGAATTGTGTTTGCCGTTACATTTTCGCCGTTAGCCATTTAAGATATTTTTAGTCGTTTGCTGTGAACTGATTAATTAGAAGAAGTGTATAGAGAATTGGATAACAGTTTTTGCCGTATTTATCGTGTACGTTTCTGCGAACGACCTACGAACTCACATTTGTAAAACCCCCTTTTTAAGTGGTTTTACAGTTTTCGATCTATCTTCCGACGTTTTAAACTCTGAAGAGTGTCAGACGAAAAGCTTTAGTTTACTAAATGTTTGCTTTTTTCAAAGCCATTTTCAAGTTTTGTACCACCAAAAGGTTGGTTATTAGAGTATTCCGTTCAGTGGTGGCGCCAAGGGGTGGTATGGGGGGGGGGTTATTACCTCCCCACTTTTCTGAAAATATGGTCTATATATTTGTTCTAAAAATGGATTAAGGGTTCTAAAAAGACGTCAAACCTATTACGTCACTTCCTGTCTTCTCGTCCCAGACCCCGGTATCACTTTCGGTCTCCAAAATCGAGTTTTAAAGTTGAAATTTTGGTGTCTTACAAGTATCTTTAGAAAATTTAATTCAAATTGCGTAAAATGGCCAATAAAAAATTTCGTTTCATATGACCAAGCTGTTCTTTCAGATTATGTGGCCAAATTTAAAGGTAATGTGTCCAGCTAAAGCAAGCGACTCTGCGGGGGTTTTTAGAAACATGTGATTTTTCATGTCATCGCCCCAGTCATTACGGTCGTTCTGTTTATTTATCCTGCTGCCAGGTTAGATTTTTATGTGAGCAGTTTTGCATCGCAAACTGTTATTTTGATGGGTGGCTTGACAAGTTGGGTATAGGCAGTCCTTTTATATGGACACAATACCTTTACCACATGTTTCTAAAATCCCCCGCAGAGTCGCTTGCTTTAGCTGGACACATTACTTTTAAAATCATTGATTGAAAATACATTACTTTTTTCTACTTGAACATTTCTGAACTGGAGGTCTCCATGAAAATGAGGCAAAGCGGAAGTTAACTAAACGGAGACGGATAGTGGGTCAGTGAGATGGGAAGAATCGAATCGAAAGTGAATTCAATCTACGATGAAATGGAATCAGAATGGGCAGTGAAGCAGACCTTTCAAAACTCGATGAGGTAGAGTAGAACATAGATCAAATATTATATCTTTTTGAGCAGAAAGCCTCTTACTGTTTTCAAATCAACAGTGTTTTGATCGACTTCTTCCTTGTTTTACCTTACGCAACATAAGTGCATAAATTTTCAAATCTGGGACAAAGTTTTCAAAGATCTGGTGATAGGCACAAACTTGGCACTGTCCCGGTCTTCAATATCAAATAGAGATATAATATATAACCAATATTGACCAATTTCTATAACCTAATTTGGCCCTTGAAAATTCGGATTTTATCTGACAAAATCCGAGCAGCAAATCACTCTATGGTAAAAATCTGTGAATCCTGAGCAATCATTTTGATTTGTAGAAATATAGTATTTTAAAGGCATTGAGTCATGGTAAATAGGCCTTCTCTATAGGGGGTCATTTAGTTTCGGCGTGATCGCTGCTGTTTCATGTGATATTGGCATCCGTTGTTGACAACTTGCTATTGATGGAAACTGTTTTGTTAATCAGTACGAGGTCAAGTCTGAGAATTTCCCGACAAATCAATGATTTTTCCGAAAATCTGTCAAATTTTGAAAGCAGAGGAGCTCACGGCCCCTCTGCCCGCTGACAATGACAACATTGGAATTATGAGACTTTAACCTCCTTGATGACCAAGACTGCAGAGTATACCAGTTTCTAACGAGTAAAGATAAATTTAGTGCTTGTAGACTATAGCATTTTACTTTGAATATGCGTCAAAGAATGCAGTCTTTCATTTATGAAGTTTTTAACAGGTTTTGCTTTATGATTGATGTAGAATATTCCTGCCTTGAATCACCAATGAGATTTAAATAGTTTAAAAAGTGACTATTTGACAGTTTAGAATTACTATTTAGGTTTGTGTGTCTTCAAGATCATAGTCTAAAACACTCAACAAAAGGACTGTATATTTTCTTATTTGACTTCAATATGATTAGGCTTGAATACAAATATGATAAGTATGCATTTATATGTGCACTCAAATATTGAGTTAACATGGAAACAATTTCATGAGAAACTTACATGAGTTAGGTAGAAATCAATGTGGCATACATATGACAATTGAATTGGTTGTCTTTTTTGTCTGTCTCTCAAGGAAGGGGGGTGGGGTGGACAGTGGCGTACCCAGGGCTGTAGTAGTGGAAGGGTCTGGGGTGCAGCCCCCAGAAAATTTTTTGGACCACGCCCTTCAAACACTCGCAAATGCGGGAAAACGCCCTTTTTGCAAATTTTTCCACATTATTTGATTCATGTTAATTACGGTAAATAGCAAAGCATTTTACAAATGTTATTGACACAGACATACAGTATACTACCCCCCCCCCGCCCCCAATGAGTTTTACATCATTTTTGGACAAATCTCGAGGACCCCTCCATTCCCCCCCTTCGGTACGCCACTGGGGGTGGAGGTCGCTGAACTTTGGCTTTGGCCAATTTTTTCAGGCCTTTTTCTTATTTTCGTTTTTTGAATTGTTGTTTACAGTATCTTTCTTCCCAAACAGCTAGCTAGCATGCATCAGCAATAAAATGCATTCACATGAATGACAAATATAGACCCCAAATATCTTGAATGTTGATGACTTTGATTCATGATATGGTATAACTTGAAGTGAGGTTGGTACTCATTCATCTATCAGCTAAAGAACACGTGTGCATAGAAATACAATGTGGCATTATTTCCAAAATTACTAATTTGCCTATATCTATCCTCTTTGCTTCCTAGCTTAGGACAGGTTTTCCATTATTTTACGCTCATTTGTCACAAACACGAGATATCTTTTCAATAAAATTGAGATATCTTTTCCATTAGTCTAAAGGAAGCCTCATATTGTGCAAAGTTTTATTTCCACTGTAGTAAATTAAATTGGCTTAATAGTCATTCACCCACCAAGAGCTTTTCCCCCATTCTTAATCTATCCTTTGCATTTTTGTCAAGGGATAGCATTACCCAACTTTAAAGAGTTGTAATTTAACATATGCTCTTAAACATTCTTAGCATTTTCAAAACTATTTTAGCATAAAGTGCAGAGATTTAACCGAAAGTCTATCAAGTTTAAGATCGTAAATTTTATTTGAAGATTTTCAATGTACTTATAAAATGGATGAAAGCAAGGATGTCAAATTGTTACACGAGCTTTGCTGTCAAGGGAAGTGCCAGAAAGTTAAGGACTTGCTTGAAAAACATGACAAGGCTAGTTTTCTGATAGATATGAAATCAGGCAGCTTTGGGTATACAGCATTACATGAAGCTGTTTGCAATGGAAAACCTGATGTTTTGGAAATATTGATAAGATTTGGGGGCAATGTTAATGTAATGTCGAATGGAGACTACACTCCTTTGCACATTGCAACAACAATTGGAAATACTGAATGCATAAAAGTGTTACTGAACCACGGTGCTGACATCTCATTAACCGACCAAAAAGGAAGAACTGCCTTGGTTTCTGCTATAGAATGCAGGCAAGCTGAAGCCTGTAAGCTTTTGAAAGCTGCAGGTAAGAACTCTCATCTCTATTTGGCTATGCTTGTAGATTTTAAAAGGTATTCTTTTTCGGATATTCAAGTCTTATATTTCTTTGTTCTTTATCTATTTGAAAATGCTATTTAAAGTTCATTTAGTAAATACAGTGCTTTTGATGCAGTTGTTAATCTATTTTCATTTAAATGAAATGTCAAACTTTGTTGTTAGTATATTTTATGTTGCTTCAATTCTGATTCATTTAGAATTTTTCATTTCGCAAAACTATTTCATTATATTGATTTCATCTCCATTTAATTCGAAATCTTGCTGTTACACAGGAACATTTATAATAGATTTTTCTCTCTGAAGATTCCCTCCTTGCGTCCTGCCGGTGCCCATTTAAAAAATGCCCATGCCGATCCAAAGAAGATAAGCTTAAAAGCGAGATAGCATTACAAGCTTGAAATGAAAACGGAAGCCATTCTAGACATTATCATTTTTAAGGGTTTCTTTATCCTAGAGAAAATGTATTAATGTGTCCTCCTACGAAAGCCATGCTGTAGGATACAACTGTGTCGAGTTGAAATCGTATGGTGATAGACTCGGCAGTCGTTCTTTTCGTTTAAACAACACATATTTTCCTTTAAAGAACCTCAATGGAAGAATTTTAGAAGCAATGAATAGATCTTGTATTAATTGTTGTCCTTCTTTTAGCCTTTTTTCTGATGGTTATTGAAAACAGGAAAGTAATGTAAGCATGTCAAAAAGACAAGAATATTTTGAATATTTTAAGATAGAATATTTTCATTTTCCAGTATTATTTTTTCACCTGTGCTAACAGTAGGTATTTTTCCCTGATCAAACTTGTGTTGTTCGGGATGATTGTATACTTTTGACTTTCCTTTTGACTTCATTACACTCTAGAGATGAATAAATTTGCAGAAACTGATGATCAGAAGCTGACACAGTTGTGTCGTAAAAGTGAACAGGATCAGGGCATTGACCAGGCCTGCTTGGATGCTGTTCTGCAAACTGCAGTTAAGCACAACAGCCAAAAGGCTATCGTAACGTTGATCAAGGCAGGCGCTAAGAATATCCAAGAATGCCTACAGGTAGCTTTGATTTATCCTGAGCTATGTGAATCAGCTGTGTTGCTTTTGATGTTTATCGCTTTCAATGAAAATGATGAAGAGCTAGTAAAGCTGCTATTGACAGACCGTGCTAAAGAAGAGCAAAAAGACGACGGTTCTTTGTTTCCTGAGCTGTTGCAAAGGGTATACTTCCCAGAAGAATGGAATCATTCCCTTCCCTCAGACACCCTGTCAAAGCTAAGGTAGGTATAAATAGTTAACAGAACGTTCAGCTGTTTAGTGCAGTTTTCTTCTCTTTGCTTGCTCAAGTCTTTACTTCGTGTTTTGCAAATTTTCTCTCTAGCTGAGGTGGTGCAGCTATTTTATGGTTACGTTATGCTTTGTTGAATGTCAAAAACTCTGTCTGTCTTTCCAAATTATGTTGCTTTTGCGGCCATATCCTATGAAAAAGCAAGAAACATGTCAACTTCGAATAAGAGATTGATCGTTTCTCTTCTTCATAGGCAGCTTACCGTTGCATGTTCGGATCTTTGCAAAAATTATTAAAGATTGATATACATAGGCTGCCAATTCAACAATGATTTTCAAAACGTATCAAGGAATTTTTGAAAATTGCAAAAATGTTTCTATTTTCAGAGAACAATTTTCGGCACAATTTTCAACTCCTAGATTATTTACCTAACGTTTGAGACTTTGTATAGGCTAGATCGTACATGAACCGTTTATGGCAAAAAGGCATTTTAACTCTAGTACCTTTTTAAGCTGTAACTTGCAAATGATCCTCAATGGCTATAAGAAGATTCTCAAGATGCGTAGTGTGAACGGGCCTCAGTTTGTCGCTTGAAAAAAGGATTTGCATTTGATAAAATTAATCTGATATCATTTAAACTCTATAGGATGGCTTGCAAAACAGTCGATTTCCGGAATCTGGTGCCATATGCTGTTAGACTTAGCCGAATCAACGTTGCAGAAATTGTACTTTTGGAAATGTTTTGTAATGTTGCTATAAGGAAAGCAAACTGGCAGGGAATGGAATTAGGCCAATTGACGCAGTTCTTTTTAAGAAGAATTGATAACTACCATAGCCTGAACTTATCTAGAAATGCAATTTCATCTGTTCCTGCTGATGTATGTCATATGAGCTGCTTATCAGAACTCAGTTTGGCGCAGAACAGAATTGAAAGCGTGCCTAAAGAAATCTTTGAACTGAAGCTTCTTCGAGAATTGAACTTGTCAAAGAATAGAATCACTAGCTTGCCAACCGTCGATAAGTGGAGCCCAGCAATGAAAACGTTGAACCTTCAAGGAAATAAATTGAGTATTTTAGATGAGTCTATTGCTCGCTCCAAGCTTGTAGATTTGAATTTAGCCGATAATGACATCAATACCGTACAAAGTTGCCTCTGTGACATAAGAACATTGAAAAGTCTTTATCTAAGTCGAAATAGAGAAGTTGAAGTACTGCCAGCCGAACTTGCCCGACTTTCCAACCTGACGTATCTAGAAATTGAAGAAATGAATCAGGTAACCATTCTAACGCAAATTTGGACAATGAAAACGACATAAAATACGTCGATGATGACAAAAGCGATAACGACGACGATAACGACGATGACGGCAACGATGAAGATGGTGATATATGACATATTCACGTTTTACCGATAACTACCTAAAGGCTTCGTAGCATATCCAACGGTAATGCTATCAAAAATTTTGAAAATGTACCGTTTGAATGGACATGACTATTAATTTATATGTGGTAATATCTTAAAAATATCTTACAGATTATATAACTCTTATAAGTTTAGGTCTTATAACTTAGACGTTTACGTGTATATAAAATATACTTTAACATCGTTGCTAAGGATAAAATGATTGTTGATTAAAATATAACAAAGATCAAGAATATGAACTAGGTAATCGTGGTTATGATTCTGATAATATTTTTCAGTTGATAGAGCCTCCTGTTGCTCAAAGGCAATGTACGTCTGATGTGATGCGATATTTGAACAACAAGCTAAGAAATGCCCAGCCGAATTCTTCGATGAAGCTGATGATTGTAGGGTCAGCTAACTCGGGAAAAACCACTCTGGCGCACAGAATCGCCAAAGACTTTAATTTCAGTCTAAATGAGTCAACAAAAGGTCTATAATTTTCAGACATTCTGTTGCTATTTAATTCCTGTTTATAGTCATAGAAAAAAGTTATTCGAAATTTGAAAATAACACCTTCGTAATAAAAAATCTTAGTTGCTTTTTTGGCCGGGGGTAATACCATATGAAATCAACATAGGGCAGCAGTGAATCCCAACATCTCAGATTTTGATGAAAATGTGCTTACTTGTTGATGTTTTTATGATGTATAATCTAATCGGATTTCATCCGCATCTGGGCTTCCCTTTCCAAAAATATGGCTCTTTTATATTGCACCTTTTTGGTGGATTAGCAATCCCCCTTCTAGTAAAAAGGCAATTATTTATTCTGTAGTAGGTTGATTAGTTAGTGGAAAGTATCTAGCATTTTGAGTTTTTTCTTGAAGTTTTTCCAAATCAGTTCTAAAAGAAATAAGATTCGCTGGAAAACACCCCTGCGACCCCCCAGAAAAGCTCTAATTTATTATATTTTGATGATCTTCTCTGTGATGAATGATTTCTCTTAGTAGATGTTTTTCCTATTGGCAGGAATTGAAGTAAAAGACATATCGGTGGACGATGTAAAATTCAAATGCTGGGATTTCGCCGGTCAAGATGATTATTACGCCACACACCAATGCTTCCTGACAGAACGTTCTTTGTACGTTATTGTTTGGAATGTGACTGAGTGTGAGACAGGGCTTGAAACCTTGAGGATCTGGCTTGAAAATATCGAATCGAGGGTAGAGAATGCGGTTGTTCTAGTTGTTGGTACCCATTTGGACAAAGTAAGCCAAGAAGCAATAAAAAAAGGCTTCGTGGAGGAGCAGGTGAATAAGGTTTTCGATTTTATCCATAGACAGTTCCAGAAGGTAGCATGCACGAAAGAAGGAATATTCATCATTACTTGCAGTCATGAAAGGAAAAACCGGAACGAATGTAGTAGAGGTAAAAGTTTTTTACGAATAGAGTTGGCATTTCAATCAGCTGCATAGATGCTTAAATAGTTTTAATGCAATTCCTTATAAATGGTTTGGATGTGTATGTAAACTCTATAGGAGTTTCAATAGATTAAACGTGTACATCTTTCCGTAGAAGGATAGATCTCAAGTATTGGAAACATTCTTTAACTGTTTTCGTTCGTATATGAAAGCTATTGATGCTGCTGTCAGCTTTCCAACTAATAACGAACATCTTACTAATGCCATTGCTCTATGACTCACGAGACCACATTATCACAAATTGTCCACCTTCACCATCCTATTCATTAGTTTTTTAAAATCCCTAAAGAATTGTTTTTTTCAAAATTTGCTTATTTGATTGAAGGAATTGAAAGGTTACGAAAAGCCATTTGCAATGCTGCAAAGAAAGCTGTTTTTGAAGAGAGAAAATTTGGAGCACTGGAGATCAGAAGAAAGGTTCCAGTCCTTGGAGAAATGGTTCCAGCAAGCTTTTTGACTTTAGCAAAAGCTCTGTCCGAGAGACAATCTGCAATGAAGAGTGCTGGTAAAATTCCAGTCCTTACAACAAAGGAGTTCATTGAGTTTGTTGAGGAAAACGTGAATGCTAGGCCGCATGAATATTTTGTTCCAGAGGATGTGCAACGAGCAACACGCTTTTTACATGACGCAGGTAAACAAACCTTAAAACCTGCGATGCCTTGAAACCGTGAAGTTTAAACGAATGTTCATATGAGTACTTTTTATATGTATTACCCTGAGTGCATGCCTTGTTCTGCTTCTCAACACATTTTGCTTGTTGGTTTTTAATGGGCAGATGGTGCAGTGATACGTTGAGGGGCAGATGCTCTATTTCCCATTGTAGAGATCACCAAATTATGAAATTATTATAAGAAGAATGTTTAAACAGGATGTAAACTAGTTAAAAACAGCTGCTATTTGGGCATCACCCACGGGTACCCGTGCTCTATGCCTATCTGTGATATGTGTTGTAAAAATAGAAGTACAAATGCATTAACTAAAAATCAAACATTAAATGCTCAAACTTAAGGATAAATATCCAATAAATTTCATTTAAAATATTCTTTGACTTTATTACTTCATTCGCTGTAGCTTTCCATTTTTTCGAATTTCATGCGATAGTTCATTGTATACCTTTCGTACCAGCATTAATTTTGTATATTACACATACAGATTAGCTACATTAGCCTGAACTGTACCTTTTTATTGATGATTTTATAATGAAGCCAAAAGTTAGGCTGTTGCTACAGCAAAATCTGAACATATATTTGCCAATGCCGAATTTTGCATAACCATCTAGCAACCTGCCTAACGAAACTTTTTAAAGTTTGACTACAATTCGACTACACAGTCATTAATCATTATTGAAGTAAGTTGTTTGACAATACGAAAACTTTTAACAGTAATAAATTGTAGCTAGTAGGTCAGATCACATTGTCGTATTATTACATTTTACTCAGTTTTGCAAACTCTTTCCAATGGTATCATCAGACTTGAAAAAGTCGAAGGTCAAATTTTGCTTACCATTTATGTTTCACGCTTCCAGAAACCTGATCTCTAGTCATTTTCTAGAATGTTCCCAAGGCTTTAAATGATCAGCGGTCTTTAATTTTCTGTTTTAAATTTTAAACTTTTTGGTTAGGCAGGTTGCTAGATAGCCATGCAAGATTCTCTATACGAATGTACGAATCGTTTATCAATACTGCTACAGTAGTTGTTGTTTTGATAAGGAGCTTGTTGTGAGTACCCGGCGCATGAATAGTCTTGTTCCTATCACCAGTTATTGATATTGTGTTTATACAGGCCTACCAACATCATGTTTTACGCTCTTTTGCCTACAAACAAGGCAGAATTTATCTTTGTAGTCCTACAGTCCATGTATCTTTTTGTAGGCGTTATTTTGCACTACGACAATGCCAATCAGCAGCTGAAAGATTTGTACTTCATAGACCCGAAATGGTTATTTGATCTCATGGCGAAAATTGTAACTGTAAATGAGGCACACAGTTTTATCCGTAATGGAATTCTCCTGCAAGAGCATATACCTTTCATTTTCAAAGATGATTGTGGCCGATTTGTTGATAGGTTTTTTCCTCAGTATCTGCAACTGGTTACCGACTTCCACATTGCCTGCCGAATCGATGATCAAATGGTCCTTGTTCCATCAAAGCTCCCAAGTCAATCGCCATCGTCAGGTTTTCTCAAGCCATCTTCGCCGCTACTACGACGTGTTCATACGCTTCCTTATATATCTCAAGGATTCAGAAGTCGATTTATATGTCGTTTTCTGCTGCATTTCGTTGAGCTGCTTAAAGTGCAACTAAATGGACTTTATCACGGACCCGTTGATTTGTCAAGTCTTTTAACTCGAAAGAATTTGAATTGCTGGCGCAATGGCATTGTGTTTAACTCCTCGGATCTATTTCTATCAGTCACACTAAACTCTATGCAAGATGGACATCATGAAATTGAGACAGTTGTGACCCGGTCAGTTGCGGGGTACCGCACGTTGGTATTTGTTGTTGATCAGATTGCTACCTTGATAGTTGAATGGTACCATGGATTCAGTGGCACAGATGGAAGCACAGCATATGTGCGCCAGTTTGCTTCGTGTCCAATCTGTATGGATCAAAATGTCAGCAATCCTTTTCAATTCGAAATCACTGACTGTTTCAAAGATGCTCTGACAAAAGATCATACAATCTGTCTTGAAGGTCACAGCCCGCTTGTTGTTAACTTGCGTGACATATACCCAGAATTATTCTTCATGGATTTAGATCCATCGTTGATCCTTGCCTCTAATGATCTAAACTTCACAGAATCAAATGACAACTTGGTCGGAGAAGGAAGCTTTGCAAAAGTGTATAAAGGGTCTCTTGGCAGCTCGTTGGTGGCATTAAAAGTCTACAAATTCAAAATGAACACGAATCGGAATACGTTTGATGCGCTTGCGCACTTTTTTAACGTGAGGCGAGAAGTGGCTGTTTTAAGCAGTGCAAGGAGGCATCCTTACATTGTTCCGTTTTACGGACTTGCTTTACTGCCAAAACTATGCCTAGCGATCGAATATACCGATAAAGGAACCCTGCGAAAGATTCTGAATGATTCGCAATGGCCAATTCAAAGGATTGTCATATACCGCATCGCTCAGCAAGTAGCTGATGCCATTGTATTTTTGCATTCAGCAAAAATTATCCACAGGGACTTGAAATCAGATAATGTTTTGGTATTTTCATTAGAACCTCATAGTACCGTTAATGTCAAGGTGGCAGATCTTGGCGAAGCTAACTTCATATCTCCGACTGGGTTGAACAATGTTGCTGGCTCTATTCGATACAAGGCCCCAGAAATCATCAGCAAAAGTATTCAAGGCAATTTTGAAATGCAGGAATACGACAGCAAGGTCGATGTCTATTCGTTCTCAATGTTGTTGTATGAATTGATGTCAAGACGGATTCCATTTTATGAGATGGAATCTGATGAAATTGGCATGGCTGTTTTCCGTAATGAGCGCCCCAGTTTGGATGATGTTTGTTTCACCAAGTACTCGCTTTTAACATTAAAGGAGCTTATGTTGAAGTGCTGGGTACAAGATCCCGTGATGCGCCCTGAATCAAAAGTTGTCAGTTTCCAATTGAAGTCACCAAGTTTCTATCTTCTTTATGGCTTAAACAAAATTTCAAGCAATAGTTGTCAGCCATGTTTTATCCAAATGATGAACGAGTTATGGATGGTGGAAGATGCTGGTCCGGATGGACTATCAGTAGTTGTTTTTGACATGGAAACTACTTTCGTCAAGCAGCGATTCTATCCTGAAAATGATGCTTTTGTTGCAGATAAGCACAGCTGGTTGAAAGTTTCATTCATCTGTGAAATTGACTTTGAGCATGTGGCTTTGATTTTTAGTTACAAGGCTGACTATGTCAAAATCTATTCAATTGAGACGAAACTGGCAATGCGGTCCTTCACACTGCCTTTCATTGGTACAAGGGCTATTGTGGCTACGTTAGGTTTCATTGCCATCGGATTTGAAAATGGTGTCTTCTTAAAGGTGAAAAGTGAAGATTTTGTAGCTGGACGATTGGGTAGCGTCACTAGGTTTGTCGTCAACGATGGAAGACCCATTTCTTCAATGTTTGCTTGCGACACAGGACCTAGATTGTTTGTCTGCTGTGATGAATCTGTTTACAGATATCCTATACTGCCTGAAGACCCAGCTGAAATCAGTAAAGCAAATGTTGGGTTTAATGTTGAAAACAAGGTGATATTTGCGTTCCGAAAACTTCTTTTTATTTCTGATGCAAAGGGCAGTCCCAAAATTAAAATTTTCGGAAAAGAGACTTTGGCTTTGATCGGCAGTATAGATTGTGGGAAGAAACTAAACATGATTTGCCCAAGCTGTGTGGTGAAAAATATGAGAATTACTTGTTTCTGTATTAATGAAAATGCCCTCTGGGTAGGCATGGGCACTGGCCACCTTCTTATATATCAGGTTAAGGAAGGTCAAAAACCTGAGTTTATCACCTGGTTGAGACCATATAGAACTGCTGTACAATCGATTACAACGTTTGAAAGCCCTAAACCGGGGAAGTTTGTTGTAACGACAGGTGAAAATTTGAACCCCTCTGTTTTGTGCTATGGAGATGTTCAGCTTTGTCAGCTCACAACAAAACTTCTTCATCAAGGGACTCAAGATGCGAATGATTCTACTTTAGAAGGCTCCCAAATTGCAAATAAGAACTCTGCAATTTTGGTTTGGGAATGCTTGGACCCTTGTGTGCTGAAAAGGATTGCCGCAAAGCCGTAGAAAAGAAAACTTCAACATGGCAAAGTCATTCTGCAGCATAACCTGCCTGTGTTTATGCCTCGCTTTCAATTGCGGAAATGAAAATAGATAGAAATGCTTTCATTTTTTTTATCACGTTAAGTATACTAGGGACTTTAACATTGAAATATTGTGTTGAGATTTCAGTATAATTATCATTGGGTTACTGTTGTCATGAAGTTACGAGGTCGAGGTTACGAGGTCGAAGCTACTAGGTCAAAGCTACGAGGTTGAAGCTACGAGGTCGAAGTCTCGGACATGTCAAGTACTAGACCATCAATTTTCTATTTCGTATTTTAGAATTTTATTTGATTAGCGCTTCTACCTGCCTTTCCATTTTTAGAAATTTTCAGAAATTCCTTAGTTTTTGGCTTTGACACTTTTTTTTGAGATATGTAAAAAGACGACGAGTGAATGAAAATCGTAGGAATTTGTTTAGGATAGTGACTGTGCTTCTTTCTAATAAGCTGGGGAAGTCGGGGCTCGGGAGTCGGGGGCCGGGTGGGGCAAGGGCCTCCACAGCGACCAACACTTTAAAGAGGGGCGCTTGAAAAATGTAAACGAAAAGACCACTCGCCATAACTGCATCCCTTCACACTTATCCGTTAATTGTTCACACTTGGTAGCCTCATTGTTAAACAAAGGCCTCTATTTGAAAATGTGACAATTGGTAATAGCGACCGTCCATTGTTAATCATGCTATTGTTAGCATATTATTCTGGAGCAATGTGAACATGACATCATAGACTTTGCAGGAGTTATAGCGCTTACAGTTCAGGAAACAATGAAGGTTTTGAACTTGTTTGTCGTCATGGTATCCGCCCAGCATCATGTTTTGCTTTTTTGATATTACTCCCATAAATAGATGCATTGCAAACTTACAAACTTGTAATGTATCTAGCCTGTAATCAATCTATATGTCATCATCTCTGTATCATGTTTGTAATGTACTGCTGTCACTATGCTTTGTACTCTGGTGTTGTTGATTGATTGTAACCAGATTCATATATTTTGAGTAATTGTGATTAACAATGCAAGTCAGTCGTGATTCAGAATATGATGAATACAGGCGTATGAACCAGTGTCTTTTATTAGCGTTAACGCTACATTTTGGTGACAGGAATGGCGACCAACATTATTCCGGAATGATTCAGCTCTGGCGATCTCCTTTCGTGGTTTCGCCATTTTGAGCGCTGTGCTCAAGCCAACTCGTGGAATGAGGAAACCCGCTTGTACAAACTGCCCGCTTTTCTACAAGGACCGGGCGCATCCTATTTCGAGTCACTTGACGCTCGTGATCGCATCACATACCAAGAGTTGGTCGACGGTCTGAAGAACTGTTTTGCCCCTGCAGTAAACCAGGAACAGTATTATCGAGAGCTTGAGGAACACCGTTTACGACCAACAGAGGACCCCACCCTTTACTTTTGGCGACTTAAAGATGCCCTCCACCTCCACCGGATTTATCCGAAGATGCCTTTGATGCCCTTTTGCGACGCCAGTTCTTCAAAGGCCTACCTAATGTTGTCCAACTGAAGCTCTTGGAATCCCATCCTAACCCAGGATTGGACGAAATGTTGGCGTTTTCGAAACGGTTTCGATCGCTTGAAGTTTTGCCCTCCGGCAATCCTGCATGTGCTACTACCACCCACATCGTTCCTCCGCAGTTTCCTTGCGATGAGCTGCAATGCAAGTCATGCGATGACCTACCAATGTTGTTGACCCAAGTTGTGGAAGGCCAGAACCAATTGATCGCAGCTATCGGTGAATCAAGGAGAAGCAGTCGGCCAGAAATTCGTTGTTTTGAGTACCGTGAAGTGGGCCACATGAGACGGCACTGTCCACGCCGAAGACGTTCTGGAAAGGGACATCGACAATGCTCACTTTGATCCGGATGGGGACACAACGAAAGTATCTGTGCCAATAACAAGGGCCGATTCACCAAGGAAGGTAACGGGCCTAGGCATCTCCATTTCCGGACAATCGACAATTTGTTAATTCAGCTAGGCCTCATTATTTAAATGGTAGTAAGGCGTCTTTAAACGTCCAGGGGGTGCCTCGTTAAGGGGCTGGAACGACGAGCACCCCTCTGTTTTTGCTGTTGGTTCTGCTTCAGACTTTCGTTTGAAACCCTTAGCTCCTCGCCAACCCCTGCTATTTTGTGAGCTTGAAGGTGTGCAGGTTCCAATTTTAATTGATACTGGTTCCATGAAATCCCTGCTTAGTTCAAGTGTCTTTCAGCGTATTTCTGCACGCTGTGTACACCAAAACAAAGCCCTTCCTCCACTTCGAAGCATATCCAACAGTTGTGTTTCTTTTACCGGACAGCCGCTAAATTCTTCAGGTTCAGCAGATATTTCTTTGTCTTTTCCGGGAAGCCAATTTTTGTATGTGGGAGAGTTCTTGGTATGTTATAATGTGCTTGCCCCTCTGCAATGTGTACTTGGTTGGGATTTTTTGACCTTTTCTTCTTTGCAGTTGACTGTCGTAGGGGATTCCTATTGCCTTGTTGGGCCCCATGGCAGCACACCTTTGACCCCTTTGCCTCTTCCTGTCCAACCACCAACCCAAGGTCTTTCTGCCCCTGTCAATTCATCTTGTAAGGAATATCTACCTGTTTTTGTCCAATCATCAGACTATGGACCAGTCTTTGTGACCGACATTATATTATCCCCAAGGGTTGTAAAGAAAAAATAGGTATGGTATGTAGCCTCAGTGAGGATTCTGAATCATCTTATATTACTGCATACAGTATCAGTCAAGCCTCTGAGCGGATGATACCAGTAAGAATTCTCAATCCGTCTAAATCTTCTGTTGAACTTCATGCAGGCCAAAAAATAGCTAGGTTTTGGCCAGTTATACCCTTCAGCCTCATCTAGTCCACCTATACACAACATGTGCGCTAGTGTTCAAAACAATAAGTTTGATTCAGTTACCTTGTCTGAGTTACATGCAGCTATTAGTCCTAATCTTAGTAAGTCAGATCAGAAACAGATTCTTGAGACATTGCTTTTTTTTCTAGATGTTTTTAACGATGGTTTAGGCTATACCTCGGTATTATCTCATAGTATAAATACTGGTGACTCTTTGCCAATAAAGCAGCATCCACGACGGTTGCCTTATCATTATAGAGGAGAAATTCATAAACTGGTTAATGAAATGTTAGAAAAAGGGGTTATACCACCAAGCACTAGCCCTTGGGCGTCTCCCGTTGTCCTTGTTAAAATGATGGGTCCTATAGATTTTGTGTTAACTACCGCAAGCTAAACCTTGTCACCAAGCAAGATGCTCACCCCTTGCCTAGAGTAGATGACCTTCCTGATTCTCTAAATAGCAACAAGCTCTTTAGTATTCTTGATCTCCGCAGCGGTTACTGGCATGTAAGTATAACCTCAGAAGATAGAGAAACAACAGCTTTTATTACCCCCTGTTGGCCTATTTGAATTCCTTCCTATGCCATATGGGTTATCAACAGCTCCAGCAACATTTTCTAGGGCCGTTAGCATTATATTATCAGGTTTAACCTATGATATATGCCTTTGTTATTTTGATGACGTAATCATTTTTTCTGATACCATTGAACAACACTGTGAACGTTTAACATCTGTTTTGCAACGATTTCGTGAAAATGGGCTGCGTGTCAAGGCTTCTAAATGCTCTCTTGGTGCCGATCAGGTCATTTATTTAGGTCACTGTGTCTCAAGTAAAGGGGTTCATACTGATCCATCTAAAATTAAGGCTGTGCAGGATTCACCCCCACCAACTGACCTGGACAAGCTTAGATCACTCTTAGGACTAGCAGGGTATTATAGGCGTTTCATCCCTCAATTTGCAACCATGGCAGCTCCTTTGACTGAACTTACCAAGAAAGGTATCCCGTTTAAGTGGACAGAACAGCACCAGACTGCTTTTGAAACTCTACGAGCACTTTTATGTTCCGCTCCCATCTTGGCGTATCCTCAGTTTGATCGACCTTTTTTTTTTGCAAACTGATGCATCCAATGTTGGTCTTGGTGCTGTATTAGCGCAATTTGATGATAATGGCCATGAAAGGGTTGTATCTTATGCCAGCCGCACCCTGTCCCCTCGAGAGCAAAATTATTCCACCATGGAAAAGGAAACCCTGGCTAATATCTTTGCCACTCAACACTTTCGTGTTTATCTTGTAGGCCATGCATTTCAGATTATCACTGACAATCAGGCCCTTAAATGGTTGCATTCTGTAGAACCCAAGGGTCGTATCGCCAGTTGGCTCATGGATCTCCAAGAATTTGATTTTACAATAAGCCACAGACCTGGTAGCTCCAACCAAAATGCAGATGCTCTCTCTCGTTTAAATCATTACCAAAATAGTCAAACCAACCCTGCTGTAAGTTGTTTAGTGAGTTTACTACCAGATGCAAATCTGCATTACGCTCAGCATGCTGAACCTCATATATTGAAGGTTATTGAAATTAAGGAACAGGGTTTTCCAAAATCCCCTTTATTTGTGTGGAAAAGGAATCCCAATCTTTCATCTTTTTGGAGTTGCTGGGATCAACTGTATGTCAGTAATGGGCTGCTGGTAAGGGCCTTGGTATCTAAGCATGAGTTTTCTAGGGAACTTGTGGTCATACCTGATAGTTTAATCCTTAATATTCTTCAAAGTCTTCATTGTGGCCCATCTGGTGGACATATGGGCATTAGGCGCACTATAATGCGGTGTAAAGAACGATTTTTCTGGCCTAAAATAATTGATTCTATTACCAACTTTGTTCAAAATTGTCCAGCTTGTAGCCAAGGTAAACATGATTCCAAACAGACACGAGCTCCTTTGCATCCCATTCAAGTCAGTGAGCCATTTGTTTTTTGGACAATAGATTATATGGGGCCTATCTCTGAAACTGCTAGGGGTAACAAACATATTCTTCTCACGATGAACCACTTCATCAAATGGTGTGAGGCATTCCCAACAAAGGATAAAAAAGCCTCCACTATAGCCAATAAACTTGTCTCTCGCGTTTTCTCCAGGTTTGGTCCACCGACTGTCATCCACGAAATTTTGACAGTACATCAGAACAAGGACGAAATTTTGACAGTTCATTAATGCATGAAAATTATAACATCACGGGGGTTAAGAAGTCACGAACAACAGCCTATCATCCGCAGGGTGATGGGTTGGTTCAAAGGCAAAATCGCACCCTGCAGGACATACTTAGTAATTTTCTGTCAGACCACAGTAGTGACTGGGACCAATGGCTAGACCAGGCCGTCTTTGCCTATAACACAAGTATACATGAATCAACAGGTTTCTCTCCTTATGAGTTAGTTTTTGGGCACCCAGCACGTATGCCCATTGAAATTGAGTTAAGTGTACCTCTACAGAATCCATCAAGCCAATCTGATTATAGTCAGTCCTTACGCAAGGCTATTCAGAATGCCAATCAGATTGCTCAGAAAAACTTAGAAATAGTTAGATCTAGACAGAGTATGCATTATAACAACAAGACCCTCAAAGAATGGCAACCTTTTGATATTGGACAAACGGTTTGGTTATGGCGCTCCAAAAGCTGGAAGTTTGGTAGGAAATGGGTTGGGCCATACAAAATCTGCGCTCGACGTGGAGTTAACTATAACATCAGGTCAAGCAATGTCAAATTTCTTGTAGCCCATCACAATCAACTCGAGGCTTGTCATTTGCCCCTGGGCCAGGGTCAACTTCCATCCAGTCCCTGAAATTCCAGGGATAATTCCTAGGGAGGGTTTTCCAGTTGTCCAGCATGAAGAGATGCAAGGAGTTGTTCAAAGGGGTATCACCTCACCTTCGTCAGGTCATTAATCCCCCCCCCCAACGTTATGGAGAGGTTGTTGCACTTTAACACAGACCAACCTTTGCAACACTCAACATTGTAAGGGAGGGGAAGGTGTAATGTATCTAGCCTGTAATCAATCTATATGTCATCATCTCTGTATCATGTTTGTAATGTACTGCTGTCACTATGCTTTGTACTCTGGTGTTGTTGATTGATTGTAACCAGATTCATGTATTTTAAGTAATTGTAATTAACAATGCAAGTCAGTCGTGATTCAGAATATGATGAATACAGGCGCATAAACCAGTGTCCTTTATTAGCGTTTACGCTACAAACTAGACTTTAGTTTTTTGAGGGCAGTGATCAAGAAGGCCATTGTTTGAACTTACGCTGATGAAAGTTGGTTTCATGAATCGTTATGAGTTAATTTATTACTGAAACCGCTGTTTAATTGGAATATTTACCGTCGTGCCAACTTTTTCCGAGTAAGCCTTGGAACAGAAGAGTGCTTAAAGGTGATGACTTTGCGGATGAGCATCGATACATTCATTGAGTAGGTTTTGGTTCCATTTCGACAACCTGATTGGAAAACAGATTATGACTCCTTTACAAACCTTTCATAATCAGATTTGCAAGAATATCGTATAATTCAGCGCGTTTGAGGCCCTTCCTCCGCCTTGCCGTTCCAATGTGTGGCGGGCCAACAGATCGTATAATGGTAGCGATAAATATATTGACAGGATTTTTTATTTTCTGGAAACCTAAGTAAAATACTTTTATTTGGTAAATACGACTGCTGTTAGACTAATTAATCAAAGTCGCCCCCCCCCCCCCCCCCCCAAAAAAAGTTAATCTCGGTCTTTGATCCTGGTCAACTTCAATATGCGCAATAAATATTTCGAATTTATGTCACTCATTTTCGGCAGATTTTTATTCAATCACATGCAAGTCGAAAAAGAAGCTAGATTCATGATAAAATGAAAAGATTCTTACATTCGTCCGCATGATTGCCTTCAGAGGGGGTTAAGAACCTGGTACGATCGAGTCGCTATTTGCAGGAAAACAACTTCCAAACTTAAATTCCCTCCTAACATAACGCAGTACCAGCCAGCACATATCCTTCGTACATTTCATTAGCCTCGAATTTTCATGTACCTTGGATCGAAGGCTACGTAGATCTCCTCAAATAGTAACTGAACAAGATGAACTGAACTGTCCAGTCCTTGGATGATTTCCATTCAAGGAAAAAAAAACATGGTGTTTGTGACGTCACACGCACTAGGTCACATGAAATGCAGACATTGGTCGAACACTCGACGATAATTTCATGAAATTTAGAGCGGAATTGCGTCAAAACGTTTTCTGCATTATATCAAAAAATAGTTTTGCGTGTCAGTTCACCTTTAAAAAACAAGTAAGTTTATCAAGGATAATCCCATTGCATCAATAAGGCGCTACTCCTGTTGAAATATTACAATATAAATGTTAGGCAAGTTTGCTATCACCTTAAAACCGGAGCTCCAGTATTTGCCTTAGCAAATAAATTGACAATATCCTTGATATAATTTTAACAAAACTTAGATCGTAATGATCACAAGTTTATATTCTTTTAGAAGTCATTGATTGTGTTTATTTCCCTTTTCTCCAATCTCGGTTAGAAATTTCGATGTGCTTTAGGGATTTCCTCAGACAAAATGGCAATTCTCTGAACCTTTATCAAAATAAATAATTTCTCAAGATTTTAGTCACATTATGCTACTACAGGAATGGCTAATTTTTTGTATTCTGAGAGGTGAATTTCTAATTAGCGATTTAAAAGAAAATACAGTGAACGTTTGAACATTTGCCTCTCGCGTTTGCCATATAAGGTAATAACGGAAACCAAATGGGCGTAATAGATCAGATCGCATAAAACGATTGCTTTTAGCATTCTGCTTGACCATAGAGTTTATTCATTTTGAAAACTGTTTTAGGTTCTTTTTGCTTGAGAGTCCTTTTAAACCACTGTCATTTCACCATTTTTTCATTGTTGAAATTATAAGACTACACTTTTCTAGCATGATTATGCAGCTGCACACGAATTGGTAACATGTGTTACTTTTTTCAGCAATGTCTTCAAATGACTGAAAAAGGTAAAAAAACCGGTGCAGTGTTCAGAGGAAGAGGTAAAATTGAGTCAGTGTATGAGCAGCATAAAAAAGCTGATAACAACAAAAGCGAGTTCCCGAAAGGAACATTAAATATGATCAAAGAAGAAAATCTGACATCCATAAATGATTCGCAGTTGATAGAATAATGTCCTTAATAACATGATTTGAAACACATTGCGTTTCACAATGTTATACTTTTGCATAGGGTACCAAAACGCGTATTACACCGTATCCCGGTGTAAGGCATTTCTAAACAGTCATAACTTAGATCCTGGATTAGTTATTTTAGCGACCCATACAAATGATATGCACAGAGCGTTAATTCGAGTTATCACCTTTTTGAAATGCCCCCTTGGAGTGGGTGAACACTCACTTGACAATGCTAAAAGAAAAAAACGTGGAATTCACCCTCTTTTAAAAGGGAAATGTAGAAAATATAGATAAGATAATACAAATGTAAACTTGGTATGCTTTTGAATTTTGAATGTAAAGTATGAATTGAATACACATTCCCTCGAACGAACTTCTTCATAGTACCATAGGAACTTCCCCAAGGCAAAATTGGAACTGTGAAGGAACACGTAGAATAAATACAATTCAACTCAACGGCTACATGGAGAGAAAGAAAAGTATTGGAAGTTGAACTGGAATATTCACACTTTGCCAAAAATGGGGTCAAAGTGCTCCACTATACAGCTGGAAGAAGAAGATGTTCGTGAAATAAGCAAGGATACAGGATGTATGATTCTTACTTTGCTCCTTGAATTCATTGAAGTGGCCTTTGCTAGCAGTGGTTTTATAAATAAAGTAACAACGCCATCGATTTTTGAAAACAACAAAACGAACTTCATCACAACAAAACGCGAGACAGTATTTTTCTTGCTTTTCCTTCGAACCATGTCCACAGGCCTTGAAATATAATTTTCTTACATTTTGACGTTGTAAAACTTTGAAAATCCTTGTTGCATTTAATTAATTTGGAAGATTGGAATCTTTAGGTAATAAACCTGAACTTGAACCTGAAACCACTCAGAAATATTATCTGTTCCGGTCAATTTTTTCTCTTTACATTTACCAAAATGGGTCATAGAATTTGCCGATGTAGTGAAAACATCTCCTCTCACTGTCTGGTTGTCCAAACAATATGAATTATTTAGCCCAGACTACTTTCAACATGAAGATTCATATTTTATTAGAATAAATCTAATAGAATTGCAATCTTCCTGTCAAATCTTCAGAAATATATAAGTAAAAATTTTATTTTCCAGGCAAATTTAATGCTTAAAAGTGTACCACCTTCAAAAGCTGTTTTGTTCCCTTGCGTTTGAGGTAACCAAAACTGACTTATATCAGCAGGAAGTGCAGATCCCAAGCTACCAAAGTGTGTCTCAGATTTCTCAAATTTTTCTTCCCTCGCACAGTTGTATTTTGATATAAAAGACAGACATGAGCAAGTGCAAAATTATTGAGACTGACTTTGGTTACCTGACATCAAGATATAATAAGGAACTAAGATAGTCTAACTAAAACCCCTTGATTTGCCTGCATTTTTGCATCCCAATTTTTGGTGGAACGAGCTCAGTTGCTCAAAACAAGACCACCTTTGAGCAAGCCTTGACAAGGCAAATGAGCCATTGCTCTTGTATTTCTATCAATGTTTGACCATGGTTTCTAGCCTCTTTTCCTTCACAAACTTTCATGTTTTGTATGCCCTTTTCCAAGGCAAAGTGATGATTTTATCGATTTTCGGATGCAAAAAGGGAGGTAAACCTAGGGTTTTTAGTTAGACTATCTTAGCTCTCTAATTTATTTTGCTGACATCTGTCCCGACCATGTGCAAATTTTTGAGCCATTTGATTGGTTCCTTTGGTACAAAATAGCTTTTTCATACCTGTATATAGAGGAATCGCGAGGCTTGAGAAAACGGGATTCTACTGATTGCACTTGCAAGGTACACTCGTAAACCACAGTGTAATCTTGGTCAAGTCCTTTAAAGCTTAAAGATCAATAAACCTGTTTAAATAAACACACCCATACATTGGATAACTATATGTGCCAAGGGACTGTAACTAGTTATTGCAAATGAGACATGCGACCACAACCACAAAGCAAGGACGGTAGGCTTAAAAGGTTGAATGATTTTCAGACCTCAGCTTAAAACTCTGATAAAGAAATTATGGAAACCTTCTGCAGAAATCGAAAAATGGATGTCTTCATCCAGAAATGTTTACTGTAACCGAAATATTTCAAATACAGATTTCTGGGTTTTTATATGGCTACAGGTGCAAGTTTGCCCTAGCCTTGCAAATCTTTTTGCAACCAGATTTGAAGAGAGGTTGGTGTATATCTCTGGTTACTTTATATATCAATTAAAAGATGAGTTTTATGGATGAATACTATATCCTCTTATTAAGAAACAAATTTCAAATTTTATTGCACTTTAAATTTTTATAATAATCTGTGATCTGAATTATTTTTATGTTTTCTTGCGGAAATTTAAGGAAAATCCTTTTATTTTCATTAGAAATATGCTTGTCATGTTCAGGCCTTATGATCAGAGGTGCTCAAGCTTGTTCAAGCGCCCCACATTTGCCTAGGTAAATCTAGGAGCTTGATCAATCAAGCACCTTGTAAATTTATGCTGTCTAAAAGTAATGAGGAAAATCCAATCTGCCATTAGTCATATTGGTAATATTTTACAACATATTGTTTTTGACATTCTGTTAACGAAATTGCAAACAGACCTAAAATGATGATAAGCTATATGTTTACAACTCCACTTTTCTACATAAGTCCACCTTTGGCCAGTGCAGAGTTTTCATCCTGTTCGCGCTGACATTTTCGTCTTGGGCAAAATTCAGTTCAGTTTAGTTTAGTTCATTTCAATTCAGTTCATCTATATTGTAAATGTGGAGAGATGAATCTTTCTCAGTTTTTATCTGAGTGTTGTTTGTTATTCAATGATCATTACAAAAAATGATGTCAGGAAAACCAACATACCATAAATCTATAACTGCTTTGGTTTTTTCTCCAGTTACAGCAAGACAGATAAAAAGACTTTACAGCAGGTTTTCAAATCTTGATAGAGGGAACCTTGGGAAACTAAGGTGAGATGATTTATGCATTAGTTTGTTAGTTTTTGATAAACATTTGCATTTTCTGAATTGTCTTGCCAAAATAAACTGGTAATGATCTGGCTGTATTTTAACTTGCACATTTTATATTTCCCACAGTTTTGCTGCAGAATCCCAGTTGCTCAGCCTGTTTGTATTTCTTGTTTGAAAGAATCATCTTAATTTACTTAATAAAAGGACTGACACAAGAATAGGCAAAATTTGGCTCAAGTTGAATGCTAATTGAACAATGATGATACAACAACTACAAATGGATTTTTATTAACAACAAGCTAAATTAACAAAATATTAACAATAACGCAAGTATATAAAGAAAATGTAGCAAATATGAAACACCGCAATACGCCGAGAATAAACAACAATAAAAACATGTAAATCAGTAATGATTTACTGATTTACGTGTTTTTCTTGTTGTTTATTCTCGGCGTTTCATATTTGCTACATTTTTATCGACTTTTCGCCACAAGAAGGATGTAAAGAATAAGGGGGGCTTTGAGTGTGGTTGAAGGGAAAACCAGGAGGTGCTCAAGGTAGGGTATGACATAGATAAATGAGCCAATATGTCATATGTGTACAGAGATTCCTAATATGGAATTACTTGAATAAGCTTAGATAAGGTACCATAAAAATCATGGGATCAAACCCATGAATACAATGACTCATTTCCCATGCCAAAGATGCAAGGCCAAATATTATGTGAAAAGTAGGAGAAGTACTACACATCAAAAAAGTAGGCCAAGCAATCTCTTTATTTAAGCTATAAATATTGAGCCACAGCCACAATGAACACAACAATTAAAGCCCTAAATAGGCTATTCTTCTCTGGGTTTTTCCAGTAAGAACTTTTGATTTGCTGTTGATAGCCTATTTATGTACTATATATCATCTAGCCATCCCCACTAGCAGGGTGAGGCTGCTTTAATGCAAGGAAATTGTTGCCTGGCCAAAGTGAACAATATCTTTGTAGATTGAGATTTCTAACAAGCATACATAGAAAACTAAAACTGTCTTAAGACAAAAGAACTTGACTAATGTGGATGGAAAGAAATCCTTTCTTTTGTGATTGGCCACAAAAGGAACCTATCAAAAACACCATTCTTCCTGTTATGTTGCTTTTCATCTGTACCTAGGTGTAACTTTAATTTAGCCTTTTGGTCCTTATCAGATGGTTTATATCCTTTGAATTAACAACAAAACGTTTATTTGAATGTTACGAGAGTCGTGCTTACAATTTTTTGTGCCAATTGGAAGTTCCACAGTGCAAGAAGCTTATTCAACTTTTCATACAAAAGCCCCACTAATTTAATGTCCATGAACTGAAAATGCCAAGGGATATTTGAGAATGAACCATATTTGCATAGTCTTCTTTTAATGATTTTTTAAGTTAAATGAGCTGCTAGTGTTGCTGTAGATGGTCAGTTCTCAAGGAAATGCAAGTTATTTATGCCTTTTACATTTGTACTATAGGAGAGAGGATTTCTTCAGAATCCCAGAACTTGCCATAAACCCACTCGGGGATAGAATCGTGCAGTCTTTCTTTGCATTCAAGGACAAGTATGTAATAATTTTCTTTTTCTTAGATCTCTTGAAAATAGTAGATTCATCAAGTTTCTGCTATATAATCTTAAAATATCCGCTTAAATCATTTATTTATGTTTATCCTTTTGTAGGTTATAAAGTTGAGATAGGCAGAAAACAAGTATGAAAGGAAACTGTTCTTCAATCTTTAAAAAGATTTGATTTGTAGTGAAGTTTTACAACCTTTTTTGAAGTGAAGCGATAGGCTGTGGATATTTTGTAAAATTAGCTTTGAAAAGGCAAAAATTTTGAATCGTAGCACTTTAGCTTTCGTCTGACGTCGGAACACAGGCCGAAAACTCTACGCTGGGAAATATATATACCCAGCTAGGATCGAAAAAGGGCAATCAGAAGAACGCAAGCACATGACCGGTATAGTTGTCCAATCAGTACCGCGTGCCTAAAGAAAAATTACCATTGGAGGAAGTCCAAGGGAAAAAACGGTATCCTTCTAATAACACAATGACGGCTTCTTCGTTTGTATGTAGATAGATTCCAAAACTGCTAGATGGAAAGACGACCGGGCTCTGCCAATTATCCGAAACATGTCATCGATCTGGGTTGTCTAAAAGGTGTTGTCCGATGGCCAGTCAAAATTGTAAGCACATGACGGTGTAAACTCTGAACAGTGTCAGAAGAAAAGCTACAGTACTATGTTTCAAAATGTTTTCTTTTTCAAAGCCATTTTTAAATTCTGTAACAAAAACGATTGTTTCCAAATAATGTTGTATTCACCATAAGAGCTAGGCAGTTTTACCTTGGAAGTATTTCCTTTATCCGTTCAAGCTCTTTTTATGCATTCAACATTTCGGAACATTGCATTGCGTTTTACATTTTGTCAAATCATTGCACTACGTTTTACATTTCTTACTTCGCAGGGACGAATCAGATAGTGCTGGAATAAATTTCAAAGAATTTGTCCGAACGCTAGCCTACTTCAGACCAATTAGAAAGAAAAACGAAAACCCTTTGAATACTAGAGAATGCAAACTTGAATGTGAGTACTGTAAAATCTCTACCATCTGGAATCATATAATTTTTTGCATAAAAATGTCCAACCAAGACATCGTTCTCCCAGTTTCTCTAATATGTTTTTGACTGTTACCCGTCTGATAACTTGACGCGATGAAAAAATAAACAGGGACTTACAATTTCGGCTAGTTGTCGAACAAATCCTGAACCCTCTAATTCCCATTTCCCCTGCTTATCCATCTCCCCATATCAGAGATTCCAGACCAACTTTTCATATCCATTGACTATTTTATATTATCTCTCAAACTCTTCCTCCTTTTTCAGTTGCATTTAGGATTTATGACATTGACGGCGACGGATATATATCTAGACAGGAGCTACTCGATGTAAGTTTTGCAATTTTTGTTGGATCGAGGTAAATGGTACCACAAAAGTTGAAAATTTTCTAAGCTAGGCCTGCATTTCAAGGTTCAGTCATCAATGCCATCCAAATTTTACAATTCTCTTATATCAGTCTTATTATGATTCTTATTCATAAACATTATCAGTCTGCCTATGGCTGAGTCAGCATAAACCACGTTCTCTCTTTCCAGGTACATTTCTACGCAAATATCGATTTGCTTTACGGGAATCTTTATGGTGTAATTGACCAGCCAGTAGAAAATAAATGCCAAATTGCTTGAGTTGAAAGATTGAGCTTTAGCATAATAAGCGAGCCATCGGGTCTCATCAAAAATAACTTTATATATATTTATATGTATATATTCAGTAACTGACTCTTTAAGAAAGAAGGAAGTTGCTTTTGTGAAGTGCGCCGAGAAAGTTACCTAATTGATTTTTTGATAGAATATCGAATATCTTGTTTGATTTGCTATAGCTTTTACGGATGATGGTTGGTGTCAACATTAATGATGAACAATTGGAGAGCATAGCAGACCGGACATTATCAGAGGCCGATGATGACCAGGATGGGTTCATCTCATTTACTGAATTCAGCAAGGTAATACAGCAATCTAGTCAATTCATGAACAGATTCTTGCATCCTCTATGAACAAGAAAAATAAAACAAAGTTAGTTCTAGATACGGACTAGATACTAGTTAGTTCTAGCAAGGAGTCCCTATTACGTTCCGCGTATCAACCCCTCAAAATTCTTATTGCGAAAAAGGATTTTTCACTGAGAATGATTTTAACTGGCACTATTCTTCACCTTTTTGCGTATTTCAAGTGATAACCTCTGCCTTGATGACAAAACAGTAGTCTAGTAACTGCTCGTAATCTAAAAAGCAAACTTATTTTTTATTCACTCTTCGCCACCATTTCCTGCCCAATTCATCTCGATAATCATTGATGTGAATTGCAAAAGAATCTTGATTCTAGCAGGCGTCAAATCCTGATAGCGTAAACTGGCATGAGTTGTGTGTATGCTTGTCTCGGGTATTTTGTTTAATCATAGTCTATTTATCTTGTTTTAGATGATGGAGAAGACGGACTTTGAATCCAAGATGAGTATCCGGTTCTTAGCTTAGAGGAATTACACAGTTTTTTCTATTGAAAGGACACTGGCCATGTGTCGTAACATCATCAAATTGTATCCTATTGAGACGAAAATGAATTATGGCAATTTAACTTTAATTTGACCAAATTACTTTGAACCGATCTAATCCAGGATACCGGGCCTGGATTAGAATTTGTAGACACCCCTTCTGGACAACTCGACAACTTGAAACTGTATCGGACAAATGTAGCTTGTTGAATTACTGTGCATTACCATATGCAGATAATGGGTATGTGTATCGTCTAAGTTGGAATGTTATGATATGCTGTTGATGTGGTATCACACAAAGGTATAAGACAGATCTTACAGAATGTAAACAAAGGCATGAAAGTAAAACAAGTCCTTAGAAGAGTGATTTTTGTCACACCTCTCTTCGAAAATGATGTTTTAATCTCTCTTGTTGCTCTTAGGTCTCTAGCAGTACACTCTAGTGGCATTGTATTCGATTTTACCTCTTCAAGCCCGAAAAAGGGAAAACAACGAATAATGAACCAGTGTGCATTGGTTTTCCAACGAGCAGCCAAACGTTTCTAAGGGTCTGATAAAATGAGAGCTGCTCAGGGATATAGCAAACTGTGATACAAGATTTGTTTTAATTTTTCCAGGAACATCTCGTGGGTTTTAATGACCTTTCATGCTTTAAGCAGAAAACTACAGAGAATTAATGATAGCAATATAACTTCAGTAACCTGAAATGAGATAATCGGCTTCCTAAGGTCGAAGACTTTTACACGACTTCACTTAGAAAAACTATCAGCAGCTCGCGAAATAAGACAAGTATTTACTCTGTAAAATTACTGTTGAAAATCTCAAATCATGAAATGTAAAAGTTGATCAAAACAACGGTCCAAATCCGCAAAATGTAAATCTTTCTCGCAATAAACAATGAAAAAAGTGATTTTCAAGTTTAATTTTTGTCTTTAGCCTTAGTCACCACAGTTCCTATTCTGTGTCCTCGCAGTTGTTGACCATATGGCCGCAATGTATTGTGTTATCTGGGAAAGTCTACAGCTAAGAGCCAGAATGTACACAGAATATTTGAAGAGAATTTTGGAAAAAAGTTCTTAATAATATTCATAAATCACTGACATGAAATAAAAAGGGTTATATTGATAGTCCAGAACACTGTCCGCTCGCTAATAGCATTGAACTTCGAACGATTTGGTATTATTAGCTATCTACATAACAATAGTCGCACAATTTACATCACACACTAATTTAGTTTAAAATAGTACAGGATTCCATTTTAAAAATACACAATTCTGTAAAATACCTCAAAGTCACTCTGAACTACAAAATATAACATTTATTACTCTCGGATCTGCAAAAATATTGAAACTTATAAAAATGTTTGTACATGGTCTTGAATTAAACCTTGAATTTCCCCTGATTTGTGATAATCAGCAAAGGTCTTTAATAACAGTTTAGTGCTTCCTTTTCAAAAGAAATGGAAGAATATTCCCAAGGGAAGTAGAAAAGTTGATACAAAATTAATATGCAAATTAACTATACGAATATTTAGTCTGGCGAATATTATACCAAAGCCAAAACTTAAGTGAAAAAGAGGTAAAATTAACGTTCATTAAATCTAAGAAGGGCGGGGAATTTGGAAAGAAAGCTTACAAGGGTAGTTGCGGAAACTGTTTTACCATTTTATAATCTTAAATTATTTAGTAAAAATTCTTGAACATCACTACGAAATTATTATTTGCCAAGTTTTTAAGAATAGGAATTATCATTTTGAATAAAAATGCAAAAAGCAGCTTGGCTTGCAAAATGTAGAAGACGAGTACACAAATACATTTGGATAACAAGTCTCTGTTGGTATTTAAATTGGCACCTTGTTGATCAATCTGATCAAAAAATTCCTAGATGTGTAACCAAGGAGGTAAGTATTATGGCATTATTTCTGCAAAGACCACTGAAAGACACAAGAAGGGATATTTAAGCGGCTATCTGTCTCAAAAATCTTCATCATAAGGTACGATGTGCTGCCAACAGATTTGATACCTGAAACTTTTTTATTGTTCCACTTTACTTGGCTTAGGAGGAATAACTGGTGGCGGCGTGCCAGGAGGCGGAAGACTGAACCTCTCAAAAACATCTGGTGTGGCTGTCAACGGAGTTCTTGGTGGGCGGGGAGGAATAGGCGGCGCGCTATCATCTATGACTGGCGAAAGTGGCGGGGGAGGAAATGCCCTTCTTATAGGTGTTCCTGGCAGAAGGGGTTCAGGGGACTGTGCTGTCCTTAAAGATTTCGATCTGGCGGGGCGTGGTGGAAGAATAGGGGGTCTTTGAGCATCTTTATCGTAGGCCTCCCACAATTTCGAATTTCCTGACAAGTTGTCAATGTCCACTGACGGCTTACGAGGGGGCACCCTAGGAGGTGGTGAAACTTCCTCTTCAGGAGTCTCTTTGATTGGCTCAGGAGTTGAAAAGCTCTTATCAGGGCTTCCACCATTTTGGATGCTCTCTTCATTTTCAGAGATTTCCGATAACGACAGTGAGCCACCTGGTCGCCTCTGAGGCGAACCAATGATCTCGAATGAATCTGAACTTGATGTTGACAAGGAAATCTTTCTGCCTCCGGTGCTTGTTTTTGACTTTATACCAGGAGATTTCAAAGACGTCTCTGTCTTTCGTGCCTATCAGGAAAAGACAGTCATATTACCGGCACCTTAGAAGTACGGTCACAGCAGAATCATGAAGGTTACGTTACTCCATGATAATAATGATGAGGTTATTGGTTGAGGAATGGCAGTGCAACAAAATTGTCATTGTTTGGTATGATTGAAAGGCAGTTTGAAAGTTAGTATGGACCGTAATCAGGTGATCAGTATGGACCATTGCATTTGAGCTACAATACGCCCTGCAGAAGTACAATGCGTACAATGAATAGGTTAACAACTTTGATGTTATCAACTCTTGTGAAGCCTTTAAGGTCTTAGCGGTATAACACAGTTACACACAGTCTGCATTTTGTGATGAAGACCGGTCGATAATTGTATGGCATGAAAATAAGACATCGATTGAAACAATAATGATATTTTCCAACAATCAGCAAGATGAGAATATTTGATTAATCATTTTAAAATGAGAAGTTTCTGTGCTTCAATTAAACTCACAAATTTTGGAGCTTGTTTTGATCCTCTTGGTTCAATTTGCAACGAACCATCATAAAGAATGTCATTGACCTCTTTCTCAGACATGTCACACATCGGATTCAAATCTTCGAAAAAGGCCTTCGAAAAATAAAACAAATGTATTTGCATAATGTATCGAGAAGTAAATGTGACACTCGTTCTCATATCTCAGACGTTTCAAATCGTTAAAAACTCTTAACTTGCAGTTCTTAAATGAGGTACTCTCTACCAGCAGTTCTCAAACGAGGCATGCAGAGAGGGTAAGTGAGGTGCCCACCAATTTGGCATTTTGAATTGAGATTAACATGGTAAATAAACAAGACCAGATGAATAATAAATAGATAACAAGATAAATAAGCTCTTTTCAATGATTTGGCCATCTATAAAGTGCACCTAAGAGGAGCCTTATAATGTATTGGTTTTGTATTGTTGAACTGGTGTGCAAAGAAAAGGATTTACCCGAATAGTTAGTTCTGTTTGTAGATTGTAAGGTTGATTCTGATACTGTTGAATCTCGCCTGTTATATCAGCAACCATTCGTCTGTAAAAAGTTATACATTATCAAGCAAGCAAAGAAATAAAGGTTTGCTGTACAAATGATGAAATTCTGAACTGCTTTTAAGTAAAATGCGACTTCCATACAATTTCCTACAAGCTCATCATAGATAAAACGCGCGTATACTGACAAGTTCACTTAGATGTATTACTGCAATTTCAATCCACAACGATACTCCTTAAACATTAAAGCCTGATAACTTGTAAAGGAAGTGTGCTGATAAAGTTGGTGATACATGCTAACCAACCAGCGATTAGACACGCCGTATCCAGGAATGTAGTCTGATTAAGTTGTCTAGTTAAGGTTGGAGAAGAAATAACTGGAGAACAAAATACCAAGGCGAAATCGCTCAAAAACCATGCAAATGAGGAAATTTTTATCTAAAGTAAGAAACAAATATTTCGAACAAACTGTAACGAAATTACCTTTTGGTAAAGTTTATAATTCCCTCTTCTCGGTTTGGTATAAAATCTGAATTCCCTTCCTCTATCTTCAGTATGTTTGTCAAATACATACCTGTATTAAAATGGATCATCAAAGTAACTCTTTAAACCAGATAACAGCCATGGGTTGTTTTAAGAATAGTTGGAAAAGGAGAAATTCAAATTGAATACGAGGTAAATTAACTAAACCCCCAAAACAATACATTTAACAAGCAAGAAGTGCTCTGTCGGCATTGGGATGACCATATATGGTCAACCCTCATTCGAGTATTGTCAGGGTCGTGCATTTTATAACAAGCAAGAAGTGCTCTGTCGGCATTGGGATGACCATATATGGTCAACCCTCATTCGAGTATTGTCAGGGTCGTGCATTTTATAACAAGCAAGAAGTGCTCTGTCGGCATTGGGATGACCATATATGGTCAACCCTCATTCGAGTATTGTCAGGGTCGTGCATTTTATAACAAGCAAGAAGTGCTCTGTCGGCATTGGGATGACCATATATGGTCAACCCTCATTCGAGTATTGTCAGGGTCGTGCATTTTATAACAAGCAAGAAGTGCTCTGTCGGCATTGGGATGACCATATATGGTCAACCCTCATTCGAGTATTGTCAGGGTCGTGCATTTTATAACAAGCAAGAAGTGCTCTGTCGGCATTGGGATGACCATATATGGTCAACCCTCATTCGAGTATTGTCAGGGTCGTGCATTTTATAACAAGCAAGAAGTGCTCTGTCGGCATTGGGATGACCATATATGGTCAACCCTCATTTGAGTATTGTCAGGGTCATGCATTTTATAACAAGCAAGAAGTGCTCTGTCGGCATCGGGATGACCATATATGGTTAACCCTCATTTGGGTATTGTCAGGGTCATGCATTTTATAACAAGCAAGAAGTGCTCTGTCGGCATCGGGATGATCATATATGGTCAACCCTCATTTGAGTATTGTCAGGGTCATGCATTTTATAACAAGCAAGAAGTGCTCTGTCGGCATTGGGATGACCATATATGGTCAACCCTCATTTGAGTATTGTCAGGGTCATACATTTTATAATACTGATTCTTGCATCATATATTTGTACATTTATGCTCAGTAAAAAACTTACTTTTTTGATGATACAACTTATAATTTGCATATATGATGAACTACTGATAGAAAACATAATATGCAAATTATTAATATCATTCTTTTATATTTCGAGAAGTAAGTTAAGTTAATCAGTTTATTTTCTTTTTGGCCTAGTTGAAAAGTTTAACTTGAATAACTGCAAAGAGTACAAATACTTGCCTAAGAATGGAACACAAGGAGGATTTATTGACCTGAGCTTCTCAACATATCGCTTACTGTGGGTGTCAGCCAACTCTTTCGCTTCTTCAAGTGCTTGCAATCTCTTGGGAGGAACTTCCTAAAATAAACAGGTTCCACCGGTTTGCTTTAAAAGTATTTTAATAATGCAGTTTTAATAATGCAGTTTTAATAATGCTGTTTACTAACAAAATAAAGCAATGGAGCGCTTGAATGTAACGAATTATCAATTTCACATATCTCTGTGATTACCGACGCCTAGATAAAGTTGTTATGGTTTGGTAAATATTAGGTCAGAAATTGTACGGGAAATGGTCAGGTGCCCGAAATTTTTTACAGACAGTCCTAACGATTTGTTAGCTTTATTTTTTTGGACGCTTAGCTAAATTTGTTAGAAGGTTTTTGACAAAATTTTGTTACAACGCTAACTCTAACTCGAAGCATTCATTAAATATAAGGTGAATAGGCATTTGAATACCGAGAAGAAGCTTTCAGCTTGATTTTCAATCTAAATGAGAAAGCTGATGGTACTCTCAAAATGTTTCATAGAAGACAGTTACTGACTTACAGCAAACGTTATGTAACGCTTACAAAAGCTATGTAATGCTTACAGCGAACGTTAGATGCAGCCGGTGAACAGGTGCTGAGTTGAGAGCACTAACCACCTCCATCATGCCGTTGAAATTGTTCAAGTCTTGAAAAACCTGCAAAAGAGACAGGTAATCCTAACTTTAAGATGTTCCGACTAGCGAGAAACGGAGAAATATAAGCATTCGCCGTTAAACAAAATATGACAAAAACCTGCCTTCATAAATGGCTGCATTTATCCAGTAACATATACTCCCAAACGGCAATGCAAAAGACGGCTAAAGTTCAGGTATAAATCCGTGCTTAGAATTAAACGCCACTTCTAAAAATGCCACTTCTTTAATTCAACTTCTAAAATGCCTTTTTTTAATTCAACTTCTAAAATGCCACTTCTGAAACGCCACTTCTAAAAGGCCACTTTCTGAAATGCAACGCGCCAGTTCTAAAGCGCTGATGCAATTTTCAAGACTCATTTTCAAAGACGGTATTCATAACTTACCAACAAAATCTCTATAATTCTTGTTACAACAGACACTCTTTCTTCAAAGTTTTTGGTATCAATTATACTCTTTTCAAACCAGTAGGTGATTTTGTTCGAAAAACGGATCATTTTTAGAGCATTCGGAGATAAGATTTCTTTGTCCTTTTTCGTCCAAGCAACACCAACAAGTTCAGCAGCTTTGATTGATCTATAATAGAAATTTAGATCGGTGACATCTAGCTAAAAATGGCAAGTTAGCTTGGCTGGTTGGTTGGTATAGCAAAATGGCAAGAGAGAGGCTAGTTTAGACTTTGAAACTATTCATTTCATGCAATCATAAAAAAGAAGGAAAATAAAGCAAAAACGATTCGGTGAACAAAAAATTTTTAGATTCTTCCTAAAAAACAAGCTAATGGCGTTTTCACTGTACAATAAAAATTTCAGCTCTGAAGTGATGTTCCTAAGAAACCAGTGTTTGTGCAAAAGAATTTCTACCTGAACATGTCGGATTCGATGAGCGTCAATTGTCGTCCGATTTCCAGCGGATGTAACTGTGAATATAAAATTTGAAATTAATTTTTAACTATTTCAGTTTGAAACAATGATACAAGTGATATGAGAAAAGTAAAGTTTTGATGCATTCACAGTTTATTCTATGTTCAAATAATCTTTGTCCTAAACAGGAAAGTAAAAAACCGACTTTCAAGGTCTTAACTGACCACTTCAGGATATAAAAAAACAGGGGTCTCAAGGAATGTAAGGAAATCAGGCAAGTGTCGTTCCCAAATACCTCCAAGAGAATTTCTTACTTACTGTCAAAATGTCGAATTTTTCAGGATCGGTCGTGAGATGCCATTCGAGCGGAGGGGTTGGACTCGAAAAGCTGTGTTCTGGACTAAATGTCGTGGCCTCTTTCTACAAGCGAAGTGAAATAAAAATGTAGTGTTAAGGCCAACATTTTTCAGTCACAAAATCTTTGCTTTGTTTATCTGAGATTTAAGATAGAAATCTTCTGATCATCACTTAAGCTTGACATATTTTATTCAATGAACAGAAGTTTAAAATATTATTTTTCTAAAAAACACACGATGTACACAGGCATTTTCATACCCTTCTATGGATAATTTTGTCAATCGATTCGACCCATTTCTTCGCAGCCTTCGATCTTCGAATTCGACTGAAAAAATCTTCAAGTTTTTCAAGTAGACCCTCTTCCCGCTCAAAGTCGTAGAAATGCTGGTCCACCCATTGCCGGATGACATTCAAGACCCTTGACGTAAAAGAAAATTTTTACAGCATTCAAATTCTCAAAATGCATGATCGGTAACATTGATTTACAGCATTAATAGCATTATAAATCATGCGAAAAGAAGCAAACATTGTTCTAAAAGAGAGCCTGATGCTAAACTAATAGAAAAAAGCAGATAGTTTACGCGTCTATCAACAAATTCTGGTTGTCAAAAGTCTAATTCTGAAGCAATACTAGACGTTGATGGGAGCTTGCTGGTTTGTCAAAACACAGAAATCTTCCTTTTATTAATAGAACTCTATCAAGTTTGCAACTGAACCTGCGTGCAAACAAGTAAAATTAAGAGCTACAAAGTAGCACATTGTACCTGAGCTGGACTGGCTGTACATATTCCTTTCTAAATCTCTTTAAATCTTCTCTTACAACAGCATGGCCTCTTTGCGACACCATTTGCTCTTTTTCCGTCAATAATGGCTCGGGAATTTCATACGTACGGGTATGTCAAGGTACAAAGCATGCATTGGTCACGAAAAGAGTTAGGTAAATCCGGTTAGTCAATAACCTATTTAAAGGCATCGATGGAGAACCAACAGAGATATAGGTGGCTTTTAGAAGACAAATGCAAGTTAATTAAGCTAAAGGGGGAAACGAAACATGTTAATGCAAGTTAATTAAGCAAAAGGGGAAAACTAAACATGTTAATGCAAGTTAATTAAGCAAAAAGGGGAAATGAAACATGTGACGCTAAACATCCGGTCAATGCCAGTATATGGATTAAGCTATTACTAGAATGTGTCAATAGAGCTTGCATAAATGACTTATGGAAAATTCGTAATAAAGAAATATAATCGTTTCATTCAGATTCGTTAAATGATTCTGGACGTTGAATGATTCTTAGTAATATTTTCATGGAAAACTATAACTATTTGCAAACGAAAAGATATCTTTTCACCAGAAAATCAAGAAATTCCATCGGCGTGCAGAAAGATCGATAAGTGGTTAAAAATATTCTCACAAAAGTGGGATCTAGAAGCGAAAAGAGTAAATAAGATATCAGGTAACGTATGAAATTCTATAAAAAGCAATCAGAAATTTGCTAGTACTTTCAAACAATAGATTCAAACAATAGATTCAAACAATAGATTCAAACAATAGATTCAAACAATAGATTCAAACAATGAATTCAAAGCTCTTTACCCAAAAAATCTTTCAGATTTAGGTGAAGGAATTTGCCGAAAAAAAACTGCGCTTCTTTTCGGTTTTAGATAGAAATCAAGCACACTCAAACGTACTGAACGCTTTGAAACTGAATAGAACAACTGCTTGTACTTTTCATTGTGCAGAAATGTTGAAAAATACCTGCATATTTATGGTACGTCAATCTCTCGATCAGCTTCAGTAATGTCCCACCTTTGAGCACAGGGACAGCTCGATCCTAAAGCAAAAATATTATTGATATGTGGAGCAAAGCAACAACCGAGGTAAACAGAATCATTAACAAAAACATTCTCACATTTTAACAAAAACATAGTCGGTACGAGGTGTCCTTGTCCTGGTTTAGTAAATATTGAAACCTATAATGAAAGCAGTAAGAGAAAAATCAGTCTCCAAACATTTCTATAATCGCCTAGCTGAACGGAACAGTTCGCATATAAAAACCTAAAGTTGGACAACCATTGGTCTTTATGCAGATCTAGCATGGTAGCTTGACAAGATCTAAGACACCTAAACAAACATTTAGGTTGCTGCGACCAATATTCGTCAGAAAGAATAAAAACTTTGCAAACAGTGAAAACAGGTTATGTAAACAACGCGTACATATTCCAAATTTTGCAAACCAGCAATCAAACCAGTCTTTCGAGAAATTCTGATTCATTATAGTTAAATGTATACAAATTGTGATAATACGCCATGTTAAAATAGGTATTACGAGGATTATGTTTTCCCTTACTTCCTGTCCTTCTTCAAATACTATATTTCCATCCGAATCTTCAACGGCAAAACTGGAAGCGAAAAAGACCAGGTTATGATTTGCATTATCTATTTAAACAATGCATAGCAAGATATGACAAGTAAGGCTGAAGTTCTGTGAAACCTTTGTCTTCTCGATTGCCCAGATCAAAATGGTTGCTACTCTATATCAGGTTGCACGAAGGAAATTCATTATTATGCTGAAAAATCTGCACCTATGGATTGCCAGAAACACGATGCAAGCTACCACTGGAAGTTTAAAAATATTCAAGAAAGCCACAATAAACTCACCAATATTGGTCTGGAATTTTCCATTGATTTTGTGAAAGTTGCCCCTCACTAACCAAGATTGCATCAAGCATACGATCCAATGTGCTAGCGGGCGAAGAAAAGAATCTTATAGACTTGACGTAAGCCCACATCAAAATAAGGAGTTCAACTCAGGTTTTTTGCTAAAAATTCTTTGTCACTGTAACTGAGAAATCAGGTATAACTGCATCTACAAATAAAAAAGATCTTGAATTTTTCGCCTCAGTTTTCTTTGTTTTGTTACATACAATAACAACAGGCCTTGAATTAATTCAATGAAATTTTCAAACAACTTGTGATCTTACAACAGGTGTTGTAAGTAGATAACAGATCTTTCAGCAAACAGGCTGTCAGGTTATGAGTCAACAAATGCCCTTGAGCCGCAGTTTCAGATCTTTCCAATCTTAATTAGCCAACAAGATTTCAGCATGAAAAAGCAGGAAAAGGGAAACAGATTTCAACATAGGCCAATTTCTTAGGTTATACTTTGCATGCACGAAATACCTTCTGTACAGCAAGGTTAGCAAAATTGCCATCCACTCATTCTTTTCTTCTCCTGTCTTGCAAAACATTACACAAGGAGGCTGCTCCTTTGGTAAGATCTCAAATGCATTGGTATACTCTAAAAGGATGGAAAAATAATGTTGGATGTATAATAATATCTAAATTCATTACGATCAGCATTAGAATCAAATTGATATAATTTGGCACACCCTTAGTGTGACATGTTCGCTCAGTTTTAAATTCGGGCACCTGTCTGCCACAATCGGTGATATATCACCTCCATCGTTCTGTCTAAACGTAGCCGGTGTGTAGCTATATCACTAGAAAATCTCCGCAAAGAAACTTTTTGAAATTTTATTTCTCTATCACATTTTAGCTGTATTCTATCTAGAAATACTTAAAAAAAGAAAACAGATTACTATCCAAAAAGGAAACAGATTAAATGGTCTACCATAGTGACACAAACGTTTGTTTATCTTTGGCAGCCAAAAAGCTTTGAAGTTCATGAAAAAGGAGCTGATATCAAGAAACTAGCTGACGAATAGATTTATAGCCTTGACTATAAACTGTGGCATAAGGAGAGGAGAAAATATATTGAACTCGACTATCCGTAATATTACACCGAGCTAGAGAACATATCGGAAACAATGATAACATTTTTTGTCCAATTAACACCTCAAATTTCGCTCTCAAACCCTTTTCACTCTTAATTTTCGCTCAGATTAAATTCCGCGGACATCGGTCCTGTGCCAATTCCGATACCACGTGATTTAAAATAGAAGTAAGGCACACTAAGTACCCAGTCGAGAAAATACAACCACTCCAAGGTTTAAAGCCTTAATTATCTACTTATACGATATTTTAAATAAAACATTCTTCCAATAGCAAAAAATAATTGTTTCTATAAACATGCACAGTAGCTCGATCTAGACTTACTCAGAAACAATGCTTGGTTTATTAAATAAAAATTCAAGTGTGAAGAGCATCCAGACGCAAAATTGTTATTGCCTGGGTTAGGAAATCTCCAGCGAGAGATCAGATCGAGGTAAGTCCAGGGGGGTCTAACACGAACTAGAACAAACTAAATTTGCGTCTTTATAGATACAAAATGCTTCGGTGTACATAATAGGACGGTTCCAAGTTGCAGCTTCGAGTGTCGCCCTTGATGAGATCATCGGGCAACTGTATATAGTATTTTTTTATTATAAGCTGCCCTTGTTTATATGCTTCCCTCAATTTAATACAATTTAAAACCATGCAGATACACGTAGATTGAAAGTATGAATGCAAAAATTGATAGCAATGTTCAAAAGCTACTTAAGTATAAAAATAGACATAGGAACTTCAACCAACAACATTATTCAGCATGGAATAATCAATGTCGCCCAAAAGCAATCCTTCCTTATCTTTTGCACTATCACCCTCAGCTTCACAGTCGCAAGAACGTTTGTTATATGGATATGGATAAGCAGCCCTCATTTAAAAACCACCCTCATTTATAAGCCACCGTAATTTACAAGCCCCCCCCCCTCATTTATAAGGCACCCTCGTTTACAAGCCATGTTCATTTATAAGCCACCCTACTCTTCAGCAAAACTAGGTTACTTCATTAAAAAGCTAAAGGTTACCTTACCGTCAGAGTCTTCTAAGTCTTTTATCTCAACTTTCCTAAGAAAAAACTTCTCCTTCAGCCTGTATTCAGCTCCCGTTAAGCCAGGCAGAGAATGCCTTGCGTTCTGTAAAAGAACAAAAATAATAACTGTAAAACTATCATTACAATTTACTAATTATGCAAACTTTCAACTGTGCGTCACGCGAACAATTTTACATCCGATTCAAAATATGGTACAATGCTGCTTCTTCTAGTTATCAATTGCAATAAACTATTCTTTATAACGTGATTCAAAAATTTTAACCAAATCAGAGAAAGAATTTCATTGCAAGTGAATTCAAGAAATCATTTGTAGATCTTACCTGCTTTGTCAAAACTAAAAGACTATCAAACAGAAACATAAAGCGGTCGGTAGCACCCTATCAAAGAAGAAACAAAATGGCTCAAATTAATGAATTTGAACTTCAAAAAAGTATCTTCTTTGTAAGCGGGCATGAATCGGTAGAGTGAAATGACAGGCGATCCAAAGGGTGCTCATTTCAAAGAGAACGGTTTGTAGTATAACTATTTTCATGTACGAACAACAACAACAAAGAAAATCTTTTGTTCTTTCAGGTCCTGCAGGATTTCGAGGAACTCAGTATTTCACTGGCATTGGCTACTGCATCTTGGTTGTTTACCAAACAGGAATGAAAAGGATGCAGCCAAAACAAGAACATCAAATGGGACTAACGTAAAAGCAAACATTTTTAGAAACGCTAAAGCTTTTTAGATCCATAATGAATCTATAGGCCTAGCTGAAACACAAGCACATGGCAGTTATCGTCAAAGCTTACCGATATATTAAATATCCTTACACGTATGGAGCCAGTGGCGCCCCTTTAAATCAAAGCTTGTAAAGAAGGTGAAGTCAAGGGGGGCTGCAGGTCTTTGCAGGGGCGGCTTTCAAGTGGGCGAAAGGAGCATAAGTCATTTTGGTTGAAAATGATAAATAAATCATCAAAAATTAAATGTACATAACTACGATTTTTAACTTTCGACAACGGCGCCTTGGCTAGTTTCAATTTATGCTATTTCCTTTTCATGTAACACATAATATTAATTTTCTGGTGATACAAATACCTTTTTGCCACCTGGAACTATCTTCCAGAGCGGACCCTCTGAAATAAATCATATAAGACAGATTTTTAAACATTCTTGAACCAAGCAAAGTCAGTGAATATGATAATTATCTTATTTTCGATCTGAGTCAAGATAATAAAAACAAATGAGCACGTTCAAACTAAAAGGCTGTTTTCAACACAAACCTTTCCTCTACTGGTCAAGATAATCAAAATTATTTCTGTAGCAATATTTTCTCACAACAAAACTGGTAAAACTTTGGCACATATGCTAACGTACTTGCCATACCTTACAAAACAGTGACAAATAATTGTGGAATTTAGAAGAACAGCTTGTTCTTATTGCTTCGAACACCTTAACCTGCTCTGGAAGCCATCATACAGGAAAATCAAAAGCTATCAAGTTCTTTTATATTCTTTTAAAGTACCTTTTAGCAAAGAAAATTTGAAAAGGTTTTAAACGCATTGATTCACAGCTTCGAGCCAAGAAACATGAATCTTCTTCGATAGGCAATATGGAAAATACTTTATGTTGCTTTTAGTGTCAATCTACTTTAAGAAGAAATGAATACTTGATCTGATAATATGCAAATTACCTTTCAGGAATTCTGATGTACATTGACAAATGTCCTTTCCCTAAGAAATACAGAAAGAAAAACTAACTTATAACACATTTAATTTTGTTCATTTTACGAGTGTGCCTGTCTCGATGAGCTTAGTTAAAAGCTAAAACTTCACTGAATGTAAATTGCAATACCTCCCAGCCATCGATGTTCTTCTGAATTTCATTAAGTTTAGAAGTTGGCGAGGTCGACATTCCTCCGATCCGTCTTTGATAAAAAATCCGGTCTCTATGAATGACAGAGAAATAGAAAACAATAAGTCTTCGAAATGGCATGTAAGCAAGTACTGACTATATCCAAATGCAGTTCGCCGAAATAGATCTGCAAGTCGTTAAAAAAGAAAGGTTTTTACCAACTTGTCACAAATCATGATATTTGGTATACTTGAATACTTGAATTGTAACTAAAATGAATATATCTCCACAACAAAACTTGTTTGTAGAAATCAAATTCGAAGGTGCATGTATCATTGGCTCGAATATCGTTATGAACAAATTTGATGACATCATTGCGATGGTGAAATATCAAATCAAAAATATTTTGTAGTAACAGGATAGAGAATCCAAAACGCAACAGATAAATGAATTGAAACCTACTCAGCTTTGGTTTTGAAGGAATTTCCTGATCCAATTCTTTCTAATGATACCTGAAGACCACGCAAGGCTCCAAGAGACTAAAATTTGAATGGGAAGCTTGCTTTCACTTCTATTTTCAAAATATTGCACGCTAGCTAATAAGATTATACTCAGGTAATTTTCAACCAACTTTGCAGCCCTGTGTTGTCTTAACGTAACGGGAAGGCGGGGATGCGAAAAAAAATGGCTGAGTTACAAACTCTGCAAGAACGAGAAAACAAGACTTGATGTTTTACCTCTACCGGCATGGATACCAACAAAATGTTATAACTATTCATTTACTGCCCCTTTACATTTAATTTAGACATTTCTATTGTCGCAACAACGGTCTTATCGTGCACATTAGATAGGGTAATACGTAGGCATATCGGACGATTCTTTCAATAAACAACCCTTTAAAAAAATTAGAAATACGATACAGTGCGTTGCTTGTTGATTCATGAACGATAACGTTTTAATATTTTTAAATGCTGGTATCTCATTGCTTTCTTAAAGGAATCAATGTAATTTAATTTGGAGCCAATTTTGCTACATAATCTTGACAATTTTAGATGATAGCTTTCTGAACATGCTTGCAAAATATTTCTATTTTATGGGAGATTAAAACCCCTTAACCCAACATTCAAATTTGGGGGGGGGGGAAGTGTCACCGGGTTCTGTGACTTGAAAGACGACAACGATGGCTTTTTGATAGGCCGTTGCAATGGACAAACCATGCCGGAACTTTCTGCAGAACAAAACATTAGTCAAACCAATTAAAAACTATGCAAACAACTTTTCAAAAGTTCACAAATGCAATCTTTTTAAGTTAGAGATAAACCATTTTTGTCTTGCCTGCTTATGAGGGCTGACAGATTGATCTGCTACAACATTTAAGAGGGAGAACTGTCCTATCTCAGATTCCTTGAGACAAGACCACACGAAAAACAGCTGGTTAAAAAGTGAAAAATTCACTGTAATTGACAAAGTGAAACTTTGTTTGCATAGATCATAAGATTTAAAAAGTGTTGGTGTTCAGTAGAAAGCAGAACATTTCCTCGAAGAAGTCCGAAAATATCAAAATGCAAAAATATTGAGCATGCAATTAAAGCTGTCAAAATTGCATCTACGTTATTCAAGTTCATGCTGTTAAGATAATTCTTAACGAGTAAAATAATTTTCAAATGTTTCAAAATGTGACTATAGGGGCGAAGAGTTTTCATTAACTGAATTACACTTGTGGGTTGTGGGTGTAACGTCTGGGTGTGTAACGTCTGGGTGTGTAACGTCATGGTATATGACGTCTTGGTGTATGATTTCATGGTGTATGACGTCATGGTGTATAACGTCATGGTGTATAACGTCTTGGTGTATGACGTCATGGTGTATAACGTCTTGGTGTATGACGTCATGGTGTATAACGTCTTGGTGTATGACGTCATGGTGTATAACGTCTTGGTGTATGACGTCATGGTGTATAACGTCTTGGTGTATGACGTCATGGTGTATAACGTCTTGGTGTATGACGTCATGGTGTATAACGTCTTGGTGTATGACGTCATGGTGTATAACGTCTTGGTGTATGACGTCATGGTGTATAACGTCTTGGTGTATGACGTCATGGTGTATAACGTCTTGGTGTATGACGTCATGGTATATAACGTCTTGGTGTATGACGTCATGGTGTATAACGTCTTGGTGTATGACGTCATGGTGTATAACGTCTTGGTGTATAACTTTAGGCAATTATAAGCTGGGCGGCAAGACAGTGTAATGAGCTAAATTTATAACAAAACAAACCTCATCTAGCTTCTCTCTGTCTTCTTCATTCGGAGATGTGTTCATTAATAACTAGATGAAGATCGAAAATAATATATTTCTAGGATGTCTAGGACAAAAATAATGTTCGATAGAATAATTCACAAAACAAAATGCAATTAAAAATGGTTAGGAAGGAAATAGCATTTGTTGCTTGCATTTAATAGCATTTAATACTTTTGATCGAACTGCACCAATCACTTGGCATGATTTACTAACAAAATCGGGATATTTAAGTTAGGAATCAAGCAGATTTTTCACTTCTACATTACATTATAAATAAACAAACTAACCTACAATAGTAAAATGTTGTAAATTTTCTTTAAAACATCAATGATGAAAATTCAGTACCAGTATGGGCAAGATAAAACTGCTTAAAACTAACTAATTTAAGTAACTAAAAATGGCCACTGTAATGATGTACGTCTTTCATTGAACGAGTCTTTTTCATACAATTAAACATATACGTCGCGTGTGGTACTTCATCCAAAATAACGATGATATGGTTAGCAAATAAATTGAGTACCAGAATGAAATAAAATAGTTGGATTGTTCTAATACGATGTTTCGAGCATCTACTCGTTTTTTTTTACGTTTCAGTTCGACGGTATTTGTAACAAGAGAACAGAGAGGACTTTGGTTTGCAAAGAATTCCTGGGAACTTAAGCTAATCATTGAATGTCTCTTTTTCTTGATGCGCCTATTAAGACCTACACACTTGCAAGAAATGTTTTGAAAAAATTATTTCTCTCTAAAAATAACTCTCAAAAATATATACTAACGTTCATGTATTCAAAATACTCCAAGCAATGAAAAACAGGTATGTACAGAAACTTGGGCAAAATGTACTGAAAGTATGACTTCATTGAAGGCTGCAAAAGATTTTAATTAATAAGAATAAGAAAAATCAATTTGAAATATCTAAGTGTCAGTTTAGAACAATCTAGCACAGGGTTCAACGACTAGACTAAAATTGTAACGAAAAATTGAGTCTGGAAAAGACATTCAAGATTGGCAAAGAAGAAAATGAACAAAAAACATCTTTGTCTATTGCCAACGAAGAAAATGGTAGATTAAAAATACTATTTCCAAATGAAATAACTGTAGCATTTAACAAACATGAAGGTTACCAGCCCTTTGGAGTGATGCAGGTGCTTGGAAAGCAGCATTGACCAATCATTAGGCTCGAATAAAAACAAATTTAAACACACCTCTAAAGTTTCCCTGACATTCGCCCGTTTCAGTATCTCTTGTATTTTCATGAAAAGATGCTTAGAAAACCCATGGCCATTGGTCGAAATTCCGAGTGCATAATACTCGTAAATATCAAATTCAGCGGCCTAAAAGCGAAAACAGAGACACAATTTAAAAACAGCATTTTTAAAAAAAACAAGTATATTTTTAGAACAGAAAAGATCGAAAACGTTTTTTATTATTCAGAAATTTTAAACTCTAGAAGAGCGTGATACGAAAACTTTGCTTTCTGTGCCTTAAATTTTTTGTTTTTCAGAGACAGTTTTAAAAAAGATAAAAAATAGGCCATGAGGCCTAAAACAGACGCATAACATTTATCAATACGTGTTCCACTTTTCCAGTGACAAAAAACGTTGATTGACTGGCACCGTCTCCTACAGGCATTCATTGGTGAAAGGTTATTACGCAGCCAATGTGATAACATCTATAACGTTTTGCTCATTGTTTTGCAGGCTGCCTATAACCAACTTTTATAAGTTTGTGCGTTCAAATTAGCATGATATCTATTAGAGATTAATAGCAAATATGGCTTACTTCTGCCATTTCTTCAAAGCAATCGCCAACAAGAGGACTCTTCTTGGAAAGTGAGTCCTCATCCGCCATTTCAACGGCAGCTTCCAGCATACTGTAGAATCCTATTGTTGTTTCGTAAATATCCTTAATGTTGCTGAATATGCCTATCAAGTCCTGAAGATACAGAAATTGAACTGTCAGTCACATTCGGTTGGCAATAAAAATGGGCTTCATACTGGTAAATTGAAATTAATCCCACAGTCTTGTGCAAAATATTCAGATTGGAATATTCCAATCTCGGTGTCAATAAATCGCAGAATTAATACATAAACAAGTTAGAAGATTGTTCAGATTTTAATAGATCAGTTACATATATTATAAATATATATTCATTTTCTTATGGCAAATAATATGATGTACGAGTGTGAGTGAAAAAGAATTCGTTTGCTTGAGTGAAAAAGAATGCAGACCTCTTCAGATATTTCGTCAACAGCTACCAACTGCTGCATAAAGACCTGACAAAAAGAAAATTCATTCATCGTCCAAAACAGATTTCAGGGATGAATTACAGAACTAAGCCAAAATACTCCAGGCCTCTCAATGTGGAAAACTGCACTTATTTCTATGAAATTCTGCTAATCAAGGGACTGAGTATGACCCATTTAGCCTGGAAAGAGACTGAATTTTGCCTATTTGATTCGACAAAGCATCAAAATGTTTCTCTAAAGCACAATGAAAACAAAGAAACCTATTTTTAAGCAGTAAAGATAAAGGCAAAACGACTTTAATGCTGAAATAGTAGATGACAAATTTCCAATCTTATTTAAAACCTCTATATCTCAATTACAATAATTTTCTTATAAGCAAAAAACTCCATATTTTTAATGTATATAAATTAAAATGCACGTTCAAATAAATTTGAAAATATCAGGACTGAAAATAAGTATTCCAAGGTTATGTATGAAGCTCTTTGATGTATAATTTAAAAGAATGAAACAAATTTTAAGTGGAATCTTGTTGATGGCGATGAGAAAAATCACAAAAAACCTTGATCAGAAGGTTTAGCTCTCTAATGTACTGATCTTCTGAAATAAGAAAGTCCTTGAGAATGTCTTCATATGAAAGTGAGCCACGTTTTGCTAAAGGCTGAAATAATAAAATACCAGATATTCGAGTTAAATGAAACAGATAAAATTCAAAAAGTGTAGAAAGATCATCTGGATAAAACAAATAACTGAAGTAATTGACAGAAAGTAAAGAAGAATGATGTCCTGGCCCCACTTCTTGATGTGACCACAACTCTAAATTCCAACACATGGATATACCAAAAGCTAGTGACTACCTTCACCGTGAAGTGACATTAATGCCAATGACTCTTACCAAAGACCCTTGGACCTGTAGTCTGCAATGCTTACCACTGAACTACCCTAGCTTTAATTCTAAACCCATTTTAACCAAATGATGCTAATTTGTGGTCATAATTGTAGCTTTTCTGCATACTTAAGACAACTTTCCTATTGAAAGGATTGAGCACCAAAACTAAATGAAGCAACATACCTCAAACCTGGCCTCAATCAGTGGTTCAGATTCATCACCATGGAACATCTCTAGCAGAACCTGTTAAAAAGAACAAGCAAACAATTCAATTTCATTATGCAAAACAACAACTTTGTTTTTAACTTCTACTTACTTTTTTTACATCATTAATATTAAAGTTTTTCTTCAAAAACCAAAGTAAATATCTTACATATCTATATACCTCTTTTCTTCAACTATACACTTAGCCTTCCCATTCAGTTGACAACACTTTTCAAAATCACATTAAATTTGTTAATAAAAAGTTTTGTTGCACAGATTCAAATGAGATATACTCAGTGCAGTTTCTATACTAGTTTTATTATATTGAATTTAGAAAAAATTCAAAACGATTGAACGATAGGAAAGGAAAAGGATTCTAAATAAAATTCCATACTTCTATCTAGCTTAGCAAATACTGACTAACATGTAAACCTCTTAGAAGATTCTCCAGAACAATCTGGGAAGTACAGTAAATAGCAGTGAGCAAAACCTTCGATATAAAACAGATGTCGATATAAAACATGACTGACCTTGTCTGCTTGCATAGCAACTTTGATATCTTGACAGGTTATCTCAGTATTTCTAATATTCTTGACATAGTTCCCTGCAAGCTAGGAAAAATATAATTTATGGAAGAAGCTTTCGTGCAAAGGCATTTTTATAATCATAAACCTTAACCATGATTTTGCTGGACAACTATAAACCTTAACAATAATGCTGGTGTTTAATAGGGATACTCTTTATTCATATTTGAAGAAAAGAAAATTAAACCAGGGGTGGCTAGGAGAGATTTTAAACTGCTATTAGAGAAAATCAGGGTATCAGGGCATGGCTGTCGCTGTTTTGTACTTCCAACCACACCCTCTTCAATGGTTGTTTTCAATATTGCACTGTTTTTTTCTATGCTCTATCTCATTGTTACATCTTGATTTTCTTGGCCGCAAGTCGAAAACACCTTGCCATTTTCTATTGTAACGCTCTCTTTCTCATAGTCATAAAGAGAAAAGCAAAAAATCAGGGGGGGGGGGCTATGGCCATGGTTGGAGGTTATTTGATCTCCAGAGCAAAATGGCCCATTTACAGACTTATCAGACCTTTAATTTTGATTTTGATACTAATCCTAAAAAGATTGTAAAGTTGCAGCATGTTTCTTAGTTCTAAATAAAATTCAGAGGCATTCTTTCAAATTTCTACTAAAACAACCTTCATTGGAATACATCTACAGTTCTGAGTCATGTCTACACATTCAGTCTTTCAATTACGACTGTAGGCTTTGGCTTCGATGGCCTGCGGCACGCAGATGAATATCATCAGCTTACAATGAAAAGGCCCTCTGTCCATAATCGTAGCCTATTTTTTGTTGCTATTAACGGCCGTTTTTTAATAGCAAAATCATATCAGCAAGTATCGTACATTGAAATACTCCTTAATAAGGACAAATATTTCTGATAAATGCTCATTGTTAACATAAATAAACCAAAGCACCATATTTTTCAATTCAATTTAAGTGCAGATTCAGATTTTTGATGAAACTAAACTAACGTGTAGCTTGAGAATAAACAACATATCGCTAAGCCTAAAGAAAATAAGAGAGCGCTATCTTTCATATATTTAAACGAAGTCACTGTTATTGTGTTTATTGTTGTTGTGAAGAAAGGATTTTCTGTCAGTATGTCGTTAAAACCCCCAACGTAAACTAGAAATGGCCATATGCATGAATGGAAGAAGGATCGGGGGAATCTTGCTATTAGAAGTGACCCAGCTAATAGCAAGTCTGCATATATTGGGTCTTTTACAACAGCATGATTGGCCACTTTACGTCACACAAGGAGACACAAACAAAGGTGGATATGAAAGTTGCTATTAGGATTCACAAACCTAATAGCAAAATTCCAGGGCTGTGGCTGTAGTATTTGTTTGAGGCTGTCCGATGAAGGCGTCACAATAAGTGTCACAAGAAGCATAGGAGGGAGGTCTTCTTTTGAAAGGATCAAATCAGTATCAAGAGTAGCGGCTTCTGCTCGCTTTACCATGGCCATATCATGCCATATCATTTCAAAATGGCAGGAAAACAGTTAGATGTCCAAATAAACTGTTTTTGCCAAGGATTTCCAGTGCTAGTTTCATTTTAAAGATATATGACCAATAGATTATGAGAGCCTTTGCTGAAAAAATACCGCTCCCAGCCGCCCCTGATATAAACTAATGAGGATCTGTACTATTATTAAAAGTATTCATTATTATGTTGAAAGTTTGTTTCAAAAATTATTTTTTAAAAAACCAAAATGATGATGTTAATTGCTGAATGATTCAAAAAGATGAATAATGTTGTAGCAGAGCATAAGCAAAATATGATTAGCAGCATCAGGGTAAAATATTAGCAAAATGTTAGCAAAAAATTAATGGTGGATTTCCTTTCTCTATTTGATGAGAAACATTGTATAAAGATTTTACCTTCAGAATATCAGAGGATATATATTCCAATATAGCAACAATAAATGTTGATGTGTAGCTTTCCACCTTATAGCTGAGCACTTCCTGCAAAGGCAAAAAGCAAAAATTCAAACCAATGCATAATTACATAGAAACACTGAATAAGATAGATTTGGTTCAAGAGTTTGCAGTGTTTTATGGCATAATGTCTGTATTGTAATTGAATTGGTATATAAAAACTTGATTGGCATATTTCTAACAATCAGAAAGCTGGATAAATGCCCTCTTTGCTTTTACATTTTCGAAAGTACTTCATCCACATACGGGTATTTACTTCATTTACTTTCAATATATAAAGTAAATGAAGTACTTTCTTTCAGAACATAACATTTGCCTGTGGGTGTAGGTTTATTTTATTTTTCATCTGAAATTCATACATATAAAATAACAGCAAACATTTCAGACTAATTTTTAATGCCTGCTAAAAGTCTTCTGGTACATTAAACTAAGTTTTTGACTATTTCAAACTGCAACCTTCTCTCGCCAGCCACACAATGTTTCTTTATGCAAAGTTTAGAGGTTTGCAGGGTCAAATGGATTAATTTCAGATAGCTAGGATATTTAAAACTTTAACCAACTTTGCTTTGGAAAAGAGAGGATGCTATGTGATCCTTTTTTAAAACAGTTGTGTTAAAAAAAACACACGATCAATACGCATTCCAGAGACTTTGGGCAAGGATTTTATTTATTCAAATAAGAAGACAATATACATAAGAAAAGATAAAGTAATGAATAAGACAATACCTTGCAAAGAAATGGGTGTATTTTATCATGAGGGAGTATCAAGCCTTTCTTTCTTTTCCCTTTTGCAAAAGCAATTGCCCATTCTTTAATCTTCTGTGGGAAAGTCTTTGTTACTCTGTCTTCAACATCTTGTATTGTATGCGGAGATGATGCACTGATCAGATACATCAACTGTATAATAAGCTCTTCCAAATAGGTGACTGCATCTCCAGAAATGCTCAGGGAAGGTTGAACCTGTCTTCCAACCTTAATAAAAGTGAGTATTATAAAAGTTATGGCCCACAAGACATGTTTAAGCTAAGATATGATATTTAGCAGACACCGTTATTTCATAATAACATGCATAGACATGGTCACAGATGTCTCAAGTACCACTGCTGCCCAGGGTACCATCTTTGCTGCCAATGGTTATGCCAGTGGTCTGATACTGATTGTGGTCTGTAAAAAGTCATTGAACGGATATTTATTAAACCCTCAAGTCTATTAGGCTAAAACATATTCTAAAAACCATATTGTATTAAAAGCACAATTACTGAATTCATATTAGCTATCTAACATCATTTTAACATTAGTTTTCATTTAACATCTAACAATATTATATACTGAATTTACTATTGCTAGCTTTTTATTCTGTAGCATTCTTAAAACATTGGCAGGCTAGCTGGTATTTTTAACAGTAGCTGAAGAACTCACTTTTTTCAAAGAATTGACCAGCAAGCCCCTCCATTTAGCACAAGCGCTGAGAGCTTCATGCTGGATGTCACTTCCAGGCATTTTCCACTGTAAACTAATGCGTCGGTATGGTCATCATTTTAACAAGTTGCCGACTCAAGATGTTTATCAAGACATGTTTGCTATACCAGAGACAAGTAGAAAAATATCATCTCTATCACCTATCGGTTCTTAAAAATTTGATGAAACAGTTGCTTCTTTTTCAGTTGACAGGGATGTTAGAAATCTGCGAGTTCAAAGGTTTGATGACAGCTATAATCTACCGTCCGTCAGTGTCTTTTGTGATCGGAGGATCTTGGTTATGACCTCTTTCTCATTTCAGCAATCTATCTCTGATAATTAAACTAAACATAAACAGTCACCCATAGTTGTGGCAATTTATTCACAGTTATCGGTTCGATGCCTCGTCATTTATTTACCCTTCTTCCGTTACCTGACAGTGCCCATTTGTACAGAGCAAAACATTGCCTCCCAATCTTGCCTCTTTTTATTCCCAAATCGAGGTCGAGAAGCAGTGAAGGAGCAAAGTCCCTTAGAAACAAAATGGCACACAATAAGTAGTTGCAAATAACAGTCCCATTAGCAGAATGGAGGTAAATGAGGTTAGTATATTGAAATTATTCAAATAAGAAAAATATAAGAATTTGCATTAGAACTAAAGCGTAATATTATATAAATAATGTGCCACCTTCAATGCCAGTTGACAATGTTACTTTAATTTCAAATTGGATAATTTCAACATAAAGTAGTGAATTCAATTTTAAGAATGGAATTGATCAATAGTAACAAAACTTTAAGGCCGCTTAACAAAAAAATGAATGCAAAAATATTCTGCAATGTATTTTTAGCTAATCTAAAGGCGGTTGCAAAAATGGATGATTCTGAGCCTGAATATTCTTATAAACAATATTCTTATAAAAAGGATATATAGGCAAATATTGGGACAAGTTTCTTTCAATGGAAAAACTGCCAAAAACATTCTGGTTTCTATGTGGGACATATCACCTAAATGCATGCTATCTCATTTTTTATTTTTCTGTCAGCGGCTTCATCATTGGCAGTTACAATGAATATAAATTATTGCACCTTGAATGTTTGTCTCTAGCGCCACTCCTGAATATTTGTAGCCACCTTTGCTCCATCGTAACAATTTTTCCTGACAAGTTCTGATAAGTAAGCTGGCTTACATAAATGAAAAAACTTAAATTGCATTTAGCAATTTTGTGAATCGTTTATATCTCTTATATTCTGCCCTAGCCAGGGCTTTCAGTATGCATGAGTGTGCCTTTTGCCTTTCTAGTGATAAATATTTCTCTTGATGCTCAACTTAATTCATCTTTGGGAAAATTAGTCATGTCAGCCAGTAGGCTAGAGATTTCCAGATGCTGATAATTTTTATGAACCAATCTTTAACTTTGCTGAACTAAGTTCAACCCTGACAATATTCTAAAGTCACTGAAACATCTCTTCATCTCACAGTGCCATTGATGATAATTTGTTTGTTTTTGGAAGTTAAATGGAAAAAAATCATTGAGAGAGCTGTGGATAAATGTTGGAAACAACAGGAAACAACAAAAAAGCTAAATACAAATGAGGAGAAACGAGGAGAATCAAAAAATCTAGGCCCTCATTAAGTGAAATTCTGTCTTGTGTTTATTTCCCCCAAAGTTTCTCGGTAGAAGCATCAACTGCTTGGGTCACAAAAGATGACTAAAAATTTGTTAATTAATGCAACATTTTTTCTGAAATTACTTACTACTTTTCACAAGAGATCAAAGCTCTAGTGGTTGGGTTTGCGCAAGTGCTGAAATATCAACAAGCTTAAAAATAATCACCCTTAAAGTAAGTATCAAAACTATATGAGCAATTTCTTGCTCATGCTGCATTTGCAAACCATTCATAGTACAAGACGGCTATGTAAAATGGCAGAGAACCTACTGTACATTTATGTAACTATTTTATTAGTAATTCATTTATTACTGTTAGTGTTATTGAATTCGGTATTTGTTTATATATATATATATAATAAAATAGAATATAGAATAGAAATGAGACATGTTCTCTGTTACTCCAAGTTTCGTGCTTGCGCGTGTTTCGAGTTTCGAACTATCAAAATACATCTGGGAACTTAAAGACAAAAACAAGGATTATGTATCAATGACATCAAAGAAATAATAAACAGCCAGAAAATATTTGTATCAGCTGACAAGTCAAGAAATATATACAAACTCGAACCAGAGAACTACATGAAACTATTGAAAGAAAATGTCACCAAAGATTACAAGAAATCAGATGTAGTGAAAGTACATAAAATCAATCGCGATATCAAACAAATTGCACAAGATTTATCGATCGAAGAAAGAGTGGAATGTTTACAAAACAAAGAAGCTTATATCACCATCAAAGATCATAAAGAAAACTTCCCCACCAAGGTATCATGCAGACTTATAAACCCAACCAAATCAGACATTGGCAAAATTAGCAAAACAATATTAGATAAAATTAACAATGAGATCATCACAGCAAGTAAAGTTCACCAATGGAAAAATACAGACTCAGTTATCCAATGGTTTAACAGTATTAATAATAAAGAAGACGTAAAGTTCATCACCTTTGACATAGAATCATTTTACCCATCAATATCTGCTGAACTATTCAACAAAGCTATAGACTATGCCAAAAACCTAACAGATATTACAAACAAAGAAATTGACATTATATCGAAATCAAGGAAAACATTACTTTTCAACTCAGGAATCCCATGGGTAAAGAAGAAAGGCGACGAAGATTTTGATGTACCAATGGGTTGTTTTGACGGAGCAGAAATTTGTGAATTGGTTGGTACCTACATCTTAAACAAATTAAATTCAGTAATGGGTAACGGAAATGTTGGGCTATACAGAGATGATGGGTTAGGTATTGTAAGGAATTTATCAGGACCAAACATCGACCAAAAAAAAAAGAAAATCATCCAAATATTCAAGGAGTGTGGACTATCTATTACAATTAAGACAAATCTCAAAACAGTAGACTTTTTAGATATACGCCTGGACCTTCAAAACAATACTATTCAACCATATCGAATACCAAATAACAATCCTGTCTACATCAACAAACATTCTAATCACCCGCCGACAGTATTAAAAGAACTACCTAAAGGCATCAACAAACGGATATCAGAATTATCATCAACTGAAGAAATTTATAGAAGAGAAATGATCGTATATGAAGAAGCTCTTAGAAAAAGTGGTTTTAACGACAATTTGAAATACATCCCCAAAGATACCGAGAAAAGGAAAAATGAAGATAAAAAGAAGCGCAAACGGAAAATTATTTGGTTTAATCCACCCTACTCGAGGAATGTCAAAACCAACGTGGGCAAAATCTTCTTAAAGCTTGTAAAGAAACATTTCGCTGATGATGAAAAACTGGCTAAAATTTTTAATAAAAACACAATCAAGGTTAGTTACAGCTGCATGAAAAATATAGGTTCCATAATATCCTCACACAACAAATCTGTTTTAAACCCAAAAAGCAAGGAAGAATATGGATGTAACTGCAAAAACAAAGGCGACTGCCCATTAGGAAATGAATGTTTAACACCCAACCTCATATATGAAGCAACAGTTAGCAACGATAAAGATGATGAAAAGAAAAAATATATTGGCCTCACCGAAGGTACATTCAAACTACGATATGCTAACCATAACAAAGATTTTAAACACGAAAGATATAAAAAGAGTACCGAACTTTCAAAATATATTTGGAAATTGAAGGAACAAGGAAAGACACCAACCATTAAATGGAGAATTGTCAAGAGAATAAAAAGCACAGCTAGAAGCAACTTTTGTAAATTATGCCTGACAGAAAATTTTTATATAATTCAATCTTTAGGGGACAATAAAATACTTAATAATAGAACAGAATTTATAAGCCAATGTAGACACCAAAACAAACTTTTGATTAGCAATTTTCGATCTTAGAATGTAGTTGTTATGATTTATCACTCTGCACAATTAACTTCGTTTGATTGTGTTCGATTATTCGTTTTCACCGTTATATCTTGCTTGCCGTTAGCTTGTGTTCTTTTATACACCTGATGATTGTTTACACATGAAACTCAGAGTTGTGTCACAATAGTCTGTTTATTTTAGTCTATATATATATATATATATAGTTGATTTTTAATTAGCTTTAATATAGCTAGAATTGTATGTTATCAATGTTAAAGAAAATTAAAAAACTTTGAGTTAGGCCCTGTCCCCAAACATTCAAATATTGTTCAAGAAGTAGATTTTCAGCGATTACAGGTTGCTTTTCTTGTACATTGAAATTCTTTTATTTAAATTTAAGTTTTTTTGTATAAAAAACAATATCATTGAGTTTTCCATAATGATCTTAGACAACAGCAATGGCTTTGGAGATCAACATGACCGAACATATAGGCCACTGCCAGGGCCGTCGTGAGGCAAGCCTTGTCTAGGGGGGGTGGGGGTTCAAGGACTTCAAATTTACCTGATTAAAAATTTTTTGCCTGAAATTCTTTAGTTGCTGTCACAAACCTCTCCAATGCATTTTGTCAATCTAACTCTGTATATAACTCACAACTTTCATTTTAATTTGATAATAACAGAATTTTCCTAATATATTTGTCAAATCTCTATATCAGAACGGCAAGCGATAAAGTTACTACCTGAGGCGGCACCATGGTTGCCTCCAAAGGAGGATGAAATTTTTGAATTTGCTGCTTCTCGTTCCTTGGAAAATGCACTCTTTTAAGCACATTTCACTAAAGCAATCCTCCTTAAACCTATTGAAAAGAAATTTTTTTGCAAACAAAAATATGTTGTCAATTACTTCCAAAGCTAAGTAACAAGCAGCACTGGTTGTCAATTTAGAACCCTCTTTTCATGTCAGCGATGCCTTTTGAATGTTAAAACAATCTGGAGCTCATCACGTGGGTTATTTCTTATGAAATAAACCGAACACTATAGGCCTGCATATACTATAGGCCTGCATATACTATAGGCCTTGGTTTATTTCTAATGAAAGTGAGCCCCCCGAGGTTATAGGGTGATTCAGTTATGCTAAGAATATCTTCCATGAAACTTGGGTTTTCGTGATGAATAGTTTTGTAATTTCTGTTGCAAGTTGCTTTAAATTCCTTGTATGGATTGTAACGGTATTTTCTTTGAGCAGTAGTTGTTCAAAACAAAAATTGTTACAATAGTTATCAAGAAGGGGAATTTGCAATGCTGTGTCATGAATGTTATTAATGAGTTTATTGTTTTTCCTTCTGCAATACATCAATACCAATTCTACATGTTTCTGATTGTTGCCTAGTTGTTTCCTACTTGTTTCTTCTTGTTTCTTCTTGTTTCTTCTTGTTTCTTCTTGTTTCTTCTTGTTTCTTCTTGTTTCTTCTTGTTTCTTCTTGTTTCTTCTTGTTTCTTCTTGTTTCTTCTTGTTTCTTCTTGTTTTTTCTTGTTTCCTAGTCGTCTCTACTCATTTCCTGTTATAGTAACCACGGCTGTGGAGATACATTGAAAAGGAAAATGAAATAAACAATCAAGAGCTCCAGCAATGGTTGATTTGTCTGAGTCTGATGAAGATGGTGTAATTGAGAAACTTGGTTTTTCGGAATAAAAACTTTAACATGATAAGAAAATGTAGCATTTTTTATTTTAATAGTTTTTTTGAGCTCAGTGTTCCACATCCATTTCCAATTATTGCACATCTTGTTAATTTTGAAATTCGAAAGCCTGGTCTAATGAATAAAAATAGAATGGTTTACTCAATTTCACCAAGCCTATTTCAGGGTCAATCAATTTTAGATGAAAGCTTTAATTTTCACTTTGAGTGAAATGAAATCTCCTGGGTATATACAAGTATGTTGTTAAGCAAATGCTTGCTTGAATGTCCTTTCAGATTGTCGAATTTGTTTGCATCAGCATTGTACAATTTTTTGTGTACTTTACTTTACATGACGTGAAAATATTTGATATAGAGAAGGTTAACAGTGAAAATTATGACACAATTCATGAATTAATTGCAGACACCAGTGAAAATGAGTTTGGATCAGGGTAGCATCATCAATGGAATAGTCAGTCTACCCAAAGAAAGATCTACCTGGAGTGAATTTGCAGTGGTTGTAACACACGGTGCTGGAGGAGACATGAACATACAGCAGTTGAAGGAACTGTCGCAGGCTGTTGCACGCGCTGGGTTGGTTTGCTTGCGATTTACTTGCAAAACACCGAATTTTGGCCACAGAGTTAGGTGCTTTGCAGCAGCAGTGGTATGACATAAATAAATCGTTTTAGTCCTCATTTTTTTCCTGATGCCCTTCAAAGGGAGTCGTGCCTCATCACATGCCAACGATATATACTTTTATCTTTTCCTTGGCTGTTATTTTTCTTTGCTTTTTCTAAGAGATAATCGCTGTTACAGCCATGCATCCACACTTTTTATCCTTTTTTCTAGTAGTCAATCCATTCCTATTTATTCACAGAGGGCTATTTCATTTTCAATTATGTTGTCAATTTTTTTCTTTTAGAGACATTTAAAAACAAGTGAAGAATTCAAAGTCAAGGGTTGCATTGTTGGAGGTAGATTTTTTGTTTTTTGAATATAAATCTTCAATTTATGTTTTGCAACGTGAATATTTGCTAGCCATGCGTGCCCTAGTAATGTTTACATAAAATATTCTTTTGGCAACTAGTCGTTGATTGTTGATTTAGAAACGGGGCAGTGTTGCGAAAGTCCAGCAGAGTTTTTTGTAGGCAAGTCGACTCAAATAAAGAACAAGCCAATCCTGAGGTAATGTGTCCTTATGACAAATAGACATCGCGAATGTTCAGTATTGTCTCAACTAATAAAATCCAAAGTAACCTTGTCTAAACCATTCAATTCACAGAGCAGTTGAACTCCCGACTGCATCGCATCACCTGTTTTACTTAGACTTTTAGCGATGGTGGATGCAACTTCAATCTTAAGAATAGACACACTTCCTTTTGTGTAAGCAGAAGATCCTGTTGTTCACAACTTGGCAAGAAAAAGTTTAACCAATTATTTAACTTTGTTTAGAATTTTTGGATATTATCGAATTTGAATAGAGTTTGACTTTATATGGTCATTTAAGTAGATTTTCAATTCAGGGAAAATAATCTTCTGCTCTGATGAAGCCCCGTATGCTGTGGCAAAATATTAGCTATTACTGATTTGTGTTGTTCATTCTCTTCGCGCTGTGGTGTTACTTATTTACTACAAAATAATCCAGTACTGCAAAAAAATTCAGGAAACAAATTGCCAAGGCATGAAATTCTTTGTCAGCTGATATTTTGAATTTGTCAGAGATAGTTTTAACTGGTATCTGGACGATAAGTGAACAGCTTAAATGAGTTGTATGTATTGATTGTGTTGCACGTATCTTCTCATAAGGTGTACCTTATATGGTTATCAATCATTGTTCGTCAGGGTACTAATCATCTCAGTTAATTTTTTTGTGTTTTTAGGAAGATCTATGGGCGGTCGTGTTGCTGCAGAACTAGCAACTTTGCATGGTAAGGAGGATCCTTTTGTCTTGGGTGTTTTCTGTTTGTCTTACCCTTTGCATCGACCAAAACGCTACAATGATCTTCGAGTGGCTCACCTGATACATCTAAGTGTACCCGTGATGTTTGTAAGTGGCACAAAAGATCCTATGTGTAGAATGGACTTGATGGAATCAACTATCGATAGAATCGGCAGTGATGTAAGAGTGCATTGGCTTCACGATGCCGACCATTCTTTGAATCTCAAGGGAAAATGCGATGATGAAATCCTGGCAAAGATCTGTGAATGGACCATCAGCTGGATTCAGTCAGTGTTTATGGCTGAAAGGTGACCTGTTGCTCAACCTATTGTGCCATTATGAAGAGTTGGGGAAATCAAGGCCTCGCCTTTCAGCGTACGATGTGTTTATCTAGCCATTGTTCTTCGAAGACTAAACGAGACAGTTGAATAATCTTTCGCAATGAACAACTGCTACCTCCAGGGAGAAATTTATGAACTTCTTGCATCTCGTTATGAATATTAGATGTCCTTTCTATATTGCTAAGAAAAACACTTAAGAAATTTACAGAGCATGATTCGAGTTTTTTTATCAATCAGATTTTAAGTTGACGATTTCAGGGGCTACAGCTGGAGCGGGATACCCCCTCCCATCTACGTTGATTTGATTCCCTTGTTTCTTCAAATTCGGCGATCTTTTTCAAGAACAGCACCCCATTTCTTGTTTTCCTGTTTCATTTTTCATTTCTTGTTTACCTGTTTCATTTTTAGAGAACTGTCAACGAATATGTATTTAATACTTTATGCCGTTGCATGACTTACCATATATTATGTACATTAAAAAACTCTTGTCATAAAATTTCTTGTCCACGTCTTATCTTGTCATGGTTGAGGTGGGTAAAATTTAGCACATAGCCTAATGGAGTTATGAGGAATTACCGAAAACAAATTCCTTATCGGCATTTGCGAGCGAAACCTTTTCTTGTTATAAGAATTGTTCAAGTATCTACAGTGGTAACACAAGGCTTAATTCTTGGAATGTTGCTGTTTTTAGTCTACACGAAGAATAATCAGTAGTAGAGCACCTTTAGTAACAACAGTTTTGATTGGTAATCATTCACAAATGGGGATCCTACCAGTACCGACCGTACCAAGTTTTTACTGGCTTTGCTATTCCTTGCTCAGAATTTTGTCTTTACAATAAGATTCTTTAGAACAGATGTACCTTGTAGTGTGCATTTACTCGAATAATAATTTTGGCAGTTATGATGTGCAAGAATCCACTTCAAATTTAAAGAAAGTAAGATCCGATAAGCAATTCCATCATTGCTGTCCGTTCCGTCGAAGCTTTCGACGGGGAACTTATTCTCCTCATAGCTCATAGCTAAAAATCTGTGTAATTTATGTAATAATTCTAATGGAAATGTTATCCTTTCTGCATTTGTATTTCTCAAAACCCGAAACTAGACCGAATTTTCCAACAGTTGGTTATCGTGTAAAGGTTAAAATAAAGCTAATGATACAGGGGTGTGCAAACTTTTTGGAGACTGGGCCAGATCCTTCAGACCTTTTTTTAAGCGGGCCAAAGGTAATAAGAAAAACGAAAACAATAGTTGTAATAAGATGATAACAGTAACAATGAAAAACTTTTATTTAGCTTCAATTTCGCTACATTTATAAACCTTTTCGCGTTTACATAGACAGTTTGCAACGATAGATAAGACATTCGTGAGTGCAAGAAAGAAACAAGGGCGCCGGAGCCACGGTTGCCATTGTGGTGCGGGGGCAGCACGGGGGGCAGCTAAGTGCCCTTTTCATGAAATTGATTTCCAAGCGATATGAATTCATATCAATATTGTGAATGCTAATGAAATCTAGGTTTCAAGTATCTCTTGATACCTACATGCAAGAGAGAACTGTTAATCGATTTGCCAAGCCATTTTGACTATGCTGAAGAGGTTTCAGATTGTTACCAATGTTGGCTCACATATGCTCGATATATTTGTCAAGGCATTAATGATGTCTCAAACTTAATCAAAGGCGTAGGAACCAGGCGGCACAGTGGGTACGTTCCCCCATCTTTTTCCAAAATTCAGGTTACCTTCCTCTTTGTAGCTCACTGAGTTGCCGTTTTTGCCAACTGCATAACCAAAAAGTGCCCTTGAATTGCTTAGGTGCTATACGTAATGAGCAAAGGGGTAACCCTTTGGGGCCATGACAAAAATGTTTCTATTCAATCTGCTTTTAGAAAAACCAAAAGAAAACAAGATCAGGACCAGGGTTACCGCGAGGTGGTGGCGATGCTAAATTGGCCATTGAGGTTGAGGGGGCCCTGGAAGTCTCCAGTATGTAAAAGCAATGAGTAAGACATAGCAGACATAGAAAATTACTGCGGAAAATATTCTGAAATGGATTTTTAGCGAATCTAAAGGGCATGGTCGCAAAGGGCCTCTTCTTTCCGTTCTGCCGCAAGGCCTCCGAATTTCCTCAGCGGCACTACCCACAGCTAAGCCAGAAAACGACATCTCAATCATTGTAGCCAGGCTCTATGTACCAGCCGTTTTAACCTCTATGGAATCTTTATTAGGGTGCCCCTTAAACAGGCTTTTAAACCTTATGAAATTTTTGTTAGGTTGCCCCTTTCAACAGGTACCCTTACTTTCATAATCTTTCCTACGTTCTTGAATTCAAGACTTTTTATTCAAGACGTTTTTTTAATCAAGAAGCATTTATGCAGCTCGGTATTCCTAGACGACGCTTCTAATGTACCGATTGGTTGGAAAGTCGCCCCAGTGGGCCCATTTGCTTGTCCTATTGGGTCCTTTTAAAACCCAACTAGTTGAAACCACCAACACTTGGCTTAGATTTGGTAAGCAGTGCTAGAATGCACATGTATTTTCATGAGCCAGTACTGAGAGCTTCTTAAACATTTTGAGCAATTTCAGTTTCTTATGAGATCTTACGGGAACCTTGTTGCAATCTGAAATTTCAAAGCAAGTCTTTGAAGCCTTTTTGAAGACGAATTGTCTCTCTTCAGAAGTAGCAATAATAGAATGATATGATTTCGTTTGCTCTCAGCAAGATCTTTGTCATACAGATCTAGCCAAATATGGATTTCAGTTTCAAACAAAATAAATACTCTTAAATAGTTTACAAATATTCAAGAAAAAATCTCAGAATGTTCATCGTTCAATTGTATTTTGATTTTTGCAAGGAATACGTATGGAACATCAGTTATATTTGATTTGAAATATATTGAGCATTGGTAGTCTAAATTACTTGGCTTCAATTTAGCTACAGATTTTTCCAACTTTAAATAAAGAAAGAAAAGAACAGTATGTTCAGAGGAGTATATCCAAAGTATATCCAAAGTACAAGAACAGTATATCCAAAAGCCGTCATATCGAAAATGGTGGCAGTAATTTCATTGGGTCCGTACACTGGGTCTTGTTTGAATTTTAGGCCTATCAGTTTTATTTATTGAGTCTGGGGCCCCGAGAAATGCTGAATAAACCTTAGATTACATGTTTTATGCTAGGTTTCCCTGAGTTTTGTAAAATCGTACTTATTGGTGGAAGGGAGCCCTGATAAAAAATTAGGTAACCCATATAATCTTGTTTAAATCTATGGCCCGTTCAAGTGAGTTATGTTTGCATTTAGACTCGTTGCATAAAGATATATTATACTTTTGGGGCCCCTTTCAGCATTAATGAAGAACCGCTTACGTTCAACAATGACTCAAGACAGACCCATGACTCTTTCGATCGAACACAAACTAGCAAGACAAATTGATTACGACAATATCATTGATCAGTTTGCAACTGAAAAAGCAAGAAAAATTAACTTTTAAAGGACGAAAGTGCAATGTATAAAAGTTTGCTTTCATATTAAATTTTAATATTGCGTGGCTCACCAGAAAAAAACAGTCAGAATTGAAAGAACACATTTTGAAGTGCTTTTTAATCAGCTAAAAGGGTGTGGTCAAAGAGCGTACTTATATCGCTGACCTCTAGAATTGATGCTTTTTATAACATTTTATGATATTATAACGATATTCTATAACGTGCGCAAACGTTTGGAAATAATGGGCGTTTCCCATTTTAAAAAAGGGCATGGTCTCAAAAATTTTTGTATCCGACTCTAGGGCCCCAACCGGGACTTTGTCCCAGGGCCCAGGCCGCCTCTCGGCGGCACTGCTTGTAAGATTCATTCTTGCTGCATTTGTGAATTTTTGTCCAGTCCCTCAAAGATTCTGCTGTCCTGTCTTCAAGCAGGACATTTCATGACAACGGATAGTGAACAAATCTTCGCATGGTTCCCAGGTTTTATAAAGATATTAGATAATCTAATTTTGAAGATAATCTAATTGTTTCATTCAATATTTTGCCACTTCTCAGAAAATCATCCTTGCAAACCAAAAAATTGTAATATAATATTTTTCTAGAAATGTAACAGAAAATGTTCAATAGCCGCAAAAATAGGCATCTTATTCAAGCAAAAAACGTGTGCTGATATCGAATTGTTGAAAATCATGCATGGTGACAATGTTTCGGATTCAGGTCTTTGAAAATGGCTTTGAAAAAAGCAAACATTTTACAACATACTTAAAGCTTTTTCGTCTGACACTCCTCAGAGCATAAAACGTCAGAATAGGTTCCGAAAAAACACGATGGAAAAATATATACCCAGTTGTGGATCGAAATAGGCCAATCAGAAAACGCAAGCACAAGACCGGTATAGTTGACCAATCAGTGCCGCGAGCCTAAAGAAAAATTACCAATGGAGTCCAAGAGAGAAAACGAACTCCTTTTGTCTACACAATAGCGGCTTTTTCGTTTTTATGTAGATTGACTCCAAAACTGCTAGATGGAAGGACGACCGGGCTCTGCCAATTATCCGAAACATGTCGTCATTATAGAGTTTTGCACAATCTGGGTTGTCTAAAAGATGTTGACCGATGGCAGAATCACTTGTTTTAACAGTGTTTCTAGACCTACAAGATCGAGGAGGCTGTTCTCTTTGAGGGGCAGTTTTGTTTCGTATGTTGGAAGGAACATGCTGTTTTATCCTATCCCCCAATCTTTGGGTTGTGCGCCCTACGTAGCCAGAATCACACTGGCACGTAAATTCATAAATGACGGAACTTTTTTGGTTGGTAGGGACGCAATCCTTTTGAATGGATGGAAGGGCTCTCCTAGTGCTGTAAACAATCCGAGGATTGACAGCAAAGAAACAATTGGTTATGGCTTGCCTAATCTGACTCTCGAATCGCAAGGAAGTGTTACCAATCCATGGTAGTTTCAAATAAACTGGGCACTTTTGCGGACCAAACTTTTGAACAGCCAAAAAACTTGCGATCTTCTCCTTAGTATAAGATAAAATGACGTCTTCAGGATAGCCGTTGTCCAAGAAGATCGTTTTGAGTTTTTCCAGTTCAGCGTGCAGTTTAGATTTCGAGCAGATCATAAGTGCCCTATGTACTAATGTTTTGACAAAGTTGACTTTGCGTTGTTTTGGGCAAAATGAATTCCAGCGTATGTACTGACCGGTAAAAGTAGGCTTGCGATATACACTGGTAAGAAATCCAGTGTTAGACTTTTCGACCAAAACATCTAAAAATGGTAAGGAATCATTTTCTTCCTTTTCAGACGTAAACTGGAGGGCTGGGTGTAGGCTATTTAGGTGTTTTAGAAAAATATCACACTCAGCCTCTGTTTTGAAAATGGTATATGTGTCATCCACATACCGAAAATAGACACCTGGCTTTTGGTCGTAGTCGAACAAACGCTCTTCATGAAAGCCAACAAAGATATTGGCCAAGGCAGGTCCCAGAGGGCTACCCATAGCGACACCATCCTTTTGTTGGTACATTTCATTGTTAAAACTGAATTCAACTGAACGTGTTGCAGTTCCATCAGTTCAATGAATACTTCCTCTGGGAATGGTGGGCTATTAAGCTCGCTCCGGTACAAAGCGTCGGCACATATTTTGATGGTCTCACTCAAAGGAACATTTGTGAAAAGACTACTAATGTCAAAAGAACACATGAAAGATGTTTCGTTTTCGATGTTCAAGTTTTGCATGAACTCAGCGAACGTAAAAGAATCCTTGATGCAATGTTTTGAATATTTTTGAAGAACAGGGTCCAAAACTTCAGAAAGCCACTTAGCCAGTTCGTGTTGTGCTGAGCCAATCATAGACAAGATAGGATTCAGGTCTCCATTTTGCTGATTTGATGCAAATTGCAGCAAAGCAATAAAGCAAAGCAAGCTATTCCAGCAGTATCATGTTCAGCAGAACGATCATTCAGCTCATTGAGGTACATAAAGAAGCGATTATTCAAATCTTGTTAAAAGTGCAAGATCAACATGGACAAGTCCAAATGGAATGACACAAAATCAACTTGAAAACATTCTAATTGACAAAAGATACAGAAATGCCATCACCAATGCAAAAACAAGAAAAGATGCAGATTGTAGATCAGATGACGACCCAGTTTGGATAAAAATCCATGCAAAATTGAAAAACACAGAGAAAGAAAAATATTGTAAAAACCTGGAATGTAAACAAGCTTAATAACAATGAAATAAGCGAAAATATGCAACAACTTTAAACCAAACTATGAATTAACAGAATAACACCTCAGGTGTATGGAATCATCTTAAAGATTGCCTAACAGGAGTTTCAGATGAAATATGCGGTAAAAAGGAACGTAGAGGAACAAATAAAAAATGGATGACAGAAAAAATTATTGGTATTATGGAGAAAGAAGATATAAAGCATTATCCAAAATAATTAACAAAAAAGGCAGGAAATAAATGACTGCTACAATACTGGCTTTTGGCACCTAAAATTCACATTTGTCACCATTCCAAAATTGTGTCATTTGTGGACAATACGACATTATGTGACAAACATCGCACAATTAGTCTCATATCTCATGCCTCCAAAATTTTATTACAGATTTTGAAGAGAGGAATAACATCTTTAGCAGAAGGAATACTTGATGAAACTCAACTCGGTTTCAGAAATGAAAAAGGAACAAGAGAAGGTATCTGTCAGCTCTGAATACTCCGCGAAAGAATGATTGAAAAGAAAAGAAAACTATTTGTATGTTTTATAGATTACACAACAGCCTGCGATAGGGTTAAAAAACACGACAAGCTAATCGAAGTTCTCAGAAAATATGAAATATCACCAGAAGAAATAAGGCTAATTAGCAATCTATACTGTAACCAAACATGGTCAGAACTAACAACGGAGAGTTAGACAAGGATGCATACTATCGCCAATCCTGTTTAACATGTATAGCGAAGAACTCGTACAAGAAGCTCTAGAGGACACAGCTGGAATCCAAGTAAATGGCATCAAAATCACTAAGCTTAAGGTATGCAGATGGCACAATTATCATCATTAAAGAAAGTGAAGAAGAACTTATGATAACAAGACTAAATGATGTACAATGCCTGCCAAAAGTACTTGAAACACCGGCTATTTACGCTGCATTTGAAATCTGTCATTTTTTTCATGAAAAAATTACTACTTCCGCCCCCTTCCCCTCAAAACAAAGTTGATAATTTGGAGAAATATTATTAAAGAAGAAAGTGCTTCCTAAAATCCTAACCCGTTTGATAGTAAACCAACATTGTTCTGTAGGGGAGAGGGGGATGATTGATTTTGACATAGGAAATTGACGTCAGTGTTTCAAGACTTTTGGCAGGCATTGTATGTAAAATTTACGGTATCGAGCTGAGCGCTAAAAATACCAAAGAAATGGTAATTGAAAAAACATCGGGAACTAATATTCGCATAACATCAGAGAAAACTGTATTGCAACAAGTTAAAAAAGTTATTGTTATTGTTATCTTGGGTCATTACTCACAGAGCACGGACGCTTTAAAGAAGAAATAAAGAAACGCAGTGCAATGGCGAAGATTCCATTTAAACACCACAAAGAATTGTTTAACAGCAATATCAACAGGGAGACAAAACTCAACATTCTTTCTATTTTTTTAACTACGAATGTGAAGCCTTGACTATAGGAAAAGCAATGAAAGACAAAATAAAATACAAGCTTTTGAATTATGGTGCTATAGCCAAATGTCAAAGACGGTTTTAATCCGAGGCTTTTTATGTTCTTGTTCGACAAATTGATCATTCCCACTATGAATTATTCGTGTGAGGTTTGGGGCCAAAAGGGGTGGCCAACTCTGGAAAAACTCTACTTGCAAGCCCGTAAATATGATCCTGATGTCAACTCGTAAACGACCTCAGATGCAATTTACGTTGAATTAAGCAGAATTAACATATTAGCTACGAGGCATATTGCCATAATTAAATTTTACTTTAGATTATATAATTTAAGTCCCGAACGCTACGCAGAATTCGCTTTCCTTATGTTATCGGGTGTTGCTTTGACTGGTGTTAAAACCCGGGTTTCAGATATCAAGGAACTGATCGCCACATTCTACAACAATAATGTCTCTAATAGTGTACCTGCTATTAAATCTAAGGTAATGCTTCACTTCAAGCATCATGAAAGGAATTCAAGGCCAATGGTGTCCACAATAACGAGAGTGAGAGTTGACTTATTATAGTAATAAAAATATAATTTTGATGTTTATAAGCTACATTAGGCAATCATTCAAACAATACGAATAACAATATATCAATTTAACAGAAAATTGCTGAAGAACATACACTCTTTCTTTAAAAGAACCAGAAAATTTTTGTCGAGCCTCGATATTCTTAACTTTTTGATAATTTCAGGTTCAAATGTTCTTAAAATTATTCTTATTTTAATAGTGATTTTTTTGCAAATATTTGAAAAGTTACATACTGTATATATTCTAGTCATCTATTCTTCTCATTAAATAGGCCCTGTTTTGAAGCACTTTCTTACAGTTGAATCTGAAGAACTCGTTTTAGTGCGCGTGCAGCTACGAAAAATCTCTCTTACGTTTTCGCTTGGGTTAGAGCAACTACCATTGATAATTATGTATGAAGCCGTTGCTAAAGTTTCAGATAACTGGTTTTGCCGCATAAGAACATTATCAAGCGTTTTAAAAAAGAGTGTTCCCCCGCTATTGTTTGGGGCACTTTTCCTTTTGAAATTGAACGGGCTTCAAACTTCGTTATTTCAAGATAATAGGAAGCTCGATCCAGTGGTCTTGACAAACACAATCCACTCGCTTGTCATTTTATTTTATAAATTTTTTACAATGGTGTTATCTTGAGGATCGATGCTCCCAGGGCCTTAAAATTTTTAATGCGGCCCTGGCTAGAGCCCTGGATGGACATAATAAAGTACAGCTTCTTCGTCAGCTTCGACAACAACTGCCTTCTCTTTTGCTTACAAAACACAATAGAAGAGAAGGTTTTCTGTTCGCTATCCTGATTTTTTCTCATGATTTGCCGATGATTGATTGTCAAATCATTTGACTATTTTTGGTGGGACTGCGAGTCCAAAACATCGATATTTTGAACCATCGGCTCACTAACGATTTCACCAATCAGAGAGCAGCATTCTACCGAACCACAGGGAGTCTATGATACATATAAATAACAGTCATCGTCCCATGTGTGTTCTCGCTTCCTGTTCTGTTGTTGGACTTGCACCAAATCGCAAAAATGTTGTCACTGAAATTTATATCAGCAGCAGTTTTCCTTTCTGGGCTCGCATCATGCATGGAAATCAAATTCAAGGACTGTGGCAGTAAGTTTTGTTGGTTTTGATCTTAATCGGTATCAATATGTCATTGGTTAGCTATTTGCAGAATCCATTCCAAAATCTTTCTTTTTCAAGACTTTGCTGTGAGCTGAAATTGTACTTGTTTTTTTTTTCATTCAGCTCGGTAGTAAGTGGAAAATTGTTGGGGCACAGAATTTTGGGAGGGCGCCAGGAGCTCCTTACGGAGACAAATTGCCAAGGATATTTTGTGTAGACTTTACTTTTGATGGTCTTAGAATGCTTTATTTTACATGGATATCGTAAACCAATATCATCTATCAAACGAAATGCACAGTCTATTATGAACATTTTATCTAGGTTGTTTTCGTGGTCTCAGCACAGTCGATTTCGGTCCAGTATTTTACTGCATTTTATTGTTATCTAGTGATTAATGAAATTGTGAACGTTCAGTATTTTCTAATGATAGGTACTAGTGCCAAAGCGACCCATGTATACATCGATCCCTGCACTGCTACTCCATGCACCTTGCACAAGGGCAAAAACAGTACCATTTCAGTTGCCTTCAACCCAACTGGGACGGTCACCAAAGTAAAGGCCATTGTCCACGGTGTGATTGCTGGCATACCTGTGCCCTTTCCCATCACAGGCGATGATGGTTGTCAAAACTCGGGCCTCACGTGCCCCTTGAAAGGTGGCGTCGAAGTAAAATATTCAAAAGCCATCCCTGTCTTATCCCAGTATCCTTCAGTAAGTACATGTAGATACTTGAAATATTTTAAACAAGTGTATTCAATTTCATTTCATCAGTGTCTCTTCCACTTTTAGATTACCTTTGATTTACATAGTTCCTATTTGGTTTAGTGTTCTGTTGTATGCAAAATTATACAAAGCTGCATATTCTTGTAAAAACATATCAGTAGTTACAACAACATGCAGTTATTATGGTCAGGATAGGAAGAGTATCAACAGGAAGTGGTTATAGTCATAAAATTAAATCAGTTGTGGCAAGCTAGCACAAGTAAGGACTGATATGGAAATCTTTAATCATGTCCTGAATCTATTAAAAACATTTCACATTATCTCTTAATAGGCATATGTTGCATTAACATTGGCTAATAAAACAAAAGCCTTTGGAGTTGAATTCCATGCTTTGTACTAAACAAAAAAGATAATTGTATTGCATTAGCCAATCATGTTCATGACACATGCCCTTTAAGATATCACAACAAATATACAATCTTTCTCATGTTTGATGAATTAAGAAATTCTTTTTTCATTATATATACCTTTAATTCTTTCTGAAATTATATAATCTCTTTTCTAAAGTCCTCCAAGTCTCTCTGACTTAACAGCATTCAAATAAATATCTATTAAGTCCTTTCTCCATCTATGTCTTGATCTTTGCCTCTTCCAGTGAAGGTTATTTTAGTCAAGCATATTCCATACCAAGATGGAAGTTGGCAAAGTAATCTCACTTTTCTGAAAAGGATACCAACCAATCTTCTAATTATTGACCTTTCAAAGTTCTTTCTGCCTTTTGCAAAGTTGCTGAAAATGCATGTGTAAAACCTGGCCACTAAAGATTAATAGGAAAGCATTAAATCTTATTTATGTGCTTTTCAGTTGGGTTTTGTGCAAACTTCTCAATCAACAATGCCCTGATTATTTGAACAGAGGCAATAAAAAACTTTCTAGTCAGTATAAAAAATGATTTTGTGTTAAGTATTTGTTGGATTACTCCAGCCCAGAAAATTACTTTTTATGAACCTTGAGGATTATTGTATTAGAGGTACTTCCTTAAATTAGCTTAAATTTTATTTCTTGATACTGAATCTACTGTTGATCGTAAATTTCTTGTTGTCAATTTTGCTAAAATCTTTTCAAATAAGGAACATGTAACAGAGGTATCTTAAAACTTATTTATTAAGCCTGTTTTATGTTTGTCAAAGATGTGTCCTGAACTTGTTGGTGCCCCTTGAACTTTTTCATCGTATCCAGAATGCCAGCTTCAATGTAAAATAGCATCGAACAAATTTTTGCAGGGCCGGTAAGGTTGGGGACCCTTACTTTTTTAAATAAAGGTATCTTTGGTCTATTATGCCTTTGCATGCCAGTATTCTGGTACAGAGACATGATTTTAAAAACATTACTGAGACAAGATCTCATTTGAAGTTATGCTCCCTCATCTTTCCTGATCTTCTCTTACTTAAGTAAGATCTATATTTTAAAACTGTTCCTTTGATCCTTTTTCCGAAACTAAAAGACTGCTTTTTTGAAACAATTGCCTATCATATTTGAAAGAAAGCTTGCCACTTGAAGCTATTTAAGAGTTCAATTAACATGGGCTCCGACAAAGATGGAAAAGTGAGGGGGCAAGGGAAAATTTAACACCCATAACAAAAGATTTTGAAAAAAAACTCTATTGTTTTGCAAAAAAGTGGCCCCCCTTCGTCGGCAGCCCTGATTAATCAAGCTACAGATGACTGCAGTTTGCTTAGTCAGAGCTTAAGTTGGATTTAGTTATGTTTTTTATTGTGTTTATTGTAGTAATCTCACATACTGAATTTTTATTTTTGGAATTTTGAGTTAGGTGAAATTAAACAGTTATATACCTTCTTCTTTTTGGTTTCATTTTCTAAAAAGTATGCTGAAAATTGAAAATTTGATTGTATTGTATTGAAATTTGTGGGATGAATTTTTTTCTGTTCTAATTCAAAATTCTTTACTGCCCTTTATTGACCCATCTCACCTACAATACACTTTGTTTTAGTTAAAGCTTCTTGTCAAATGGGAACTACAAGACCAGGATAGCAAAGATTTGGTATGTGTTGAGATGGCAGTGCAAATAAAATAAGCAAAGGATGTCTTCTTCTCATTAAAATGTGACTTCAAGAACTGAGATAAAACCTGAATGTGTCAATTGTAATTTAACTAATTTAATTTGATTTTATGATATAAATGTTGTATGTTATTGAATTTTTGCCTAAAAGAAGGTGCGTATATTTTTAATACAGTGGTTATGTATGTATTTTGTTCTTATGTCTAAAACACGACTGGGATGAATAAGGCATTCTTGTATGTAACCTAAAACTGGATCATCGTCATTTTTATTAATTTATTCTATGTTCACTTTAAGCTGTATGTAATCTGTCAATGATCATTCATACTTTGGTATTCATTGTCAGATGTAAACTGCAGAACTAAGGAAAGATTAGCACAGTTTTGTTAAATTGTGTTCTTGTAATATGTTATGTAACAAGGGAATGGTGGAGTTCTATTTATATTGCTTTTTAGAGTTTTAGCCTATGGAGCTACTAAACAAAATCCCTATCCATGTCACTTTCTCTGCTTTCATACCAAATATTCAATTCATTCAGTTCTAGAATTCCATTACTTTTAACTGAAATAACAATATAATTCAAAAGTACAATGCAAAACAAAGGGGGGATTTGCATGTAGGGGAATAGAGAAGAAGCTCTACCAAAAATTAGACTTTTAAGCAGAGACTATCCCCACTATCTCATGGTTAAAAATTTAGGATGTTTGTGAAAATCTTCATTAGTGAAATTTGAAACCCTTTTCCCTTCGTTCACAATAATTTTACTTTTAAACTACGTACTGATCGAAACATTACATGCACAGATGCCGATTGCGAATTCAAAGCATGCTCTCTTTACTAATTGGTGTTTTATATCGACATCCCAGGAGAAAAAGTGACGATCAATTTCTTAACTTTCTTTCGAAAACGTTTCTTCCTCTTATTTGTAAAGAAAAGAAAACTGCTGAACTTTGATACAGATACCTATACAGAACGCTTCATAATTTTGCTCTTATGAAACTTCTTTTAGCCTCGCATACTGCAACCAACATCAAACTTCTTTCAACCTCTCTCAAACATACTGCAATCTGCGATAAACTTGACTATAAACTAACACATAAAAACAAGAGTTCTACCACGACTTTAAAAACTTTAATGTTGATGCATACTTGACTGACCTTCGAGAAGCTAATCTAGAAATTTCATTGACACCGATGTAAATGATAAATTTAATTACTTTCATGAATGCATCGTTAAAACTGTGAATAAGCATGCCCCCCTCAAACCAGTATCAAGACGGATGCATAAACAAAAATTAAAACCATGGATAACGAATGGTATACTGAAATCGATATCAATTAAACTATAAAAACTATAAAAAAATACTATACTATAAATACTATAAATTCTAATCAACAAATACTATAAAAAATTCTTATCAACTTAAGACCCTTTTCGGCACAGTCAAAAATTCGTACTTCAATCAATTCAAAGACAACTCCAAAAAAATGTGAAAAGGAATTAAAGAAATTTTACAAGAACAAAAAATATCAATTCTATATGCCTTAGAATAAATGGCAACCTGGAATCAAACCAACACAAAGTGGCAAATATATTTGGTTATTACTTTACAAACATTGCTGATAAACTGGTGAAAAAAATGAAACCTACTTCTAAAAGTCATCGTGTCCAAATAAAATTTTTCTACAACCTGTCACTCCTGATGAAACAGCACATCTAATAGGAGTTTTCGATGATAACAAGTCTAATGACCCATATAATATTCTAGTTAAACTTGTTAGAATTGCCAGTGTCACCCTCTCATCGCCCGTTACTAAAATCTCGAATGCATCCTTAGTCCAAGGTATCTTTCGAAACAGTTTAGAATTCGCCAAGGTAGCCCCGATTCATAAAGGTAAATAAAAACTAGAACTTAACAACTATCGACCGATTTCCATTCTTCCTATTTTCAGTAAAATTCTTGAAAAGATTGTTCACAAACGCCTGATTGAATTCCTAAACAAATATAAAATTATTTACAAACATCAGTTTGGCTTTCAAAGAAATGAAAGTACCTCTAGCCAAACTTGACCGACCTTTACAAGTCCTTGATAGATAAATCGAAAAAGGCCTTTTCTCATGCTGTATTTTTTTTACTTTTCCAAATATTTTGATGCTGTAAATCATTCCATCTAGACAAACTAGAACATTATGGTATCAGAGGAAAAACATGAACTTGGTTCAAATCTTATCTTTCCGACAGATGCCAGTCTGCCGAAATTTGCGGTATAAACTCGAAATATAAATTATGGGTTTCCACAAGTTAGTGTTTTAGGCCCCCTTTTATTTTTACTTTACATAAATGATATCCACCTAAGTTCAGCCTTATTTGATTTCCGCTCGTTTGCTGATGATACGATCTTAGTCTTTAGGAATAAGAATTTAAAATATTTTGTAACTGTGCTTAATAGAGAGTTGTTGAATGTTTCAAATTTGGCTCCTTTCAAATCTAACTTTCTTATAATACATCCTGAACAAAAGAAAACTAATTTGAATATCAAATTATTTATCAACGAAGAACAATAAGAACAACAAAATTATACTAAATATCTTGGTGTTATAATTGATTCTCACCTATCTTGAAAACTGAAATAACATCCTCTGGATAGCCGTTCTCCAGAGAAATCTTAGTTAGTTTTTCAAGTTCCGAGTCGAGTTTAGACTTGGAACAAATCATCAGTGCCCTATGTGTAAGCGTTTTGATGAGGCTGATTTTTCTTTCTTTTGGGCAAAACGAACTCCATCGAGTGTAGACACTAGTGAGAAATCCAGTGTCAGATTTTTCAACCAAAACATCTAGAAATGGCAAGGAGTTATTTTCTTCCTTTTCAAATGTAAAATGTAGGGCTGTGTGAAGCAACTGGGCTGTGTGCATAAAACAACTTGTAGCAAAACTCTTTTCAAAAACCTAAACAAATTTACATGACAGTAAATAACATATCTTTATTTATTGACCTATTATAGTTTCTAAATCAAATTCATACTTAATACTACACAAATTTTACGTCAGACCGGGGCAAGTGGCTAGATAGCTCTAATGAGTTTTTTCCACTTGTCCTACAGTTTTGAATAGTTACTGTTATAGATAAATATATGTAAATATCTATTTCCTGTTATTCAATCTTCTTAAATTTAGCCGTATCTTTATATTTTTCGTTGCTTAATCACATGTAATGAATTGCTGTGAAATGAAATATTTAGCCCACGGATTTTCGAGGTTAGATACGCCTATGGCAGTCATTGCCCTGATAACTCTGTGGTGCCTTTCAAGTGCGATGAGTAAAATTCGTGGGACTCACAATTCCTCTACATGCAGCTACGAAAAAGCTATTTTGTACCCAAAGAGCCAATCGAAAGACTCGAACTGCGTCTCAACATTTTGTATTTTGTAACTTTTCAACACAGTCTTTTAAAGGCAAATACAACCTTGGGAAGGTAAACAAGTTTTTGACAGGCTATAGCTTCAAGGCGAGGATTAGATCTCCCGCCCAAGAGTGCCAAGAGACTCTTTCAAGGCCCTTGGACCTTCAGAATTTAAAGTTTTTTGACTCTCGGCAAGGCGATTCAAAAACGACGATGGCTTAAAATTCTTGTTTTTTCAAAGACAGAGGAAAGGACACAAGTTAGCGAGTCCCTAACTGCTGGAAATTTTTCGATTTTCTAATGTTCTCTAATGTTCCCTATACAGAGTTCTCAACCTGTTATCAAGGCCGTCGCTAGCGGGGGGGGGGATGCGGGGGGTGCGGCACCCCCCCTAGAAAATTCTTGTCGGCAAATTTTCTGAAAGTAGAGTTTTGTCGGGTTTTACTTTCGAAGTTCTCAATGCGATAGCTTTCGCAAAAAGTTTGGATAAGATGAGGATAAGACCGAAAAAGTATCACACAAAAACACTCAGCAATTTAAAATAGGTACAGATGGCGCTATGGGTGTCGGCGGAGGGGCAAATGTCTACCAAAAATTTCAAATGACCTCCTTTCGGCAGCCGGAGTCTAGAATCTAATGTTCAATATCCAGGGCAACCTAATTTCTACCTGAAGTTTGGGGACAAAGTTTATTGAAAAACTCTGAACGTTGATCCTGGAGGTACTGGAAGCCACTGTAAGCGGGGCTGCCGAGGGGAGCAATGGGACAAAGAGGTTGATGGGGCCTCAAGGAGTAATGAACTCCATTTTAAGAATGAAATCAATGAAACGTAGAAGAAGTATGCCTAAAAATAGCTGAAAGTTTTGAACGATTGCAAGAAATGACTGCAAGAAATATTCTGAAATGCATTTTTTTAACAATCTAAAGAGCGTGGTCGCAAAAAATTTCTGCTCGCTCCGCTCGCAGGGCCTCGTCTTTCGGGTTTCCTTCAAGGCCTTCGAAGCCTCCAGTCCTATTAGTAAAATCTACTAATGCAAACTAAGTACCCAGAGTCACTCGAAAATTGAAGCAATGATTGACTAACGAGAACATACTCTTTGATAAACAAAAAGAATTGTGTCAAAATACCACACCCAAAAATTGAAATACCTTAGGCCACGCCCTATTTTGTCGGCAAATTTGTGGCTGGCACCCCCCTAAGTGAAAGTGATTAGTGACGGCCCTGCCTGTTATGAGTTTTTTTCATAGTAAGTAGATACTGTTGGCCAATCTAAAACATGAACTGCCTTAGTAATTTAATATGAACCAAATGATCCACAGTTTGCAATAAGAAAGGTTCAATTGATAGAATTTTAAATAAAGCTCGATTCAAACCTGCCGCAGGAACCACGTTACCGTGGTGGCCATGGCCTCCCCACTTTTACCGAAGCATATGATTTCAAAGCTGCCATAAAAGGTGAAAGAAGCCTTGACCCCCGACATTCGTTAGCCTTGCAAACCCCCACCCCCTTCTCCAACGTTAAATTTCATGGCGTGGGCCACCCTGCTTTCTTCTCATTTTGTTTCAATTAAGAAAATACTTTCCTGTTTCTCATCTTTCTTGTACCTATTAAAGGATCCTTACCCACTAGCTCTAGTCTAGTTTACCTGTAAACCTCATAATGAGCACAGCTAATAACACCTTTCAGTGCAGTCAACTGTACTGTTGAAACACGCCACGACATAGCGACAATATATCTTTACGACCATGCAAAGTTTCCTTTTACAG